TACCGGAACACCCTTCTCATCAAGCCGACCTTTTTCGGTGCGTCGACTCATTCCATTCGGCAACAACTCAAGTGGTGGAGTATTCGGCGAAGGAGATGTCGATGGCTCCAGACCAGCATCTATTGCCTCTATCGACTTGCCGAGGCCATCAACTGACAGCGGTTCTATATGGGGAGTTCAGGGAGAGCAGGGAGGGTTATTGAGCACGAAAAATCGATTATGGTCTCCAGATAATCGATGGCCTTCCAGAAGTGGCTCCAGGCGTCCGTCTATCCACGGATCACCATCTATCCTGACTACCACCTTGGCCTCTGCCGAAGATGTGATATTGGACGAAGATGATCTACTTGATCCCCAGACCTCACCTAGCCAGATTGGAGTAATTGGCTCTCGCCCGCCGACCGCTTTAAAGTCTCTTAACCAACGTCTGAATCCTGCGGCCCCAACTTTCTTTGGATATCACCCCTCAGAATCTGACGCAGACGGGTCTCAGAGTAAAGACGGAAGTAAGGATAAAGCAAAAGGGAACAGGACGAAGGGCAAGGAACCTTCGACGCCGAGCATGGAGTTGCCCCATTTCTTGGACGATTCCCCCTCCGATACACGAAAGTCCCGAGACGCTCGTTCCATCCATACGCAGAATTCAGTTGCCGAATCTCACGAATCGTTAACGCTTGATGCGACACTATCCAACACACCATCTGACCTCCATTCTAACGCTGACTCGGCTCCCAAAGATGCAGATAATGTCGTCATGAAGCTGTTCCGCAAGGGAAGCTCTAGCAAGTTTGGCTTGTCAAATAGACTTGGCAAAGACTCTGGACTGTTTAAAAAGGGACCCGGCAGCGCAACCCATTCGGATAGAAATGCGTCTGTCGACCATCGCTCTAGTATTGGTGACATTGACGATCTAGGCGAGGATGCTTCCCAGCTCGGTCGTAGCTACGACAGCATAGGAAGCAGTCCTTCTCTAGGCCCTGCTAAGTCTAGGGATTCCAAAGAAAGCCGTATTAGTGCATGGCGTTTCATGAAGAAGAAGGGCAAGGACTCTGGTTCTAAGGAAAAGGAAGGTGCTGAATTCGATCGAAATCACGAGGAAGAATGAAGTGGTGTGCGCCAAGTACCAGATAAAGAAAATCATAAGTGTCTAGGGAGCAGCACCATAAAGCGAGACTAGCTGTTAGGAACAATAGCCAACAATACACTGTACATAATATCTATTAATGGGTGATTCGCCTGTTGAACCTTCATGTGATGCTTGTTTAACATTCATTGATGATAATGTCCCGTCTTCCACAGATAATATAACGAGAAACATGTTTCAGAAACTTGATCAATGCATTGCCTACCATTATTTTTAATGTATGGCGACGATACTACTATTACAGTATTAGTTGTAAAGCTAAATAGAGACTCGCAGAGCTGTCACTGAGGACCCGTTTTAAATTATAAGTAAGATTGCGCTAACCTTCACTCGGTAAGGCTGCGTATCCGATCAGGAGCTACTCCATGTCGATAAGAGACGCTGCCCTGTTCCAGGTTGACACCGGCTTAAGCACCCGCAACGCATCACAATCGCTGCTCCGTATCGCTAACGGAATTGTCATTTATTATCGTTGCTACAGGCTATTGTGTCCAATTCTCCTCTCATTTAACAGTTGACCATTAAATATGAATGGCTCTCTCGCAGATCCCTCTACATCAAGTCTAGACGCAAGTGAGTCGCATGCCCGACTGACCAACTGTCCTCGCAACTAACAGCAGTCTGATGGCACAGTCGACTATGACCCCATTGACCACCTCAACCTTTTGTTTTCGCACCCCTCGGCCGTGTCGTCGATAAGCCAGGTCTCACAAGCTCTCAGATACCGCCAGGATGAGCTCTCGTACGAAATCAACGCCCTCGAATCAGCCCAGGCCTACGAGCCTGACTCGAGCCTGGAGCGAATGCGGTCGGCGCAGACGGAGCTGGCGCAGCTCTTTCGCAAAATCGAGACGGTGCGGTCGCGAGCCATAGAGACGGAGCAGAACATCACATCCATGACTGCGGATATCAAGCGCCTGGACGGCACCAAAAAGAACCTGACGTTGAGCATGACGGCGCTGAAGCGCCTGCAGATGCTGACAACGGCGTATGAGCAGCTGAGGGGCCTTGCGAAGACGAGGCAATATCGGGAGTGTGCGGGCCTGTTACAAGCCGTGCTGCAGCTGATGAAGCATTTCAACAGCTACAGGAGCATAGAGCAGATCGCAACACTCAGCCGCGAGGTGTCGGAGCTGCAGAGGGAATTGCTGGAGCAGGTCTGCGAGGATTTCGAGATGGCATTCACAAAGGGAGAGGTCAGCGCCAAGAAAAACACCTTGGTGGAAGCATGCCTGGTCATGGACGCCTTGGGTGAGTCGGCCAAGGCCAGACTTGTCAGCTGGTACATCAACACGGAGCTGCGAGAGTACCGCCAGGTATTCCGGGGCAACGACGAGGCGGGAAATCTGGACAATATCGGACGGAGATATGCGTGGTTCAAGCGCATGATGAAGACACACGAGGATGACCATGCTGCCATATTCCCCACTTACTGGCGCGTCAATGAGACGCTTGCCACAGCGTTCTGCGACGGCACACGCGATGACTTCAAGGGTATCTTGGAGCGTAGTATGCGGCGCCCGGATGGCAACAAGATTGATGTCAACCTGCTTCTCAGCTGTCTACAAGAGACTCTGAATTTCGAACAAAGCTTGGAGAAGCATTTTTCAAACGACCCAAGAGCCAGCATCGACACGTTGAGCTCTACAGAAGAGAAGTCGCACAACTTCAACGGCCTCATATCGGTGGCCTTTGAGCCATACCTGAGCCTGTGGGTAGAGTCGCAGGATAAACAGCTCGCGGCCATGATACCAAAGTACCGCACGCAGCCTCTCATTCCTCCAGAAGAAGAGTTCACGCCGCAGACAGTCATTCCCTCAGCTCTGGAGCTTTTCCATTTCTACAAGTTGACCTTGTCCCAGTGCGCGAAACTGTCTACGAGCGATCGCCTGTTGGATCTTTCAAAGACGTTTGCCAAATACTTGGATGAGTATGCTCAGCAGGTGTTACTGCGGAAATTACAGTCGAGCGGACAGAAGAGCCCCTCGATGCAAGATGCCGTTTTGGTTCTGAACACAGCGGACTTTTGGCACATCAACACAAACCAATTGGAAGAGAATATCAAGAAGCGCATTGACCCGGAGTTGGTGTCCAAGGTCGATTTATCATCCCAGTCTGATGCTTTCTTAGGCGTAGCAAGCGCTGCCGTGCTAGCTCTGGTGCACATTGTTGAGCTGGACTGCGAGGGTGTCTGGCGAGAGATGAAAAATACGAACTGGAGCACAATGGATAGCGCGGGCGACCAGAGCTCCTGGGTGGGCGAGCTTGTCAATCATGTCAACAGCAAGACGGAAGAGATTCTTGGTATTGTTACGAAGCAGCAATACGCGAGGGCATTCTGCGACAACCTCGTGGACCATCTAGCCACAGCCTTTATCAACAACATTGTCCAATGTCGGCCAATATCTGAGGTTGGAGCTCAGCAGGTAAGAGCTGTTGACATGACAGGAAGCATACATGTGCGTTTAAAAAGCTAATGAAAATTTTGATAGATGCTTGTTGACAAATACGCACTAACAAAATCCTTCGAAAATTTGCTTTCGTATCACAATCCATCACCAGCGCAACAAACACCCTCTGCCACTTTTGTGAGGAGAGTTGAGCAAAGCATGAACCGGATGGACCCTCTGCTCAAGACGTTGCAAGTTCGCCAGTCGCCACCAGAAGGTCTTGTACAGGCATATCTCATACACATAGCGGATCGCTCAGACACAAACTTCAAGAAGATCCTGGAGCTCAAGGGCGTGCGAAAGATGGATCAGATTCACCTAATTGAGCTATTTGGAATACACCGTGACGGCAGTTCAAACGATAAGCTCGCTCAGAACTCTCCGCTTTTGACACCTCTGATGTTGACATCCAGTCTCAGCAGTGCTGGCGGCTTGGGTGCAATTAACACAGCCTCTACTTCGCTTGGAGGCAGCTCAGCGAGATTCGACGCAGGGTCACTGGGCGAGAAGCTGCTCAGCGCGGCGAGGGACATTAGCAACACAAGTCAGAGCGGCTCAGACAAGGCCACAATCAATGAGAATTTGAGGAACTTTGGGAAGTTCTTCAAGCGAGATATAAGTGGTCTTGGACTTAAATTTGGGATGCGCGATGGAGTTGAGGATGGGCATCGATAAGAGGCGCTTAGTATAGCTTGAATCGAGACGGGGGAGGAGTTGGATTTGGATATAGTACATATTACTACATAGCATCGCAAATAGATGCCAGCATCTATGTTGAAAAAAGCCAGCAGACCACCTTCTAGCCCTTTGACTCCATGTCTTTTCTTATAAATCCTCGAAACTAGAGTCAGTATTTCATTTAATTAACTGCTACTATCTCTAATCTCAAGAGGATTTGTTAACAGGGGCCTAATACACTGGAAACCGGAAAAAGGAGGGAGTTTGATTCAGACCTAGTAGATTATCATAGTATCGCAAATAGATGCCAGTATCTGCGCCGTAATCACGTCACCGGACTACCTTCCGCCCCCTTAACCCTTGACACCCTTTTCACTATTTTTAGAAGTCCTTGAAACTGAACTCAGCACTTATTAGCTACTGCTCTCTATGATCTCAAAGAGATTCCAGTTAGATGTGGCTTGACAAATAGTAGAACGCAGCCGAGCCAACCACCCAGGCTTAGTCATGTGCCTCGTCCGCATTACCAGCATATTCCAGACTCAGTTGCCGAACAGTTGCCGCAACGAGCTTAGAAATCCGAACCCAGGCCGGCTTGTTAGAGGGGGAAAAAAAAACTGGCTGTGTGGCTACAGTATCCCCCAGGGGGGGATTCAACTTTTTTTTTAGTACTAGCAGCAATTTCCAATCGATAGGCAGCCCCGCCATCCGCATCGCAAAGAAACAAAGCCGGCCGAACTCGTCCGTGCTACTTTTGTTCTACTATCAACAACCCCATCACGAGCTACTACTTTTTTTGCGCGGGACATTATAAATATCCCCCATTCGACGTCACTCCTTCTCTCTCTCTGTCTCCTTCTGTTCTGTTTGGTAGTAGATTATACAGAAATCGCCCAACCTGTTCGCCTCAAGTTTCAGACGAACGCTGCGTTCGAGTGCTGGGCTGTCGATTGCCGCTGCCGCTACTGCTTTTACCAAGAACCCCTCGAAGACACCAGTTGTTGAGACAGGCGCCAGAAAGATGCACAGCAAGGTTGTCGGTACGTTTACATTCTTCTCTCCTTTCCTTGCATATTAGACATCTTGCTGTCTCTCTACATCTCTTCGGACAGAAATCACAAAGGGAATTGGGCTAACTAACTCTTTCTTGCGTTGCAGTCATTGGCTCTGGCCCCGCGGCCCATACCGCTGCCATCTACCTCGCCAGAGCAGAGTTGAAGCGTAAGTTCTCTACTTAAATCCCCCCTTTAGAGAGAAAAGCGATAAGATACCTGAGCATATGCTGACATTGTTTTTCTTCTTTTGTTGCAGCCGTCCTCTACGAAGGCTTCATGGCCAACGGCACCGCCGCCGGCGGCCAGCTCACCACCACGACCGAAGTCGAAAACTTCCCCGGCTTCCCCAAGGGCATCATGGGCCAGGAGCTCATGGACAACATGCGCGCCCAGTCGGAGCGCTTCGGCACCGAAATCGTCACCGACACCGTCACCAAGCTGGACCTCTCCAAGCGCCCCTTCACCTTCAGCACCGAGTTCAACCCGGACGAGACCCATACGGCCGACTCCGTCATCATCGCCACGGGCGCCTCGGCCAGGCGCCTGAACCTCCCCGGCGAGGACAAGTACTGGCAGAACGGCATCTCCGCCTGCGCCGTGTGCGACGGCGCCGTGCCCATCTTCCGCAACAAGCCGCTCTTCGTCATTGGCGGCGGTGACTCTGCCGCCGAGGAGGCCACGTTCCTGACAAAGTACGGCTCCCACGTCACCGTGCTGGTGCGCCGCGACCAGCTGCGCGCCAGCAAGGCCATGGCCACGCGCCTGCTCAAGCACCCCAAGGTCACCGTGCGCTTCAACTCCGTCGCCACAGAGGTCAAGGGCGACGACAAGGGCCTGATGAGCCACCTCGTCGTCAAGAACGTCGTCACCGGCGAGGAGGAGACCGTCGAGGCCAACGGCCTCTTCTACGCCGTCGGCCACGACCCCGCCACCAACCTGGTCAAGGGCCAGGTCGACGTCGATGCCGAGGGCTACATCCTCACCAAGCCCGGCACCACCGAGACGAGCATCCCCGGCGTGTTTGCCGCTGGTGACGTCCAGGACAAGAGATACCGCCAGGCTATCACCAGTGCCGGTACTGGATGCATGGCTGCTTTGGAGGCAGAGAAGTACCTGACTGAGCTGGAGTAAAAGCAGATGTGGATTTAGCATATAGAATAGAAGGCGTATATACCTACATATATCACATACAAACTTTGATTTGGAGTACAAGGAATTAGTCCCCAGAGATCACAGTGTAGAATAGATTTCAATGACATTCATCAAACATGTTGGAGCTTGCAACATGCAAAATAAAAATAAAAAGGCAATACATTTCTGAGATAAATCGCAAAACACTCATCATATAGCGAAAAGAGTCATACATATAATAAGGTGCCACTCCTCAGAGTATAAACTGCATACTCTATGTATTCCAGCTCTTTTCCCTTTGTCTAGTTCCTTTTATGATCGTCTGCAGATTGCTCGACAGAATAGCTATGGCCTGTCCGCCACAAAGGCCCTCGGCTTCCATAATTTCATCCATGCCCATGCTACAAATAATTACTCTAGTGCTAACCAATGCTGATATCAAAAAAAAAAAAAAAAAAAAAAAAAAAAAAAAACGAAAATTCACAAATAATTTTTTTTCCCTTCCTTTTACTTTTACTCCAGCTCCAGCACAGCGGGGGCTGTGATGGTCTTGCCTTTGAGATGCTCCAATCCCTCACCACCCTATTATAACTCATGTTAGTACAAGGTTGGAATGTATATAGGTAACTAAAAAAAGGGAAAACTTACGTAGCTGATGAGGGGAGAGACCTCGATACCTCCTTCTGAGAGGACCGTGGCACCGGCGGCTTGGACCCATCGAAGGCCTTGGTCCATGATGTCAGCCTTGCTGGTCTCGGGGTCGTCCTGGCCGGTGCCGCTAGCGTTCTTGAGAGGAGAAAACTCATCGGCACGGTTCACCTCCATGCAGGCAAACTTGTCAAGAGCAAGGAGAGGGAAGCAGTCAAAGACAAACTGCTCAAGCTTGATGCCGTTGGGCTTGGCAGGCTTAATCAGCTCTCCAGACTCAAGATCGGTGGCAGGGATCTTCTTGCGGGCGACGTGGTGGGGCAGCTTGTGAGCCCACAGAGGGATGCTCTCCAGGAAGCTGAAGGAGTAGTAGTGGTTAACAATGTTGGCAGCACGGTACTTGAGGAGTTCGGGGTTGCTGGGGTCGCGAGCCTCAGCAGTCTCCTGGTCAATCTCGGAGTACTCCACAACATCAGGCTTGCCGTTCTTGCTAAGGATCAGGCCGACAGACTCGGTGGCATCACGCTTTCGCACGACCTTGGTAGCAATGTCGACGTTGAGAGATGCGGAGAAACCGATAAAGACGGGGTCGGCGACCTTGACAAGGCAGTTGTCGACGCAGTAGGCGTGGATGTGCTGGATACCGCGCTTGCGCATATCCTCTAGAACTCCAGAGACGATGAGAGCCTGGTAGATGCCACCATTGCCATCAGGGGCGACGGCAACCTTGCCCTTGTTCTCCAGAATGATCTTGCCCTCGTTAGAGATGCAAGGCAGAACACCCTGCTCAAAGATCTTGACATTCTCCTTCTTCAGGCCAAAGAAGTTGTTCTCGGCGAAAAACTCCTCGGTGGGCTTGCGAGTAGGTCCACTGGTCATGACGTACCAGGGGACAACGACGCTGTCAACACCAGCCTTCTTGGCAGCCAGCTGTTCGACCTTGCGGATACGCTCGGCCTGAATCTTGAAGAGGGGCTTGTGTGAGGGCAGGCCAATATCGAAGCAGCCCTTGGGGGCAGAGCTTCCGAGTCTGGTTCCCTGGCCACCGGCCATGAGCACGACAGCAACCTGGTTGCTGCCAATAAGGTCAAGACCGGACTCATACCACTTGTTGATGTCGACCGGGCTCGAGTCCAGGATACTGGCGCAGGCGGACTCAGGGAGGGGCTCAAGCTTGGTAGCAGTCTCCTCGGCCTGGGGAGGGTTCAGGGCTCGGTCGGCGATCTGGTTGATGTAGGCTGGGTCAAAGCCGGAGAGCTGCTCGAAGAAAGCAGCTTTCTCGGCAGTGCTCAGGGAGTCGTAGAAGGTGAAAACATGGCCCTGGTCGGCCTTTGTGTACTTCTCCTTGAGCTGGGAAACGGCCTCAGATGAAGGCTCGGTGTGGCCGTTGGCGTGGCCATTGGTGCCATTGTGCAGAAGATTCTTGACGGCTTCCATTGTGCAGGTGGGAGTGGAAACAGAAGGGAAAGGGAACAAGTATTAAGATGTTGGTAGATGGCAGAAAATGGTATTAGTATAAGGATACAAGCGAGTGTAGATCCCAATGGACGGCGGCAGTGGCGGAGGAGGGAGAATGGAGAGAAGGAGAGCAGCGATGATGTCGAGGAAAGCAGAAAACCAGGGAAAGCTCCAGTAAAGTATGCGAACGAGGCCGGCTTTGGCCAGGAGAGATAGGAGAAAGCCTTCTGCTAGAGGCTGATGGAAGCGGACCTGCGCTCCACCCCGGGAGTACCTGCGTCGCCACGCCGCATGCGCTGCAGGCCAAGTTGCGCGCAAGTATCTCCCTCGTACTGCCTACCAAGTCCGTACCTGAGACGCGCCTCTCTCCTGGCTGACGTCGTGCTGCCTCTAGCCACAGCCCACCCCTCCAAACCAGAAAAATGCCCTTCTAGCTTTCTAAGGGGGGGCCGCATTAGTGCGAGGAGCTTAACAGGCCCAGCGAGCCCACCAAACTTTAGCGGATATTCGTACATGAAGAACACCACTACCCCCCCTATGAATGCCGCATTAATACCAGGCAGGTTTCTATCTAAACATCGCCGTAGCACCACAGGTGAACTAAGTGCTGCAGCAGAAGCAAGTATTGATACCTTGCTGCTGGCCATTGATCAATTTTCGGAGATGAAAGCACAAAAAAAAAATTCAATCTCTAAAAACGACTAGCGGCAACGAGCTAAAGTCGGGACAGGCTGAGATGAGGCCAGCGGAAATATGCTGCTGCTATTTTGAGCTTCTTAGGGAGGCGGTGCGGCAATTGGCTTGTCAGCCCTCCGCCTCGCAGGAACGCTGCAGGCGCCTTCTGCATAGGTGCGCTGTGGGCTTTGTTTGCCAGCTAAAACCCCTAGCGCTGCCAGTGGATTTCACACCTAAAAGTCGTGGTGAGCGCTCAGTTGCCGAAAAAAGGTGATGTGTTGTTTTCCAGTCGTCTTAGTCAGGAAGAGAAGAAAAAAAAAGCCCTAGCTGAAGATATTTCGACATGTGATACGCATTGTTGATGGATTATTGTTGTCAGCCAACACGATGCACTCATATTTTCCTCTTGGCGTTTGCCCATTTTAGAAACGGTAAACAACAACAGAGATGCTGCGTCGTCTGCATGAGTAGCTGCAGCACATGCGCATCCGAATGCATGTCCGGCTACCCACGCCACGGAGCCGATCTCCCCGTATGGACCCTCCTGAGGAGACGTCAACATGGGCTGGATACGAGCGCCAGGGCAGCGGGCCTCCCGATTCGAGCCGCACATGGCTGCGTGTGTCTGGCCCCTATCTTTTGCGCTCTTGATCGGGATGGGATGACGATGATGGGTGTGCGACGTGCATGTGTACGCATCCCTACAGGTGATTGCTGGCAGCGTGACGTCTAATTCACTATTGCTCTATGGCACGGCGTATAAAAGATTGATATATGGAGTTGTGATTCGTGGTCGGATTTTGAGAAACCCCTGTCCTCGGCATTGCTTCAAGAACTGTAGGTATGGATATCAGTATTTTTCCAAGAGATGATGCCAGCATCCCTGCGGCAACCAAGCCTACGCAGCACGGTCTTGTTCTCTGCTTTGGCTTCGCTAGTCAACACCCTCTTCTACAGTATGCTGGCTTGACGGTGAGAGCCAAGGGTTCGTGCAGGGACTGCTTCTTTTCACGACGCACCCCGTATGGAGTGCTCCACACATACCTACAGTATTATCCCGTACTTGTAGTGCTAGCATCACGCGTGTCCGAAGTACAGTAGCAGCAGTAATAGGTACTGCTCATAACTTTGCTTCATTCAGCAACAGAGTGGTAATCCGGTAGGCCATAAAAAGGATATTTCTGCAAGGGGCAGGCTGCAGCCATGCTGTGTTAGTGTCGAATCGTGTCCACGTTCGTATGGCTTCTGCACGACGTGGCGGAGGACTAAAAGGACATCCCCCTGATCCAGCTGCGGTGACCGAGACGCTGTAATATCGCAATATCAGTGATGGCGCTGCTCTGTACCTGTACTTCAAATATATCTGAGAATTGGCAGCCCAAACATGATGCAGCCACTGGCTTCGGGAGTTCACCGCAAGTTCGCTTCATTCTCATTAACCGGCACAAGCTGGGGAGAGTAGTGGTAGTTAGTGACTGGCAGGTGTCGACCCCTGAATACTGCTTGACTTCTGTATTATCACTGCCATCTCGATGATCAGATAGTAATAGCTGGTACGGCCTCCTGGGACACAAGAAAGAATCGGAAAATCTACTGGCTCGGCTTTGCTTATCGAGGGAGGCTGGTCCATGTAATTCGTAACGGAAATGCCTGTTTTGGACGGAAATGGTGAGCGACTGGCACGTGATTGGTGCTGCCTTTCTTCACCTCTGCTTGATATGCCTAGTAGGTATCTGCCTATTCAAAAATTACTACAGAAGAGAGCCACGTTTGCAACATCAGTCGACCGACTGGTCCATCATCGCACCATGCCGATGCTGCTGGATCCCAAATTGCCTTGCGGCACAGATGATGCACGATCTCCCGCCCGCCAGGAAATGGAACAGCTGGTCTGTGGCTGTGTCGACGCTAATTAATGCTGGCTAGTTTCTGGTGCCGGCAGCCTCAAAATCAGCCGCTCCACGAAGCCCCCAGTCAAAGATGGAGCCAAAAATGAAAGAAGGCAAAAAGCTGTTCCAAATGAATCGTTCACCAATCGGCTACCTTTTCTTTCTCCCAGCAGGCTTGGCTCAGCCGCAGATTTTACTACTGGTGCCTAGACCACTCCTGTTCTCAGGTACTAGCAGCATCAGTGATAGCGTTGTATATCCCCTGCCAAAGGATTCGAGTTTGCTAGCCAATGCTTCAGCTGCCGCATATAAGACGGCTGATTAGTAAGTGTGGCTCAAATATAGACGGCGTACTTCCTTTGCCAAACTTGCAGCGTTCATGATCTTACAGGTCACTCGAGCGAGAAAGGAATTTCCCAGGCAGATTTTGCTTGCAATCTTCGAAACAAAAATCTAAACAAGTCCTAGTGTGCCATACCAAGTCATACAAGAAGAAAACCCCCGTTTAATAAGCATTGTCAGCGTCAAATTTGGCACAGAGTAGACCTCAGCTTATACACGCCTTCACGCCTTCACGCCCTTCCACGTGTTACACCAGCCTATTGACCGAGTGATATGATCGGTGATTCCGACATGGAGCCGAAAGCTGAGGTTTCAAATTCGGGCGAGACTGCAACATTTGAGGGACGCTTGCAGTTGAAAGACTTCATGTACAGCGCCCCTCAACAGCCTATACGGAGGAGTCCTCGGTTTGCTGCTGCGTCTGAATCACCATCGTCATCCTCAGTGACAAGTGTGACGAATCCTCCTCCATCATCCAAGAGGAGGCGTCAGACAGAAACTCCAGATTCGTCATCTTCATCCCCACAGAAGAAACAGCGGAATCGTCCCAAATCTGGCTATGCTCCACCTTCAACCTATGCCCACTTACCAGAGCTACCTGATGCCGTCGCGCCCAATCTCCTGGTATTTTTCATCGGGCTGAACCCCGGTATAGAGACTGCGCGGAAAGGTCATGCTTATGCACACCCATCCAATCTATTTTGGAAGCTCCTCTACTCGAGCGGCGTGACGCCCGTGCCGTGCCGTGCCGATGAGGACAGGCAGATGCCGGAGCGATACAGCCTTGGGCTGACCAATATCGTCGCTCGGCCCAGTCGGAACGGCGCCGAGCTAAGTAAACAGGAGATGGATGATGGTGTCTCCATCTTGGAAGACAAGGCCCGCAAGTGGCGACCAGAGAGCATGTGTGTCGTTGGCAAGAGCATTTGGGAGAGCATCTGGCGCGTACGCCACGGGTCTCCCGTAGGCAAGGCCTTCAAGTACGGATGGCAAGACGAGTCTGAGAATATGGGCGTCATCAAGGGCGAGTGGGCGGGAGCAAAGGTATTTGTTGCGACGAGTACGAGTGGCCTTGCAGCTTCCATGTCGCCAGCCGAAAAACAGGCCGTATGGAACCAGTTGGGCTCCTGGGTCAAGACAAGGAGAGCCGAAAGAGAGGTTGAGGAAGAGAAGGAGGCTGACAAGGAGACAGAATCTTAAGAAGAAGAGCGGGGCTAGACAAATAGTGACAGCGGGTGATGCATATTCATGGCATTAGCAATTCTTTTGACCATGCGCATTTGTTACATCCGAATGACATGGTGTTAGTGATGCTAATGCTCATCAAGGTGTCGTGCCTATCAGATCAAGTACCATGAGCCTCCATAAGGTTGATGTTATAATTCAATGCGTATGATACATGAGTAAAAATACAAAACAAAAATATAAACTTCATTACTCTACTGTGAAGTTATCTGGATCGTTCAAAGTATGTGCCTGGACTTGATAGATGTTACATAGGCTGCACCCCGCCGGGACCAATCAGACGCGCCGCGCAAATCCCGTCCTCCACCGATATGACATCGTTCTTTTAGCTAGCTAGAACTACAAGCCTTTCCCAAACTCCTACACCCACACCTCTTGAACCTACCAAAATCTTTCCCTTCAACTTCAATACAATCTAAATAGGGAAGAGGGCAAATCGAACAACGATACAATGTCGTCCATAGGCCCCCAACTCCCACCTCATCTCACAAAGAGGAAGCATGACGACGACGACAATGTCGACGAATCCACATGCCCGTCAAACAAGCACCCTCGTCGCGATGATAACACAGCGCAACCTCCACAAAACCAAGACGAGATAGACATCAATGGCTCCAGCTCAGATTCAGAAGACGATTACGGGCCACCTAGGCCATCCACTCTCCCAGCAGCGCCCGCTCCCCGAAGCGTAGGGCCATCTCTTCCACCACACCTCGCCGCAGCCGCAAACAACGAGGACGAGATCAATCTCTCCGACTCGGACTCCGATCCTCTCCCACAACCTCCTCCAGCCGCAGCCGCCGCCGCTTCAAATCCTCCCAACCCAGATCCAGACTCTGATTCTTCAGACGACGACGACGACGACGACTTTGGTCCCTCCCTCCCCTCCGCCTCAGCTCCTCGCGCCCGCCAAATCGGCCCATCCCTCCCTCCTTCAGACCTCGACGCCGCCCCCAAGCGAGACGAATGGATGCTCGCCCCCCCTCCCTCCTCATCAACCTTTTCCGAGCGCGACACAACAAAGATCCGCGCCCGCAAATTCGCCTCCAAACCGTCAGCAGCATCTTCTTCAGCTTCAGCCCCCGGCGCTCCCTCAATATGGACCGAGACGCCCGAGGAAAAGCTCAAGCGCCTGCAGGACTCCGTCCTCGGCCGAACCTCCTCCGCGTCTTCTTCCGCCGAAGCAGGCGGCGGCGCGTCGGAGCTGCAGCGCAAGAAGCAGCTGCGCGACGAGGCCCTCGCGGCGGATATCCAGGCTCGGCGCGGGAAGACGCTTCTGGAGGAACATCAGGGCGCGGGGGAGAAGAAGAAGAAGGCTGGGGCGGCGAGGCCGGAGGATGAAGAGGATGACCCGAGCAAGAGGGCGTTTGATAGGGAGAAGGATATGGCGGTTGGGGGGCGGATCACGGCGACGCAGAGAAAGGAGCTGATTAACAAGAGTGCCAACTTTGGGGGGAGGTTTCAGAAGGGGTCTTTCTTATAAAGAGCGTTTTGGAGACGGGGCATTTTTGGACAGAGCGAAGTTTTGCATATGTAATGGCTTGCAATTAGGAAAGTATGATTATGCAGATCATAGACAAACAGTCTTTAAGAGGGCGTTTTAAAATCTAGACGGTTTACATCACATCATACATGTACATGTTTTTCAATCACAACCCAGTTACACGCTTCAGTTCCAAACGGTTATGTCTTCTTCACCGATCCTGTATATTGATAACATCGAGCCGAGCTACCAAAAGAGAATGCCACTATAGCCACCCAACTCCGCCGCTGATATTTCCCATACCATCCTCCGTCTTCACCTAACGCTGGGAGCTCCCAAAGTGTAAAAATCGAGAATTTTCCTGTCCCAATGCAGGCTAACATAAAAAGCAAAAACCCATGCATACATTAGAAAAAAGAAAAGAACAGGAACCCATCTCCTTTCATACAAAAATACAAAAAAGAAAAGCCATCATCGCCCTGATTCACCATATTTCCCAAAAGAGGCTACCATATTTTTAAAAAAGAGGAAAAAATAAAGAAAAAAACAAAAAATGATACCTTACCTTTGTTGTTTCCCCATTCAAAGAATTCATATATACGTGATGGTCCACTTGAAAAGTGGTGTACTTTGTCGTTTGAACGGTTAACAACATAAAGAGAAAAACGAGGAATGAAACCTCCACAGATGCTTTCATAATGCGAGATAAATTCCGAGACGGTGGTGTATGTGACTATATAAGTCTTTCATGACGGGTGTGTTCAACACATATGTTGGTAGAGAGAGAATGCCATCGCTGCCTTGAGAGGGGCAGGCTCAAAAATGAAAGTAACCAGACTGAGAGCAGATAAATCAGGTGAAGATGAAACCCAAAAAAGAACAACAACAAACGCCAAATACAAAGACGCAACAAGTCTATTTACGTAGAGGTGGCGGGCGGTTGCGTGCCTGCCTCTAGCTGCGACGGGGTCACTGCCGGTGCCGCATTTGTTGTTGAGGGCGCTTCGGTCGACCGTCCGAAGCGGAAAGCGTGTCGAACAGAGGAAAGCAGGGTACCCTGAGCAGCTGGCTGAGCGGTCTCAGTAGTCTGGTTTTGCTGGTGTGCTATTCTGGTTTCTATCGCCGTAGACTGAACCCTTCTCCGTATTGGGAACTGGAACACAGAAGGCCGGGTGCTCGAGTTGTTGTTATTGCTACGGCCATTATTGCGGTTGCTATTGCGGTTACTGCTTCGGTTGCTGTTGCGGTTGCGGTTATTACGAGAGCGGCCGCCCGAGGATCGGAAGAAGGCCGCTGTCAGGCTCGCAGGCAAGTTCATGCGAGAATTCTGGTGTGGGTCCAGGTTGGCATTGCTGGCGGTAGCAGGATCATTCTCTGGGTTGGGTCTGGGCTTCGGGACGTAGTAATCGGCCTTGCACAGCGGGCAGCATGCGCGACGGCTAGTCAGCCAAGGATCGACGCAGACGGCATGGAAGGTGTGGCCGCATGTCAATCCGCGGACATCATCGTCGTCTTCGAGGGTGTCGATACATATGGCGCAGGTATCGCCGGATGTGTTGAGGAGTTCGGGAGGAACGGCGGCTGTGATGTGCTCATCATCATCTTCGTCGTCTTCTTCATCTTCCTCCTCGCTAGACGTTCGTTTCAAGGGGTCATGAGGCATCACGGGTCCGTCCTCCTCAGAGGTTTCGCCGACAGGGGCAGCAGTGTCTTTGTTGTCTTTCTTATCCTTCTTGTTCTCATCATCCTTGGTTACGTTTTCAACAATGACTGATTCGGCCTCGGTGGCCGGAGATGCGACTGGTGATGCGATATCGTCGACTGCCCGGACCTCGGTTGACGTGCGCTCTTTCTTGGCAACCTCCGGGACTGCCAGGTCAACCTGATGAATGCTGTTTGGGCGACTAGGCGTTCCTACACCTCCGGCAGTAGGTAGTCCATCTCGAGCGCGCTCCGAAACCCAGGTCTTGTACTTCATCATGGGGAATTTGTCATTGACCTCGTCCATGGTCATAAGCTTCTTCTCACGCCTTCTTCGGTGAGGCCGAGGCATGTTTTCGAGAGTGATGGGTTCACCATCTTCGTTGGTCATGTTTCGAGCTCGATTGCGAGCGTTGTACCTGAAGCAGTACTTGACGCCAACGATGATCCTGCCACGTGTGTTAGACGAGGAGACGAGAATTGGGGGAGAGAAGACAATCAATTGAGAGAGAGATATGCACGTGTATGTGAGTGCGTGCAAATGGGCATACGTATGCCAAGACAGCAAAAACGTCAATGCTTACCAGAGGTTTGTAAAGACTACGCCAAAGCCCAAAGCGACAAAGAAGAGTAGCGGCGAGCTGGAGCCGCTGCTCTTGTTGTTGTTGTTTGAGCTATTTGTGTTGGAGGGAATGGCCGTCTGCGGACTGGTGACGTCTGACGACGTGGCCGTCGCAGAATGCGTTGTGGTCGTCGCAGCCCTCACGACAATATGGGCGACCTCGCCGAGAACCTGGTCAATGACAGCCATGGCTGGTTATTTGCAGAACGAACAGCGATGGATTCGAGGCCTTGGTTTGTTTTTTTTTTTGTTTTTACACGTGCCGAGACACAGACAGCATGGATCGTGCGACGGTGGTCGGGCTCTCTATTTCCAGAGCGTTGCAAAGGCTCGGAGTCGTCGGAGCGCTGAGGGGGTGCACCATGCAAGGCTGAAGTTGGAGCGCTCTTTTTTTGTTGGAGTCGTTTGTCCCTTTGCCTGATTGCTTGTTTCTATTCTGGATTCTTTATATGTCGCCTTTGTGTCGCCTGCAAGCGGGAGGATTTATGAATGGCGAGGCGAGAGAAGAATAAGCACTCGATCCTCCCTGCGAATCGACAGCTACAGACGCTCAAGGGAACGGGCGTCTCAAGGGTTAATTGCGCGGCTTACGACACGCGCGGGAGGGAGGAAGCAGGAAAGATGAACTAGCAGTACCAAGTGAAAAAAAGAGAGACCCGGGAGCATCAAATGGATTCGAAACTGCGGAGTGCAGCAGCAGGTGGAGCGACTTTAAGAAAAAGAGGGCGGGCGATTGGAACAGCGATTCGTAAAGTGAGTGAGAGCGAGCGACGGGACCCATTCCATTCACATCAGGAACCCGGGCCTTGGCCGCGACGGGTCGTGTGTACCTGCGCGCAGCGTCTGAGTCGGCGCGGCCGCGAGGTACGGGATACCGAGTTGGACGACGGGGCACCAGGAGAGCGGCTTGAACCCGCTGCTAACGACCACTGCCAGCCCAGCTTAGCTGCCTTAGCACTACTAGTAACTAGCTGCTACAAGCAACTAGCGCTACCACCGCAGCAGGGGCGCCAGTGGCCTCCCCTCTTTTTACTGCTCACCATTACAGCAGGATGGACGTTGGGAGGAGGGGGGTGCGCCACTCGCTCGACGCAATGGGCACTGTGTGCTGGGCCGGTCGCTGCGCTGTGCTCAATGGCTGTGGACGGGGGCTTGCGCTAACCAGGCCCGCTGGGGGAAGCGCTCACAGCTCAGAGGGCGCTGGGGGTGGAGCCGGGCCTCTGGTGGCTGCGACGCGCTGGTCTCCAGGGCCGTATTGCCGCTGTAGCGCGAAGCGTATTCGAGCCTGTTTGGCAGCAGGTCAGTCAGTATGCATGCGCCGTCGGCGTTGCAGTTGTGCCGGGGTGTGACTTGGGATGTTGAATTTGAGCAGAATACATGTACCTAGAAGATGCCAATTGGCAGAAGGATGAGGCTGCGCAAAGCTGCAATACTGCAATGGAATACGAACAAGATACGCACATCGTATGCGAGACAATTATCACCAGCAATTCTATGTATGTACACATGTATGTAGTACTTCTTAATTATCTACTAGGTATATGCGCACGCGGGACGGTTTGATCGGACAATTAAAGTGCAATGTGCGTTCATATACGGCCACATGTAGGTATCCTGCCCAATACGACATCGAATCTACCCACGCATCTCAAAGGCAACGCAACGCAACACTGATTCAGCCAGGCCGAGATACAGCTGAAGCATTAAACTCAATCCAATTTCGCCTCTCTCCTCGCTTACTGAGTCAGGCTGGCCTAAACCGTGATGCCGCTGCCTCAGTTTCCGTAGCCGTAGCGCCTCTGCCGTCGGCAGGGGCGAAAAAAAAAAAAAGCAAAAAGAAGCATTCAAAAAAGGGGAATTGGTTTCTAACACCTCAGTTTCGTTATCCAGCGCCCTCAGCTGTGAATTACGAAATACCCAAGACTTGCAAAAAAGTAGTGGCAGTAGGACTAGTGGGAATAGTAGACGCTGTAGAAGATTCAAATCCATGGAGTTGTGGTTCGCGACTTCAGCTACGGCTTGGGGGGGTGTTGGAACAATTCTCCCAAAAAGGAACAAGAGAGACAAAATGGCTTGGTGAGCTATTAGCTGAAACCAAGGCAACCCAATGAATTTCAATTGTCTCAAAATAAGGCCGCAAATAGTAGCAGAATCCACCGCCAGCTTGGTTCAATTCGGGGTTTTTTTTCTTGTTCCTTTCCTCGTCAGGTCCTCCATGTAGTATTTACTGGTATGTACAGCTCAAATGTCGGACAATCTACTTTTGACATTAGAGTTGCTTACGCACGTTCCTGGAACTCTGATCGAGCCGCCTGCTGCCACACACACACAAATACGATAAGCCGGCCCGACGTGAGAAATAAAAGGAAAAAAAGAAAAAAGGAGAAGAAGAAAAATCGTATCCGTTCGTATCTGCGTCTGCGACTCATTCGGCGTTCAAAATGGAACACACTCGGTCTTTTTGACCCCTTCTGCCTAGCAGAAACTCGCTGCTCGCACGTTGGGGCCCGTGGAGATGTGGACCTCGAAAGGCGCCGAGCTTTTTGAAGCCGTCAGCTGTTTTGATGTCATTGCCAATGCCGCCGGTCGTCCCCTCTTTGCGAGAAGGCGCGCCGAGCACGGCACCGATCACCGTTCGACGGCTTCGGCTTCGGTGACGGTGGGCTGCGTTGCGTTGCAGAGAGATCCGGCGCTGTAAGCGAATGCTTGGCCTTTTCTTCCTTTTCCACTTTGTTATCCGGGGTGATGGATGCGTATTGTGGAAGCTGCAGAACTGGGGATTTCCCCCAACGAGCTACCGTTGACACTGTACTGACTGTATGGAGAAGCTTGGCTGGATCTGCCTACAGCACTACGTGACAGTTACGCAGAGGCGGTCGTTTTCTTCCGTGATTGGCATTTGGCATCGGTGCTGTAGACACCAAGCGATAAACCAGCGGGCTGGAGGCGCCGGACCCGACTCTAACGAAGAATATGCCAGTTGAATAGATAGATAGAATGCCTGTATGCTACAGTGCGCTGGGGGGGCATTTTCTCGTCAAAATCTATTTTTAATGCACGTCTAGACCCCGTGCCGTGTCTTATTCTTCGGCAGAATTACGCCCCTCCAGCTATGAGACATGCATTGTTCTGACAATTCATAGGTCGATTTTGCGTCGCCCCGTCTGCTCTCCTGCTGAGTATTCCATACCAGCTGCATACCTGCCCCGGTTGTCGGCCCCAGCTCGTTCATTAGTCGAGAACGGTCCAAGATGCTTTTGGCTTCGTGCCATTCCCGGGTGGCGATCTGTGGCTGGCCAGCAGCGCTCTGCTCTGGTAGGCCGCCTCCTGCCTAGGCGCGATTTCCAGATCGGACACGATGCGAGAGTTTTGCTGCCAGGGCGCAGAGGTTTTTGCGAATGTACTCCGTTCATGCATACATAAAACAAATTGAGGGTCCCAACGGTCAATTATGTTTCCTTCTTGTCGCTTCCCTTCCTGATCCCTTCAAATGTCGCACTACGAGAGCGGCGGTCAAAGAGGGGCGGTGGATGCTGGCGGCCCCGGATCAAGATGGCAGAAACAGCCCTGGTTAAAAGTGTTAATCGACGACTTGATCGCTGGGCTTGGCGCAGGTATCCCCCGCTCTGGAATCCCCCGCCAAAAGCGCTCGTTTCTGGGGGTCGAGTGACAAGTATCCCGCCACTACCGGGCGTACTGCAGCATCTCTGCGCCTCTGTTGCGCGTTTCACTGCCTCGAGCTGCTGTTGGCGTGTGATTTCCCGCTAATGTCCATCGGATCTCCCCTGCTCCGGGGCATGACTGTGCAGTGTTGGATGCCAGTTGGCGGACACGGAGCCCTCCGAAATAGATTGAAAGTGGCCTACAAGTAATACTACAGTAGTACTCCGTACACGCTTGCACATCACCTTGTAGGAGCATCTCGAGCATGTCTGTGTAGGCAATATAACTAATCCATTTACTGGAAATACCGAATGGCCCGTGCAGCCAATGTGTTGTGTTGGTGCTCTGCACTCCAATTTCAATCGCAGTACCAAGGCATGTCTGCATGTCTCACTCGGCGTAATGCATCTTGATAGGCAGTGCAGTGCGTTCTTTCTTTCATCTTTCCATGCCAAACGCACCACCGGATTTCACATCCACCGGGTTTCTCTCCACGCTGCGAAAACGGCCTTTTCATCGTCCACGGTTGATCCTGAACCAGCCACGGCTCCGCCAGACCCTCCCGCCGTCAGATGCCTCGAGCGGTTAGCCGCGAAAAAAAAAGAGCGAGTGCATTGGATTGGACTGGGCCTCGCTGGGACTTTGTCCGCGCGCAAGCATCAATCAGCCTCTTATCAGTCCACTGAGGGGCGTATCGACAGTGTGCAAATCCCCACTGTGCACTGTACTCTTAGCGTCGATGTCGATGCGGAGCTAATGCCCAGAGGCCGTTTCCTCTGCACACCCTCTCCAGCAAGCAAAACGGGTGCAAAGTGCCTCTTGCAGAAGGGATTCGCTTTGCATGGATGACGACAGCGCGCACTAATAGCAAGTTGGTGATGCTCAGCCTTGATTGTTGTTGCATTTGGAATTGGATGAGCTTTGCGATGCGAATGCGAATACCGTACATGTGCCTACTATTATCATCTACTGGAGTCGGGACAGCGTTCTGGTATAGATGACGCGACAAAACGAGGCACGAGAACAAAACAGCTCACTAGCAGCAGGTAAGCAGGGCGAGTCTGGCAACTTTTTTGACGTGCGTCAAGTCGGCATTGGGCTTCATGCATGCTCGGCCATCTCTTGATTCCCGTCTTCCGCGATCGTGTAGGGAGTCAGGGACACCATTGATTTGAAATTTGCGGCTGAGGCACGAGCAACGAGGTCGAAATGGCCCATGCGGGCGAGGATTATTATACAAGCATGTCCAATCAGTCGTACATTAGTGCGAGTACGCAGCATATAACATGACACAGCTAACATGAAAGGAGAGAAAAAAGAAAGAAGAGAAGAAGATGCTGAAAGGAGTGAAACAAGGAACAATATCCCTGCATGTACTGCAACACGACTAATCTATCTGCAAAATACGGCCATCACGATGTTTGGGCTCCCAAGTACATGCTATCTCTCGCCGTTGGACGGCTTTTTTTTCTCCCACCGCTGACATCATGGATAACCTGACCGGGTAGCGGTGCCTGAGAATCACCGCCTTTCCTTCTCCATTGCGCTGCTTGGACCACTTGAGCCGACAGATGATTGATGATGCTGGTTGCACCGCCTCGCCATGAATGACACGGAGTGTGACAAATTGACGGTGGACTTACCACCCAAAATAGCCTCATAATCCTCTCTCTTTTTTTTCCTTTGACACACACGCTATATCTTGTCTTTTGTATCTTGTATCTTGCATGCAGCAGACATCTTTGTGATTCTCAGCTTGAGATGCACAAATAAATGCGAGGCTTCCTGCTAGGATGTTGGCATTACCTAATCTTTGCTCACACGCCCCAAAATCCAGCACCAGCCAAGCCTCGCTCTACTCCATAAATGTGTGTCACCACTTTAGTACTATTGCTTTTTTCTTCACTCTATTCTAGAATCAAAACCCGCTACTTAGTGTGTCCCCCCGGAGTTGCAGCAAGCCGACGGTCCTCGGAGCAATATCGATCATCTTTTTGTCTTCTTCTTCTTCTTCTTCTTTGTTTCTTCTCCCAAATCTCCCCATCATCACACGCAAATAGGGCTTTTGTCGTCACGCCGTGTCCAGCGTGTGACCTGGTTGGAAGATCCCGCTTCGCCCCCCCCCTCCCGGGTGGCTTCCGGATTTCACAATATGCGGATTAATCCCAGCGACGGGGGGGCCGTTTAGCCGCCGTTGCAGCCGAAATGCTGGCTCTTTGTTCACTTGATTTCTCAGCTTAGTCGATAGAGGTAGAGAGGGGTGTAAAAAAAAAAAAAAAAAAAAAAAAACAGCGAAGAAAGCATGAGATTGGAAAGCTGATGCTCAGTCGTGAGGCCAATGGTATGGCTGATGCCATGGACTAACTGGCTCGAACTTTTTTGCCAGTCACTAAGGAAATAGAAATAGCCAGCGGCTTCGTTTCATCTTTCTTGTAGCCAATGCAGCCCCGTTACGCGGCCTCGGCCTTTGCTAGCGGTATCGCGTAGTCTAATACTAGTAGGTACTATCTTCTTGATAAGGGTACTATCTTCTTGATAATGGCTTGGTCAAAACCATTTCGTCGAGTACACGTAATCTCAACGGCATTCCGCCAAGTCCTGTACATGATGATGGTGTTTTTTTGCCTTTCTAGAGATATACCTCAGTTCATGTTGTTCTGCATTCGTAAGAGTTGGAACATGTGATTCCCGTTCAACAAATCCCAACGGCTTTGCGTGATTTGTTTGCTGCAAGCCACTTGAATCAAGTCTCTTTACATCATTTCTATACAATACATAGAACATGATCCATAAAATAAATATATAGAAAAAAGTCAAATTTCCATCGGATCTTTCGGTTTATTCTTCCATCATCATCATGCCATGGCATCTTTCTTTGGCGGTGGGTCAGTTCCAGAGAGAGAGAAATATGGGAAAAAAAAAAAGCTTTTCCAAGTTTCTTCATGTGGATTTAATCGGTACACCCATCTTTGTCGTTATTTAACCTTTTGTGAAGGCGTCTTCCGTGCCTGTTTCGTGGCGCTGCTTCCGAAACCCTGCAAGCCTTGTAAGCCACAAAGAGGTGTAAAAAATGTGCCCCTTTTCCGTGAACGGATATACCGAAAACCCACAAGAATATGTAATGAAAGAACGTCTCTAGAAAGAAGCTGTATTTGGATGAGATTGTTGACTGTTGTATTTGAATTTCACTTTAATAGTCATGGGCCATTTATCCACGTAACTTATATGGAAGACAGTGCTGTAACGAAATATGCGTTATATATAAACATATAGTAATTTATATAGTGGCTTATATAGTAGAAAACATCTTGAAGCATCTAAACTAATTCACAAATAAAATAAAGCAGAAAACAAAATAAAAAACAATGCAAGTAGATACCCTCCAGTGGTATCATCAAGCATACCCAAACGCCTTTATCTCTCCTTCGAGCCGCACGTAAATATTGAACAAATGCCTCAGTATCCGAGAGCGAGTGAATCATCAGTCAAAAGAGAATGTCATTGTCATGTCATGTCAAATCAAGCATATCCAGGCCTCATAGAGCGCCAGACGATTTTAAAGAAAAAAAAGAAAAACGAAGTGAGTAGGAAAAACCTGAAACGACAGGAATTTTCAAATCGCCTATATTTCCTGCCAAATACCCATTTCCATAGAATGCCACACCATATGAAATCAAATCCGTGAGCTTGCCCAAGTGGTATTTCTGGCCCATGGCCTCCCTTTATCGAAAATGCAGTCAACCAAATGCACCGATAGATATGTAAAATAAGGAAATCTGAAAGAAATGATCGAATATGGTCAAGTTGCAATGAAAAAGAGGAAGACTAAATGAATGACCCCATTTCTCCTCCCTCCCACTCAAACACAAGTTACCAATTTTACGTCGAGCCATCTAACGCTTAATGTTGGCCAAAGGCCCAGTTACGACGTCGGTTGAGCGGCGTCACAGTTGGGCGAGTGTTCAACGAGGTCGGCGTCGGCTCACCAGCTGGTGCAGCGGCCACATGCTTGGTAACTGACACAATGACGGTCGGACCAGCGACCTGAGCATTGTTGGTGCGAGTTGAAGTTACAGCCATGGTTGTGGTCGAGGTGATGGTTGTGGTTGAGGGTGAGTGTAAAGCCGCAGCAGCTTGAGTATGGACTGTAGTTGTCACGAAGACAACAGGGCCCGACGTGGAAGAAGAAGACGCAGCAGACACAGTTTTGTAGAGCGTCTTCCAGACGGTTGACTGCTGCTTGTTATTACCGCCAGCTGCAGCGGTAGATGGCTGGGCGATGCCTTGCCTGATCGCTGACTTGGTGGCAACCGCCGTGGTGGGCGCTACATGAGGAGCAGCTGAAGTGGAAGTGAGAGGAGTCGAGCCATGGCCGCCTTGGCCTCCTCCGTCGGCATCAATGTCGACCTGGTAGTTGCCCGTCATCTGATCCTTGATGGCCATGGAGTAGATGTTCTGCTTTTCGATAAACTCACTGTTGATGTTGGCATGCTGGGCCGCAGAAGACGAGCTACCGCCTGTGATCTTGATGTCAATCGTGCTGGCGTAGCTCTCGTTCTTGGAAATAGCAGCCATGGTAAAGCCGTGGGGGTCCTTCTGGCCACGCATGAATGTGCCGGCCCAGGGGTACAGGCCATTCGTGGTCGCCTGGAAGTCGATGTGGCTGGCATCCAGGTCCGGCCAGTCCCAGTACCAGTAGATTGTGTAGATGGAGCCGGCTTTGAGGTCGCTGGGCAGCTGGACAGTCGACTGGCAGCCGAGTTCAATGTTGTGGTCGGCACCCTCAGGGGCCAGTTCGGCGGCTCGCTGAAGACTGAGAGCCCCGTTGTTGGGCTGGTAGCAGTTGCCGTCGTCGTAGTTTCGCGTGCCCAGCAGAACGCCGCGGCCATCGCCTCCCGTGCCGTCCTTGTTCCAAACAAGATGCACGTCAAAGAGGCGCTCGTTCTCGCGGGGCTGGCTGGTGCCGTAGAGGAAGATGGTGCCGCGATTCTGCGGCTTCTTGGGCTGGTTCTGCGGCAGCGTCGTGTGGCCGTTCTCAAGGTGGATGATGGCTATGTGGTCGCCCGGCGCGGCTTCCAGCATAGGGAACTGGGGTTTCTCCTCCTTCTTGTACTTGTTCAGGATCTCATCGCCCGAGTAGGCACTTTGGCCCGTCACCGGCAGAAGCAGCTGCGGGATGCTGTCCTGGAAAGGCGGGTCGGTCGAATTGCGAGCAATCCAGCCACGAGCATAGCCTTCAGCTCCAATCATGGTGCCATTCGGGGCGACTTTGTAAGCTCGCTCAATCCAGGAGTGAGCTTTGGCGGCCGTGGCCAGAGCCAAGACCAGAGCCTCCTTGAGGCCGAAGCGAGACTTGGACGTCATTCTCAACATTGTGACGCGTGTTTTGAAAAGCTGCAAAGTTTTTGAATTGAAAATCGAGGGAGTGACTGCGTTGTTGTAACTGTCGAACAGGTAAGGACTGGGTCGGAAGACGATATCAAGGAATGAAGTGCTTTTCTGAATCTCTCCGGGAGAAACAGCAGAACCAAAATGCGACCGTGATCAAGTTTGTTATTGTTTTTGTTTTTTAAACAAGAGAAGGAGAAGCAGGAGAAGAAGAGATGAAGAGATGCAAATATAGACTGCCAGCTGGCCGGCCCGTCTGCTAATAGCAATGACTGATGCACAGGTGGTGAACAGCTGTGGCCTCTTCTTTTCCTTTTATTTCCACTCTTTTTATTGTATATGTGAACAGACTTGCCGCGCCCGTGTTCGTGTTTTTTTTTTGTGTATCTTTGTGTTCACCTGAATAGTTCGCAAATCAAACGTGATAGAGCCGAGTGTCTTTGTCGAAGGTAATGGGTGAATCACGTCCAGCGTCGTTCAGGCCCAGTGAATTGAAGAGAGTTGGGAGAAAAAAATTGATATCGTCTTGAGTATTTCTAGGCAGAAAGAAAAGGAGGAAGAGGAATAGAAATAGAAGAAAGGGAAGAAATAAACAAAAAGAAAAAGAAAAAGAAAAACTCTTCTCTTCACCTTGCCATCATCAGTATCGTCTCACAAGTTGGAACAATCGGAAGTAGCAACAATCAGCCCACACACAATAGGCAAACTAGCACAATAGTCAAATAGAAATGCAAAGTCAAAGTAACTGAGACTAGAGATGGAGAGAACCGGGTGATATATGACGGATATTCAGCCGCAAAAGACACAAAGACGTCAAACAGGTGCGACTAATATATCCCCCCGACAACACACCAATTCCAACAACTACGGCAAGCCAGAGAAGACGGTTCCTTCTTCTCTTTCAAGCTGAGGCATCTCACCGTGCCAGCCGGCTTCAACGGCAGCCTATCGACGACACGGCATCGGCTCGCCATGGTCGGACATGAGACAGCCGCAGGACCATTCATTCGCCCATTGGCAAGGCTGGCAGTGCAGCGGCTCGCAAGATGAGGCCACGAGTGGCACGAGGCAGCCGAGAATAGAACAAAACAGAACAGAAGAGCACAGCAGGATGGAGCCGGTTAGTCGGTCAGGCAGCGGATGCTGGATATGGCGACGAGGCCATTCCACGGGCCTCGTTTCAGCAGACGCGAGTTGGCCGCCGCAGACTGGGAGACGCACAAGAGGCCGTGGTCGGGTCAGGTATCACCTGCTAGGTAATGCAATGTACTATAGATATACCACTATAGATGCTACAGGCTGTGATCTGGAGCATGTACCGACACACCAGAGCCTCGCAGTGACGGTACATGCAGACTTGGAAACAGCCTCAACTCGAGATCCCAGATCGCATGCATACGACGACGGCACGTTATTACTACTGCTGCGTTTACAAGTTACAGGTGCACATGAGCGGCCCAGGCCCATTAATTTGCCTAAGCGCCGCGCATATCCAGCGCTGTTGGCGGCGCCGTTTAGCCTTGTCCGGGTCGATCCAAGCGACTGGCTCTCATTCGCCGCCGCTGCCGGCCGGCCTCGACCTCAAACACTCTCTCATATAACAAGAAGCCGGCCATCGCAATCATTCGATCAGCAGCTTTCGGCTGCGGCACGCGTGTCCGGCTGGCGCAGACGCAAATTTTCTTTCTCTGATGCAGTCCAGTGGATTCGGTGCCGGGATTGTTTGCGTAATGCATGAGTTGCTGCTTCACATATCCGCATCTAATACTCCAGTCTCGAGACTCCCCACAGCCATCAGTCATATTGATTGCGACACACTATATTGTATATACCTGGAAGCCGGCACTCAAATGCCCCGATTTGTGTTTCAATCAGCCTTTGCCCGTCGTCTCGTTTCATTTTCCTTGTCCTTGATCCTGGCCCCTTCTCTAGCAGACCCTGTCTCACAGGCGCTTAAATCTGCTTTCCCCGGCTCAGTAATAGACGCAAATCGACTCATACAAGACCAATGTAACATTCCGCTTAGCCGCTGCCGCGCTTCATCTCTCTAACCATGGCATCAGATGCGATTGATACGCCGTAGACAGGTAGAATGTAGATTATTTCCCGGCAAAAGGTGCGAGTGGTACTCGAAATAAACGGCCGCTGGCTTGCAAGTATTCAACGCCCTAGCAACAACGTACGCCCTTGATGTAGGTACCTAGCCCACCTACGTACGCAAAATTACCATATACTTTTCCTGTCCTCTTCTTCTAGTATGGACTCGAGATGTCGAATATGCTCAACAGACAGACAACGTGGCAGTAGGAAGCCGTATTATCCGAAGCCTTCTCCACCTCGGGCTGCACTCGATTGGAGCGTCAACAGTCGGAACAGAGGCTCAATCATCTCACACAGAAACAGATCCAACTATTTTTCCACAATAGTTTCACATTGGCTCCGGACTTGCCGACCTGATTGGCTCTGCCAATATCCGCGGCGCTACCTCCCGCATCCAGGGATGTTCAAGGCACTGCTTAGCCGTAAACCGCTTCCTAGAGTTGACCACCAGCATGTTGTCAATTAGATCCAAGGCAGGATCGCCGACCTTGTCCCAGTATGGTGACGGATAATCGAATCGGCCCTCTTTGATTTGCTGAGAGAGGGTATATGGGAAGTCTTTGCTGTACATCTCATCGCTAAAGGGGGGGAAGCCACATAGGCAGATGTACATGACGACTCCGCAGGACCAGATGTCTACTGAGAATCCGTATTTCCGCTCCCTTGAGTCTGCGAGTACCTCGGGGGCCACGTCTACGAGCAAGATATTAGCAATCATTCTGTTTCATGAGCTGGCGTGAACACGTAAAGATACAGGAGAGAGAGTATCGTACAGCTAGGTGTTCCACAGAGAGTCGTCGTTAGCACTAATGCTCCGGCATCGGCGCCAATATTCTTTGCCAGCCCAAAGTCTGCAATCTTTATGGTTGGGGTTTCTTCCTCCAGCAACAGGATGTTCTCTGGTTTGATATCACGATGTACCCATCCCAGGTCATGCTACCCCCCTATAATTAGATCTTGATCCATATAATCGTTTTGTATGCAGTAGGTAGCGGCTAAAAGAGGAACTCACCAAAAATTCTAGTGCAGAGAGTAGCTGCAAGAATATCTTTCGCGTCTCTTCTTCTGACAGAAATTGCTTTACTACGATGTAGTTGAAAAGCTCTCCATGTGGCGCCAGTTCCAGCACCATGTAAATGGTCTTAAGAGAGTAGTCCGCGAATAGATCGACAATCCCCAAGATATTCGGATGAGAATTCTTTTGCAGTGCCTGCAGCGCTTTAAACTCCAAAATGATACCCTTTCGTTTCCAGGCATCGTTCTCTACATTAGTACAAACTTTTACTGCGTGTCTGACACCCGTCACTCTATTGGAGCATAGAAATACTTCGGCAAAGTGGCCCCTGCCAAGTTTCTCAGTCATTTCGTATCGTTTAGAAAAACCAATGCTATAATTTGTTTCTTCCAAGGCGTCCAAGAAATCATCTGCCCTGGAATCTGCTCCCGATACCTCTAGTCTTCTGATACCAGAAGCAGCTATTTCTTCCTCTTGAATGACATTTAGCCCCTCCATGAGCCTTGAGCTTTGTCTTTGCAGTGGCCTGTCGGCAACAGTATCATAATTGGCCGTGAGTTTTCTGACGAGCTGGTGTAGGCCCTTGCGGGAGGCTATAATAGAGGCACGACGTCCAGCTGGACCCTTGGGGAGAACTGCCCCTTGATCTGAGAGGAAGTTGGCAATGGCTTCTAGACCATTACGAGTTGCGATGCTCAGCACTGAATCTCCCCATACCGTTTCGGCCTTAAAGTCGGCTCCCGCTTCGACCAAGATTTTGACGGCGTCAATGTTGACGCTAGAAACTGCAGACATGAGCGCAGTCCAGTCGCCGGAAGCTTTCAGGTTAACGTCTGCCCCTTTACTGAGTAAGGCCTTGATCACATCTTCATACCCGCATCTTGCTGCTCTCTGCAGCGCAGTTTCATCCATATGATCTCGAGCATCAACTTCGGCGCCGAGCTCAAGAAGCACTTGTACGTTATTGGCGTGGCCAAAAGCAGCAGAACGAATCAAAGCCGTCTCCCCATCGCTTCCCCTATCGTCAACTGCATGGCCACTTGATACCATGTATCTCAGAGTATCTGGGACATCAAAGGCAGAGATCAATACAAGCGCGGGCACATGTCTGGGAAAGTCCTGGCTCCAATGCGTATACCGATTAGACTTCAAACTCCATGCTTGGTTAGCAGCCTCTAACGCGGCCGTGTTGGAGATGAAGTATTCAAGCTTTGGTAAGATTTCCGTGCTCTCAATATGAACAATTTCGGCACCCCAGTATTTGGCAGCGTAATCAAGAAATGGATACTGCGTTAAGCGGAGAGACATGCCGGCATCGTCTGTGCAGGGGCCACTGGAAAAGTTGGGCAATACTAGGTATGTCAGACTGATATTTGTAAGGCTAAGTTGCGCCCTCTTTATTAACAGTCTGTGATACTCTTCAAAGTATTGCTGAGCGGTATAGTGGACTAGACGGACGACTTGCGATTCAGCATCAACCATAACCAAGCCGCTGCAGGCTTCCGTTAAAATGTCGCCGTCCGGTAAGTCATCTTGTTCAAGTACTTCTCCGTCCGGTAATTCTCGTGTGGCATATAGGTGTTGCAAGTCTTGGACTGTGAAATTTCTTCTGGCACAAATTACCCAAAATAGGACTGCCTCAGCCAGTTCAGCGAATTCTGTTTCTTGATTCTCTATCCTCTCATATGCGTCTGCGTACATGGCATCTAACGTTTTGGGCAAGGTTTTCAATGCAGATCGCACCTCTCTGCAGCCAAGTTTCTTTGACAGAGAATTCATGTGTAGTTTCGCCAATAAGAACCTATCATGTCTGGAATTAGCACAGCTCTTAGATAATGCTCATGTGTTCAACTTACATCCCCTGAGATTCTTGGATTATGGTTTTGATGATCTCGTCTTTCAAGGCGGGGTCTTTACTAACATGTTTTGAGAGTATATGCTGCTCTCGTATGCATGCATTTAAAAAAGTCTCAATATCGTCTTGATGAGCAGAAATCTTTATTATAGACGCTTCACTGAAATAGACGTCAAATCTGCTAGAAGATCTAGAAGTGCACATTATCTTGACTGATGAACCTAGAGAAGAAACTGCCTTGACAAATCGAAGAGCCTCTTCATTCGACTCTGCACACTCATCAAGAGCGTCGATGATGACATGGAATGATTCAAACATTGAAACCAACTTGCCAAGTATATCAGTAATTTGCGTCAATGTGGGACGAGTGTTGTATTTCTGATGCTGGCTATACAGCGTAGCTACTTCAGATGGCAATACTTCAGCTGAACTTTGAAGCACTTGCTGAAGTATGCTCGAAAGGAGAGCAGCGCTTGACTGGCTGCTACGCTGTCTATAGTCGCAGTAGATGTATGAGCAAAAACTGCGAGTATGTGGTGGTTCTTGTTCGAGATGGTTGATGACCAACGAACTTGTGAGATTGTTAGCAGCAGTCTATACATGAAGTTAAGAGTATGATACGAATCACATACGAGAGTCTTGTCTTGCCAGCTCCAGCTGTAGATTTCATCGTCAGCAGCTTTTATATAAAAGAATCTTCAGGGCTGTTAGACTGACGTATGCCTGGACACCAGAGAGTTCCAGTGTTGCCATTCACCCAGCTACGGAATCTCTCATGTTTCAACAACCAGGTGCCAGTCCCAGGCTGCACGCTCTCCAGAACACTGAGATGCCTGGCGCGAAAAGACAGTGGGCTGAGCCAATTGATGATCTTCTGCGTGTCTGCATCTCGAGATCTTGCTTCTGAGCCTTCTACGTTATCGGCGATTCTATCAAGCTTGAGGTTCGCCGATTTCGCCAATTCTCTAATACAGGATTAGCACGTATTAATCTACAATACAGTGAGTATGAGCCATGTACGCAATATTGTTCTGCAAAACAAGGTTGAAATGGCTTTTCAATCTCTCTAGGCACGCAAGCAGCTCCGCCACTTTCTTCTGATCAAACGGCCACGTAAACGGCTGTGCCAACCGTCTTAGATTATCCTGAGGGGCAAGCTCGGCAACAATCTCCTCTAGCACCTGCTGGAAGAGCTGCAGTGGGCCGTTCGAGACGCTCAACGAATCGATGGACTGTGGCTTCAGCGTGCTGGAGTCGTCCAAGATGGCCTCCGAATCCTCCAAACGGTCTTGCAGCATTTCCACAAGGCATACCGTGCTCCGGAGCTCGTCTCGAAGGCGAATCCTATCGGCCGACCCCCTCTTGATGTCCTTGAGATACTGTGTGACGGTCGTCGCGAGCTGCAGCACAGCGATAACACCGGCCGAGACCCCTGTAGGGCCGCCCATGCCGGCGCAGAGCCAGTGCGCCTAGACGACGAGGCAATCGCTCGGCTTCAAGGCCAACAACGAGGCCACGCGGTGATTTGCAAGAAAAGAGGCCGTCCGGTGCTTGTCTTGTCCAGCGGCGATGCTATTTACAACGTTGTTCCAGGTGCGGGGCTGCCAGGCATCAAAGGATCCTCATCTCACCACCATGGCAGTATTACTCCAATAGGAAAGCAGGTACGTACAGCACATGTGCCTCCATCGTCCACCGCCTCAGACATCAAGCAACATGCCGAACAAGCAGTACCACCTCCTATATCTGCGATAGGTATCTGCGATAGGTATCTGCGATAGGTAGGTGATACAGACTCGGCACAATCTTGGCACCATCTCAGTGTGATCAACGCTTGGCGTGCTCGTGCTGCCAATCACAAGCCAAAAGTCATTCGGGATAATCGAGATGCCCTCCAGCCGCCAATAGCTCCGATCTCTCCTCTCACATCTACAAACATCTCTCTCTCTCTTTCTCTCTCTCATTCCTTCACAGAATTATTGTTCAATACCGCAGTCAATAAATGCCTGCCCTTCCTCCCCATTCCACATAGTCCCTTCTACAAAAGGACGAGAGGAAACTTGGGATCCTATATATGTATCCCGCAAACGCGTCCCAAAACCACTTTACGCGCTTCCCTTAATCAATATACGCGGTCCTCCCTTAAATAGTCGACAACGGCACACTGTTCCTGAGACTCTCGTCCCGCACCCACAGCACAGAAGAGGAAGAGGAAGGGAAAAAAAGGGGGGGGAACCACTTAGCCTTGCCATTCCCTTAGAGAGAGATGGACCCGTTTCTTTGTGATAGGATTTGATCTTGATCCAGCTCGTGGTCAAAGCGCCCAAGCCCGTGAGAACTTTTTTTTGCTTCTTCTTTTCATCCTTCCGCCACCGCGGAAGAAATCCAGCTTTCGATGTGAGACATGTTACGTACGGCTGCCGCAAACGGTCATCTGTTGCCCATGTCCCACTCTGTTATACCGCTTGATTGGCGCGCTGGAGAAACAAAAAGTTCAGCCACAGATGCAAAAGGCCTGTCATTGAACAAAGGTGCTTTTCACCATCACCCAATCACTGCGTCGGGGCCAGATATATGTTCACAACATGTTTATTATTACTCGCGCTTGTTTCTAAAAACTGCCGAAATCCCAACCCAACATCCCATCCAAATTTCGCCAAGGAGCCCAAGACACCGCAAACGCCTCGTCGTTTATTCCCAAGTAGATCCTTTAGCCGTTAATCACTCAAGTATCATGTTCCCTTCCTATCAATGTGGTATCCACCCGCAATTTTTTGCTTTTTGCTTTCTCTTGCCGGCTGTAGACGATTTCCGAAAGTTCGAATAGCTCCAGTCCATAGCACCCTAATGAAACATTATCCAAGCCCTAATCCTTTTTCTGTAAATCCCGTAGCCTGTATCCTCTATAATCGTTGTCTACCAATCACTCGGAATAAGAACATGTGCGTTCAGTGTAGGCTCTGTCCGCCGCCTCTTCATTGACCTAGGGCTGTCATCGTGCTCAGCCCCAACCGCAGATGACGGTGTTGCGACACCTGTGATGTGCCATTGACTCGGATTCCATAGCACCGAGTGGTCGCCCGGATCCGCTCTGGGCTGTGCCGAGGGCGCAGTGCCCCATTCGTTGCCCGTGGGCGTCGAGGTAGGTGCGCCGGGCCAGCTATCCAGAGCCGGCATGTCCCAGCCCTGGATGCTGGTCGCGTCGTCGTAGACAAGTTGAGTGGATGGGTCCAGCGAGGCAGCCGTCGTTGCGGTTAGAAACTGGTTGACGCTAGTCGTTGACATTGGCTTCATATCCGCATAGCCTGCTGGCCCCTCAAAGTATGAAGGCCCGGAGGCCAACGACAGTGAGTGTGAACGGTCACTCGCTGGCCCGCCCACTGCTGTGCCTACCGTTGGCAAGTAACTGTTCACATCCGGATTGGCACCCAAACTGGGGTCAAAGCTCCCGCCCGCATAAGGGCCATGGATGGTCGCTGTTGGTGGCGGCGTGGCCAGTCCTCCCGGAAAGTCAAACACGTTGATGTTTGTTTGTACTGCTGGCGGCACTGGCGCAACTTGCGCAACGCCTGAGGCGCTATCCCATGCCGAGCTCAGGTTCCCAGCCATGATGCCCGTGAGCTGCTGGCTCATGCTGGGTGTCGGCGACATGACGACATCTCTGGACATGTTGGCCGAAGGATACACCAAGGCCTTTTGCTGATGGTATCGCGACATGGGGTCGTTGATCGTCAGCCATCGCCACGATGTTCCTGACGGCTTGAAGACCGGGTTGTACTTGTACCATTGATTTGTAGTGTTGAAGCGCCAGAAGATGATGGCTTGCCTCTTCCACTGTGATGAATCTGGCGCACGGGACCACAGCTCTTGATACATGGCAACTTTGCAGATCAAGTCACTGCCTGTTGGCTCGCGGCGGCCCCATGAAGCCGCATCTCCCTCGTCCTCGGATCTCTTGCGCTTACTGCCGGTCCTCTCTAGCTCGTGCTTCTTAGATTCGTGTCGCTTCTCCTTCTTGCGTTGGTGCTCCACATCAGGATATTGCACGGCTGTGCTCAAAATGCTGGCCCACTCAACAGCAGGGAAAGGCACGTGGATATCCTGTCGGGGCCGCATGTGGCAGCTGCAGTCATTTTTAGAGTCGCTGCATCCCCGATGGTGGATGCCGCTCTCGTTGGTATAAACGCCGCGCTTCGAGTCGTCGCCGTACAGCTCGTCTGGTCGAGTCAATCGGGTAACGCACTTCCAGTGGTGTTGCTGTAGGTTAGGCTGCGTGATGGCCACCTCAACAAATCCAGTGAGCTCTGATCCTGAAGGGAACTTTGCGTGTTCGTGCAGCTCCAAAGTCGAACATATTTCCAGCAAAAGGCAGTCCTGGTCCCTAGCTGGCAGATCTAGTGTCTCATACATGGCCGGCGCATCCTTTGCCCATCGTCGAGTCACAGTCTTCACACACGCTGATGTAGCCTGGTCCAGGGCCCGGGTATATTCATGGAGTAAGACATCTTTACCCAGGGCATCAGGGAAGTCGTCGCAGTTAGTATATTTGCTCAGATGAGGAAACGATGCCTGGTCCAAGGGCATGTTGTTTGCGTCATACGCAACATCGTCCCGGATTTTAATCTCCGCCGAAGACACGAGGAGCTCGCATGTTTTGGGACGCACTGTGATCGATCCCTGTAGCGACAACAGCTGTTTGAAGTAGTCGTAGTTTGGTCTCACATCCGGTACCCGGCCTTCAGCCAACGCCGTCAAGATGGGGTTGGACTTGAAAGACTCTTGCTCCTCTTCATCGTAATAGTCGTCAGAATTAGTGGATCCAGGTTCCTTTTTCTCTTCAGATGGGAAAAGAAAATGAACTAAAGGTAGGAAAAAGAGGTCAATAAGCCAGTCAGCTTTCACAAGAACTTGGAATGCACCTACAGCATCGTAAATCTTCGAAAAATTTCTTGACCACTTGCATGTGACTGGACACTTGCTTACGTCCCATTTGCTCAATGCTGTCATTGCTGTTGTCGATGCGGAAAATTTCTTTGCTGCCTAGGAGCTCTACGCAGATAACGAAGATGTACTCGCTGATCAGCATATTCCGGCCATGGAGTTTTCCGGCCATGGAAAACTTCCGCCGGCCCATGTGAGGCATGAGGAGTACCGCTAGATGGCTTTCGTCAGCTTCTTGAGGGGAGCGGAAATAAATAACAATAAATAAAGGCAACTTACAGTCGACAAAGGCATCTTCGAGTTCTGGGCGTCGCCAAACGCCTCCTTTGTCCTTTTGTGTGTCTTTATGAGCTTGTCTGTTGCGGTACTGTTTGAAGGCAGGACAATAGTAGAGGGGGTTAATCTCCTGTCGGCCTTTGCGAGTTTGCCTAGGCTGATGACGAGGTGCTTGAAGCCTAGAGTAAAGAACCTCGATAGATTGGGATGGAACTATATGAGTGGGAAGGGTTGGCGGTATCGAAGATACCGGATGAGTCTGGTAACATGGAATATTACTGTTGAAGCTATGTGCTTGAGCATTGCCAGCGGCCTCTCGCAGAGGCTGGCGAACACCATTCACACTTCGCCTTGCGTCCATATACTCTGGAGCATGCGGGATGCCCTGTGAGGGGAGGACTGGCCTTGGTTGGTAGATGGATGGCATGATAGAGGCCCGATGAGAGGCAAGGAATGCCCAACAAAGAGATGTTCGAAAGCTCAGCTCCAACCCAAAAGCCACAGACCAAGCCGTGGATGAGGAAAAAAGCAGAGTCTGATGGACAAGAAATGTGGGAAGGAATTCGGGACGTGGAATGGTGGGATAAGTGTAAGCTTTGTACGAGGCAAAGAACTGTCATTGGAACGAACATGTCTTCCTAAGGAGAGAGTCGATAACATATAGACTCGAGACTCGGGAGGGTATGGGCAGGGCCAACGGATTGTATTGACAAAGGGGAGAGGACGGGGGGGGTTAGCAGCTTGTCTTTTGGCCCCTCCAACCCAGGAAAGATACATGCTTCTAAGCTATCAAGATTTCATCCATCTGCAAAGCATCTAAGATGTGACATGGGAGCTGGCGCAGCGGGGGTGGGACCCAGCCAGGCATCTCTTAACGGGGCGGCAACTCTACGTCCAAGAAAACCACTTCTATGAGCCAATGAAGCACAGCTAGGACACCCACCAGCACATGGCAGCGTGAGGTCTGTTACGAGGGGCGTTGGGCATGCAAGGGAGTCTGAAGGCGGGGCCAGGACGCCATGGTCTCACCCACCCTCTCCCCCAGACACATGCGCACCATATCATCTCAGGTGCGGTTCTCCAGGTATGTAGAACGATATTAACATCAAACACAGCGCGGTCACGGCCCCTGGGCATCGCGAAACTTGAATTCTTCGCTGAAGATCCCGGACAGCTGATGACCCCACGCGATGCGCATGGAGAGGGCCGTTGTAGAAGTTCGACAATGGGACACACCCCTCCCCTTGCCAAGGGATGGTTTCCTATGCTCAATAGAGCGTGGGCTAGGGCACAGCTCAGCCTTGTCAGTGCAACACAGGCAATGAATATAGTTTTGCTTCGCCTTTTTACCTTAAGCCTCAAGCTCATCCTCGTCATTGCCAATAGTAACCTTTTTCCTCCCTCCTCCAGTAAGCTGCTGAAGGGCCATTTTATTGGCCTGGCCCCCTACCTTGCGTTGCATCTTCTCGATCTCTTCCTCAGCATCGACAGCCTCGGCGGCAGCAAAGTCTAATACTAGTCGCCGCCCGAGAAGGTGGGTATCTTTCAATGCATTTAGTGCATTCTCTGCCTCTCGAGGGGTTACAAAATCAGCAAATGCAAAACCTCTTGCGGTATAGTCGGCCTTCTTTGGAACGCGGACAGATCTAAGTTGGCCATAAGTACCAAATAGAGTCCGGATGTCTTTCTTTGTGGCTTGGAAAGGCAGGTTCTTGATGACGATCTTGGTTCTCTGAGCCGCAGCCTTCTTAGCCATGTCCTCCCGCCGTCTCTCCTCTGCGGCGTCGTGGCCCCTGTGCGAGGCTTTGACACCCAAAGTATGACCATCCAAGACGTAGCCATCCATGGTCTTGAGAGCCGCCTGAGCTTGACTCTTAGACCGAAACTCTACAAAGCCAAAGCCCATGCTGAGCGTCTGGCCAGGTTTTTTAGGATCTATTTTTGTCTTGACACGAGCTGAGACGAATCCGTCAAGAGGTTCAAAAGCTTCTGCCAGTCTGTTGGTTGTCGTGGCAAAGTTTAAATTGCGGACAAAGAGCGATGCGGTTTCCGCAGGTTCCTCTACCTTATCGCCGCTTGACAGCAAATCATCCACACTCAATTTTTGGACCCCCGTGCGCTGTTCCCCAAGGGGGCTAGCTTGATCCTGAGCGGAGCCGTTCTTGAAGAGATCGACTGGCGCCTTTTCCAAGAAAAGGACGCTGTCTTTGACTCGACGGTACGCCATCTTGCCAAATGCGGCCTTTGCATGGTTCAACTGGGCGAATTGGATGATGGCAATGGTGCCGGTCGGGGGCATGAGAACTCTGAGAACTGGGCCACACTCCTCAAACATTTTCCGGAGTTCTTCCATAGAAGTACCATACGGGAAATTCTTAACAAGAATGGACGTCCCACCACGCTTGTGTGATTTGAAGGCGTCCAAATCCACGCCGTTTGAAGCAAAAAAAGCCTTCGTTTCCTGGATGACTGTCGTTTCTGCGATAGCTTGCTTAACACCCGCGTCCGCAGATGTAGGATCAAGCACTTCAGATTTTGAAACACCCAAACGCGCCGCAACTGAGGCGTTTACAGCGTCCTGGCTCATATACAATGAATTCCAGTTGAAGACACTTGTTGACGCCTCAGCTTTTTTGCGTATCAGGTTTTGTTTCTTCAGGGGTAATTTCGACATTCCAAACTCGTCCTGGAGCTTCTTGGCTTCAGCTGGAATGATGTGCAGAATTCGCCCCTGGAAAGTTACCCCATCGAGAGCTTGAAATGCTTTCACAGCATCGGATGAATCATCGTAAAGCACCAACGCAAATCCCTTACGGACTCCAGAAGCATTGGTTGGCAAATGTACCTGACTAAGTTAGCCATCTGTCCAGCTATACACAAACCACAAAAAGCATCATTTGAAATATGGACAGGAGATCAGAGAGTCGAAGCATCTACTAAAATAATCGCCCAGGTTCACATCACATGCAGAAGCATAAGATGTCCCTATCTTGGGGTTCATCACGTTGCCTGTTTTTTCTTTTTTTTTTTTTGACACGAAGGAAAGAAAAAAAAAATCAGCTTACCTCTTGTAAAGTGCCAAATTCTCCAAACTTCTGATGGAGATCTTCTTCCGTAGCAGTATAGGGAAGGTTTCGGACAAAGAGCCGAGACGTCCGGGTGATAGTTGCAATCGCATCATCTGCACCCGTAGCTTCTGCTCCCTGATCATTTGCTTGGTCAGGGGCATCTTCACTAACGACTTCATGAGAGGAATGCAGTGTGTTGGTGTTTTCTCCGTCATCTCGCACGGCCTCATCAAGCGCTGCCTGTTCGGCAGGCTGGGGAAGGTCGTCAGGGTCGACCAGATCTAGCAATCGGTTTGTCCGTGACCTTAACCAGTCGTCATCTGTTGCATCAACTGACGTTTGAGGGGCCTCCTCGGTTTCTTGGGGTTTCACATCGTCGGCTACAACTTCTTCTGCCACAGATTGGGTTCCTTCATCTAAAGTCGTCTCCCTAGGTAGTCGTTGGTTCATCACCAGACTTCGACTCGCTTCAGACGATTCTGTCTTGCGAAGCTTCTCTTGTCTCTTGGGGATTTGCTCATATTCGTTATCACTCTCGCCCTCTTCAACAAGGGCCTCACCACCTGTGGCGAGCCCGGTCATGTCGGCGTCAGGATTTGTTTCATCTGCAAGGACACCCCCCTTGCCCGCCTTCATCACGCGGAGAAACTCTCGCAGCTTGGGATCGGACTCATCTAGATCCTCTCGCTTCCGCTTCTTAGAATCACCCTCCTCCTTCAGATGGGGACGAGGGTTGTTCGCCACACGCGCATCGGAATGAACTGCTCTCTGGCTCTTATCAAGGGCTGGATCTGAGATCTATCATTCCATTAGAACAAGTTTGTTTACAGGTCGTTGGCGGCATCACGGGTTGCACTTACGGGCTTAGCGGGCTCGACAGATATCTTGGACATACGAATGTATGACTTGTTGAAGTACTTGACGGCCCCTTGGGCATCTTCGGGTGTTTTGTAACCGACATAGCCGATACGCCTCTGGGGGATCAGCTTGACATCCGTGATCTCGCGGTTCTTGGCTGAAAAATGCTTCCGAACATCCGCCTCTGTGATGTTAGGCGGGAGGCCTTTTACAAAAATTCTGGATGTCTCCATGATTGCAATGTGCCTGGATTGTACGGAAGCAATAGCCTGATTGTCAGCCTGCAGGCATGCTTGATAATAAATCCGATCTGTTGAAGATTTACAGTTGGAAGGACGGGAAAAAATTTAGAAAAAAAAAAAAAATCGTCGTTGATATTTACAATGGTTGGACAGTGGGGCAGCAAGAAATTTATGTGGTCCGTGCGTTTTATCGCGTATTAGCTTCGAAGTCCGGCGAGAACGTGTGCTTACCCTAGATCTACTAGTATGGTCGAGGTTATTTTGTGCAACCTCTGTCAGAATAAATCAGTAAAGTAATATTGTGCTAGATTGTCATTGAATTCATGGTTTCTTACCATCAGAGAACTTTTGACGAATTGCAGAGTCTCTGGGTACAGTAATTTTATCGATAATACGCCAAAAGAAAAAAAAAAAATGACAATACGCGCTACGAATACTGCGACATGCATATGCTCATTCTTTGCAAGTCCTCTTGTGTTGTACATGTTGCATGTGGCTATCTACTTGCGGCAATGGAGGGAGTCGTTGTATATTAAAGAGGAGGTTGTCTAAAATAATTCCTTCAGCTATCCAACATTCCATACCGATTAAGTGACGGGATGTTCTATTCGCCAACCCATTGCCGATGTTGTATATAAGAGGCGACCAGAAGTATTTAGATGGTATTATTAGACAACGGAGCTAATATAACATTATTCTGCTAGCTGAGGCTATACTTCTTTCGAACACCAGAAATATAAAATCTTTGAGCATTTTCTGGAGAGACTGGAGTCGAAGATCGAGAGTCTAGTAGCCAGAGATAAGTTATACCAGTAGACTTGGAGGAAACAGTTCGTTAATCTAGTAAACACGAGCTGAGGACACGCAACTTCCACCTGGAGGGCCGCTAATGTACATAGCCACCATACATGAAATGTATTCACCCCATTGATATGCAATGGGTATTAGTTTGGAGTGGTATTGCCGAGTCTTGTCATTTGTGAATAAATATAAATGCGAGCCCAAGTCAGGTTGAATAATATGGGCAAGATTGCTTTCCTCTTTTAGACGCAAAGAAATGATATATATATGATTAAGAATGTCAATCTTGCCTTAAAGGTTCATTACGCCGCTTTGTACAGACCATGGCTCCGAAAGGCAGCCAAACACAAAGAATGGCGATCATTCTCGTCTAGTCTTAGGCTCGTGTACGATATGTGAACGTCTATTCTAAGTTTCACGCTTTCCTGACCAATTGGTATTGCAAGTCCACATACTTATCAACAAATTCGTGTTGCGGCGAGTTCTGACGTTGAAGTTTACATACATGCATGACTAGATATTTCCGTCGAAAATTAATAACTCTTTCCGTGATTTCTGAATAAAATGAACTACACTCACTAGAGTGTCGATGACATAAAAAGAAAATTGCGAAATTTCGATACTCTTGAACTCTTCCGGGTTCGCTTACAAACAATATTTGATGGGCGATTAGCGAGTGTCCACAAATACACAGTGACCCTGAATGGTGCAACTGCTTCACACAATTCAGCTCACAGGCCAGTAGGCTTCTTATTACGCCTTCTGAATCGTACATGGTGGATGTATGTAAGATTGCTTGGGATTATCTTAGCGTTAAAATCCATTTCTGGCATGAGCAGTGTAAAACAGGTGACTGGAGCTAATGTGGAGTTTATCGTTGGGTGGAGAGAGATGATGAAAAATTGACATCGGGAGAGAGCGAGAGTAGACAGCTGCTTCAACTATTCGTATCGCTGGTAAATCTTGGCAGAGAAGAGTTTGTGTTCTTCAATGATCCCTGGGCCACCTAGGTCGTTGATCACTTCGTTTAGTATGGCAGTCATAACTCTTCGTTTGTAACTCATTCACGTCGATGGCGGCCATGGATGTCATCTTTGGCTCCCTTTTAAAAGAGTTTACGGTGAAGATTGATACAGTCTAGGTAATCGTATAAGTGTTCTCGTATTTCATCCATCAACAGTCGCCCCTTTCAGACATTCCAAGAGTAATACACGTACTCAACACCTTTTTCTTCTTCTTTATATTCACGAATAATATAGTAGTCATCTAAATCCCAAAGGATAGTCGTTTTTATAAGTTCTCAGCAATACACTCAGACTTAGACAAAGCAATTTGGCTTATAAGTTGCAGTCGTCTTTGTCTTCATACCTACAAGTTTGAACATCGGGGGTCATCTCAGAGCATTGTGGTGGAAGTAACCTGGCAGTAATACCCAGTTGCCCCCGCAATCTCACATGGCATTGACTGAAATCTAGTAGCATAAAGATTGAGAATTCGCTTTGTGCTTGGCTATAATTTATAACATCTCATATATTCTACTACGATATCCCAGGCTGCGGGATATAGACTCTTATGAAGATGAGCATGAAACGGCGTAAATAAGTGCATCGCATCTTTGCTAAAGCTCACGCAAAAGTGCTTCTTGGTTATTTCTTAAACACCAATCATCTTCATGTATAACCAGCACATTCCACCAAGTAGACGTCTTGATTTGTCCCATCTCTGCCCAGTGTTTATTCTGTTTGCAGACTTTGCAGCAGTGCGCCGCACACAGCGATAATGAGAAATAAAACCTGCAACAGATTTTAACCCCCCCGTTATAATAATGACTGCCTATGGGGAGCCGGCTTTCTTTTAAATATTTGGTAATGGATTCAAAAGACTATAATAGTCTATCCGTTGCTTGGTAGTGTCAGGCCAGAGCAAGCTCACGCTCCAAGCCCCGCGAATGGGCCTAGACGCGGCATGGCGGCCCCTGGCTCGTGCGTCCCGATGCTTAGCCTCCAGCGTCTCTGGTTCGCCAGGCACCGTCAAACCTGCATATGCACCTTGAAAGCTCGACGTGTTAAGGGGACGCGGAAGCTCAGCCCTGCGCAAACTGCATCATACGACCATCTTGTTGAATTCGATACCTCTTTGTCCGAGCGTGTACCAGTCAAGCTTTGTACGGCACCGATCTTGAGGGTAGGTCTCCCGAGTTCCGCAGAGCCCGTCTGGAAGGGGCGAATAGGATACGCAACAGGCGGTTGGCCGCGCTCGTCCGCCTGGGTTTCCGCTGCAGCAATCGTACGATACTTGCTAACGAACAACTTTGCGTCTCTTGCACAAATAGTGGAACTACGTCGAATCGAATCCATTGCCAGACGATCGATTACCCGTTTACCAATCAGAAACCATGGCGGACGCTATGGCAGACAGACCGGCCGATGCCGTAAACGTGAGGGAGAAGCTTGAGGGTGAGCTTCAACGATATCCTCAAATAAGATGGGAGCTCAGCTAACGGGTGGTGTTGTTGCAGCGCAGATCAAGTCCGCGGATATGGTGAGGTCCACCTGACAGAACGCCCGCGAAACGATCCGGCTAACACAGGGGGAAGACGGAAGATATGCAGCAGGAGTGTATAGAAGTTGGTATGTTGGAATCCAACAACCATTGCAGCGAACCGGAAATGGTGCTTAAAGCGAGAAGAGAGACTGATGTTGGTAAACTTTAGCTCAGGAAGCCATGTCGAAATTTACCATTGAAAAGGTACTTTCCTCCTAACTAGATATCTGTACTGCTATGGAGAACGAGAGCTGACGCCACTTGACAGGACATTGCACAGCATATCAAGCGAACAGTCAGCCAACCTCCTTGTACCCATCGTCCACGGCTATACGAGGTTAAGCTAACTGCATATAATGACATAGATGGACGAGCGAAAGGGCCCGACTTGGCACTGCATTGTTGGCCGTAACTTTGGCAGCTTTGTAACCCACGGTACGTTGAGAGCTGGAACATATATATACACACCCCTACTTCGAGCTTTATCGAGTCAATGTCAGATGAGCAAGCAGTTCAGTTGGCTAATGGTGCGATATCTACAGAGACCAAGCACTTCATATACTTCTATCTCGGCCATTGTGCTATCCTGCTCTTCAAGACGCAGTAATCTTGACGCGAGTAGTTCATGGGATAGATGGATTATGGCACTTGCGAGTTGCGGTGGTCCCTTTGGAAGCGTAAGAGACGCTATATGTATGGTCGTGGAGGGCGTGTGGTGTACATTTTTGCGGCTTCATGTTCAGAATTTGAATTATTTATTATTGGATGTCTTTTCTACAACCAGAGATGAAGGATCACTTTCGTCGTTGAGCGAAAAGAAAGAAGGCAATTCACCCCTGTGCTTTGATATACGATCCATAAGTCCTTTGCTCAGGTGCAATCCTACGCTATTGACCTACCAGAGAAGTGATTTGAGGGCGCAAATGAAACAATGTCCGGGGAAAGGAAAAAGAAGAGGGAAACATGGTTTACCCAGTAGTAGCGGAAGCAGTTCCTCCCGTGAACGAGCCATCCAGACGAAACATTTCTTCAGCAACAGCAGCAGCCCCCAAACGCATGTCTCAGACTACTCGCATTGCATGAGACTCGCACTTCACCTCAGACAGCCCCTCGCAAGCCTCTACACTCGAGGTGCTTTTTGGTTGCAAACACCCCTCATTTCTGCCCTCACCGGCTTCTGTCTGCATGGGAAGGATTTTTGCAGACTCCGTCGTGTTTACCTTTCTCCCATGTACGCCAATAGGATTGGCGAATCTAAGAGGCCGCTGGAGAAGCCCTCTCTGATGTGCGTGCCGCCTGAGTGGCGCATCAGCACTGGCCGCTGACCTTGCCGAAGGGCAAGAAAAGACAGCAGCTGGGCTTGTTTCCAGATGAGGTAGGTAGGTACAGGTACAGGTAGTAGCAGGTAAGTGACACAACCGAAGCCCAAAAACTCAACTCTAGCCCTGAACACTTGTGCCTTTTCCCGCCTTTTTTCTTGTAACTCCCAAAATCAGAGGCAGAGGGTGCACATCTCGCCGATTCGTCGGTATCAAAAGCAATCTCGCCGTCTTTTTGCCCATGTGTAAATCCACCACTCCAGGGGTGGGACAGAGCTATTTGCGATATATAACTGTTAGCCATGCGGTGAAATGTCACTGCTAATTAACAGGCAAAAAACAGAACCAGACCATAGGTAGAAGAGCAGCGCGCACTAAGCGACCAGAGCCACCTGCAGCTAGCCCCAGCTGCTCAGCGACGCCCACCATGGGAACTCCCAATCTAGGCCCATCGCGCGCCTTCTTCACCAGCCGAAAAGAGGAGAAGAAGAAGAAGAAGAAGAAGAAGAAAAGAAAATGTTTCCGATAGGCCCAACCCAACTTGATTCACTCACTCTCTCGGTTCAGATCAAATCGTCCAGAAGCACAGCTGGGAATTGGTCCCCCATTAGTCCAGCTTAAACGAAATGCCCTTTTCGTTTGGCCGTTTTCCCCGCAATATTTTCGCCACGTTGGTCTGGGACAGATTCAAACTATTTGGCTTAGTTACCCATCTTGAGAGCGTGTGGCTTGCGTAGTGAACTGAGGAAGGGTGGTGGCTGAAAGTTGGCGGGAAAAAGAGACGACGGCCCCCAAGGAAAATGCTCTTGTGCTTCGTGGGGTTGGCCAAGATGGATTGGCGTCAAGGAAGCTGTCGGGCGACCCAATTGCGCTTTACCTGCTCATGTTTCCTTTCTTTGCTCCTCCGGCTGCTACAGCTATTCTCCGTGTGTCTTCCAAGGGTCAGACGGGAGGCATGGGGGCCCTTTCATTTATCAATGGGCCGAGTTGGCCAGCATTTGCAGCATTTATACGTACGAGTTATACGGAGCCCGTCCTCCGCCAAGAAACAGCCGATATGCAATGCTCGGGAGCTTTTCTCTCTCTCGTCCTCGTTTCCGCCGCGGCAACAACTGTATCTCCTACATAGTATGAGCGTTACTTTGTGACAAGACTGCTCGGCAAAGTAGCACACACACAAGCGGTGGCAGGACGATGATTAAAAGTCGGACCTAAGCTAGCCGTGGATCGTTCTACGCACCCCCCTCCCCATCCTTCAGTTCTGGATGATCTGACCCCGGGTCATGCAATCAGCCTTAGACCCTCAAGAGAGCAAAAAGGCACATCCATGTGGCTCGCTCTAGCTGCTTATACATTGGTCGCACGCAGCGGGAAACGGTGCCATGCTTCGTTCGGGCGGGGCTAAGAGACGCCTCTTGACTCTACCGTGCCAGACGCTCGCTTTCCGGGCCATTAATATCTCGTCGGAGCGAACAGGGAGGGGAGAAAGGCCCGAGGGCAGAAGGGGAACAAAACAGCCAGAAGGGTTCAATCGGTTCAATCTGCTAAAGGTAGTCACCATCAACGACAGATACACATCGGAGAACTTGTACATACATACATGCGTTCACCAGAGAGAGTACTCCGAAGCAGAAGTGCGCCAGCCAGGTACGTGCTCCTCTTCCCAAGAATGCAACTCATCCTACTGTACGTTATTGCGGACCCTTGCCCAGCAAAACGCCAAAAATGGCTCCATCAAAATGACAGCACGTTCGACTCACTCGCCAAGGAGGAACAAAATACATAGACGGGAATATCCCTGTTCAATTAAACGTTTCATAGGTAACGTCTACAAGAAAGTCGCCCAACCGCGGAAATCTCGGGGGCTGCGCTGTGACAGGCAGCAGTGGCAGTTTCCCGTGGGTTTTTCTATTTTTTTTTTTTTCTTTATACACTCCCTCAGCTTCTCATGAAAACCGGCTGGATGACACAATCAGGGTCCACTATATGCCGCCAGCTCCCCGAGGAGACGGAGAAGAAAAAAAAAATCACCAAGCCAGAAAAGAGCTACCCCGGCGGGACAGCGAAAGAATCCGTTAGAAGAGGATAAGTAAGGCAAGCTAGCCCTGATTACAGATCATCTGATGTGCTTTGTAGGTCCGGAGCACGGAGCTGCTACGGATTCGTCGCGGAAAAAAAAAAAAAGAAGCCCGTGCAAATGGCAGCAAGCCATGAGTGAAATACGCGGGGGGGCCTCGAGAGAGAAACACTTTGCGGATAATGCCGAGATCGCTGGATCACCCATCACCACGGGGCCAATAGAATGGACCAGGCGCGGCCAGGCGTGGTAGGCATGGCGGGCGACGATATTACATCACCATCTGCCGGGTCGGTATGCACCTATGTGTGTTGGTTGGGAGTTGCGGGTTACCACCTGTTGCGACGGGCGCTATTTCTTGCTAGGTGGTCTCTTAGCTTTGTCGATCCGGTGCTGTTGGCCATGATCAAGACAACAATCTCGTTTGAGTTTATACTAAAAGTAGGTACGCGGAGAGCATCAGGAACTCAAAAAAACAAGAAGCATGCACGAGAAGAAACAAAAGAGCCATTTGAGAAAATTTTGTTCAGCGGGTAAAATCCCACCAGCTAGTGGTGCCGGCAAAATTGATAAACGGCCGAACTGCGTCGACCGTTGCATAGAGGTACATGCTAGGCTGCATTATACAAGTCCATGCCTACATTGCAGCAGATATACCCTTGGAGAGAAGTAGAGAGATGCAGCAGTACCTAGCAGCAGCAGCAGCAGCTTGCAGGCGTCGGCGTCATCGCAAGCAGAGAGATTTCCAATAGATTTCCGCACTAGACATGCGTTAGGAAGTGGGAATCGGAATACAACCACTCCGTACAGTATGCCTAGGCAGGTGGTAATACTGTAGCAGCAATACGTGGGAGGGAGTGAGTGGGAGGTGCAGTGCATGAGCGTGTAATAAAGATGCGGGTGCATGATATGATATGTGAAAGGGGATTAAAATCTGAGGGTATGAGGAAAAGTGAGGTCGTATAAGAAGAGGCGAGACTGGCCGAGATCACAATGCAGTGCAGTGCTGCAGTACAAGCGAGACTATGCGGTGCTACATAAAAGAGACTGTGGTAAAACAGAATAAAGGGGAGAAATAGCCAAGAGACGGCCAAGAGACGGACAACTCTGGGATATATCCAACCTGTGCGACCTCTAATTGTTTCAAAGCGGAAACATGCAAAAAAGACCTCCTTCGCAGAGACGATGCCCTGACGCAAGTAAGAAAACGGTCCATCTCGCATAACTTCTAGGTCATACCTAGCTGAGCTTCCGTAACTGTTCCCAACCGAGGGACAGAAGGGAATAAGCAGTGAAATAAAATATACCCCCTCTATCTTCCTCGATGAATCGAACATGATCTCGTCAGCCAAAGAGTCACATCGGGCCATGCACCCGGCGAGATTGATGCTGCGCCGGGACCTGACCAGGACTCTCCGCGACAGAGCCATGGATCCGGATGGGAATCAGAGAAAACTAAAGCATCTCCAAAAATTCCTCAACAACAACAAAGGCCAGAGTACAAATAAATACCCCAATCCAGTATGCTGGTGTGGCATTTTTTAGTGTTTGAGGTGTTCTCGTATCAGCACTTCTCGCTGGCTGATACTTGTAGTCTATGGATTAGTGTACGAGGAGGTACCTCCAGTCGCTGGGCGCAGAAATAGAGGTGCCAGGGCACCGTACCTGCCTTGCTGCTGCATGCTTGCAAGTGCGCATGGCGCAGAACGCTATGCCTGATTCGCATGGCATGCAGCGGCCCTGTCCGCCATGTCCCATCAGCCTTTGGCTTACGAGGTGTGCTAGACCTACTAGGTAGTAGGTACTCTATGTCCTTCGTGCTAGTACGGAATACGTGCGTCCACGATGTACCGACAAGTACGACTTGCGCCGATGACGAACCCTTTTTTCCCCTTACCAGGTCGCCTTATCGGAGAATTATATCGATTCAAGAGCTTCGAGATGATACTGCCAACTGCGTAGCATGGAGCAGTACTACTCCGTTCGCCATAACAGGCTATAAGACAAACAAAAAGAAAAAAAAAGCCACTGCCACCACCACAACCACCACCAACACCACCACCACCACGCCCGCCACCACAAGGGGCCCCCAAACGTTGCTATACTGTAAATGCTGCTGTCAGCGGCAAGCAGAGCCAAATGTGGAAGCTGGCGATTCGTGTCCTGCGGTAGCTACAAACTTTGACATGTGCCAGTAATTCAGTCGCTATGCGGGCTTGCTTTCTTCGCACGTACGTGTGAAAACGCCCGTGACTGAAGAGAATGGCGAGTATTTGAGCTAGGCCCGTGCTTGTAATACATAGTATATGTTTCGCTTGACTGAGGGCAGCAAGAATGATGATGGTAATTTGATAAGCAAACCTCGCCGCAGGGACAGTATTAAACTGCCGGTCTGTACTTTGTACGAAGTATGATGCATGCTGTCGTTTACGCGAAGAGCTCTCTATCTCCCCGACGACGGGGCCCAATAGGCCGCCGCTTACAGCTCGGCTGCTCTAAGCCCTGGATTTGATGGCTTTTTTTAAACAACTCGTATCCCTCTAGAGGCGTCTTACCGTACGAGTACTTGTACAGCAGAGGCTCTATTAGCTGGCCGGGACCCTCTTTCCCGAGCGGGCGCGCGTTTGTTTGTGGCGATTCAAGTGGTACTCACTGGGATCTAACCGCCGGCAACAGATGCAAGGAGCACCTAACAACGAAAGAGTTCTGTGACGATGGGATCGCTCGGTTTTGTGCTCCTAGTGGCCGTACGAGCATCTCCTCATTTCGTTTCCGTACATCATATGATTAGCTGCCGCAACACCGGCGATGTAAATGGACTCTCCCTTCTTTCGCTGGCAGGACGCTCCGGGAAAGAGTCCAGCTGCCTCATTGGATTGGCCGACCAGCACCCTGTGAGCAAAAGGCGCCAAGTAGTGCCACAAGTACCTACTACTGCTACTGCTAGTGGTGGGGTTCCGCTAGGGATTATGTAGGCGCGGGAGATCAATCTGGAACAGGCTGCGTACCTCACGGCAGTGTCGAGCCAGGCCAGGTGTCTCGGGCAAGGGAGATCGTATCACACCCAAATCACCGGACAAGAGCGTGCGAACTTTTGACATCACCAATGGCTGCTCGTACTTTGGAAGAGGCATCCAGCTCCCTTGCATCACCACGAGCAGAAAGATAGGTGCCTGTTTTCTCTCTGCATCCTGTACATGGCAACGCCATCCGGTAGGTACCTGATAGGCATGCGAAGCCATGGTTCGTGCAAGGCGGGTAATATTTGACAATGTCCGAGGTGCTGTACATAAGGTTCTAGCATCTGCGTGCGAGCCTTTGCTAGATTCTATTCCCGTCCAAGCCGGCCGGGGGTGGCTACCTACAGGTAGGTAGTTACATGTAAGTCCAGACATACTGGGATTGCGGCCTTCAGCGGCACTGCCGGCCGTCAGCCAGCGGTGGCGAGACAAGACGACAGCGGCATTGCTGCCAACTGCGTAGCATTGCGTTCCAGAGAGGGCAAACACCGCTGCGTTGGATTGCATTATCCAGCCGCTCTGGCCAGGCCAAGAACTTCTTAGGTGCAGTCAGACGGACGCAAATGTTTCTCGCTTGTTTGAGATGAAGGCGCAGGCCTGTGGCCGCCAGTCGTAGCGCCCTATGCGCAGTATGGGCTCCCTCGAGATTTATTAAAGCAGACCAGCATGCACCCGCTCAGTTTCGTAATACTTTAGCTCTTGCTGCTGCTTTCCGCTTTTTCAACGAGTGTGGGCATCTGGCGGTATCATTATTGATGGACCGTACAAGTGAACATAGCAGTAGTAAATATGGCAGGCAGTTTCTGTGGAGCGAGCTACTGCGCCAATGGTACGAAGCAGCTGTCCATTGCGAGGTGACTACTCCCCAACTCCTCTCCTCCCGCGAATTAGAGGGAGAGTGGATAGCACTTTGTCTGCAATAGGCCCTGCTCTCATTGAGAATGGAGAACGAGGAGAGCGCAGGGTCAGGCACCGCACCGCTGCTGGCTTTGAGCACGGATGTTTCAGAGACCGCGAGCCTGGCTAACATGAGCGGACGGGCCTCTCTCTCCAACCCAGCCCAAGAGGCACGAACCCGTCAGTCAGCATCGCTCCGAAGGATTCAGGAGCCCACCAGCAATAGAAAATCGAGCAGCTGTGACGGCTAGCTCAAATATTGGAATGTATTCGCTCTCTCTTTCTTTCTAGCTCGGGCTCCGAAGCAACGACAACCCGAGAGGGCTTGGTGGCATGGGGTAGCGAGTGATTCAGCGTGGGATAGCCGTTGCTAACGACAGCTGACTGGTGGCCATGCACCTCTATCGCGGGAACGTCGCACACCCCCTCCACTAATGACGCCCTTTGCCTTCTCTTTCTTTCTTCATGTAACATACCCAGGCAAGCACAGTAGTGCAAGATGGTGGACCGAGGTATACTGTCCATACGACCTTGTTTCCAGCTCTCTATTTTGCGCTTAGCAAGCAGAGAGGATGAGATAGAGTCATGAATCACGATGCAGCGCAGATGCCTCTCGCCAGCATGTCTACCTCCCTTGCGCCAGCCGATGACCGAGCGAGGGCCGGGCTTTCAAGATTAGCACCAATAGAGGCAGGGCACGACCAGGCTTGGCGCGCTCTGCGCTCGCACAAGACATCTGCCTGAAGACGTCAGCAGCACATTTGCCTTGCGAGGCCAGCTCGACTTTCTGATGCAGCCTCGACTTTTGAGATTGCCGGACAAGGCGACGAGGCAGATGGTGGGCGGTGCCAAATAGTGCATGTACCTTGGGTAATACAGAGGTAATTTGGTAGTGCCCGCAGAAAAGGGCAGAAAGAAAAAGTTGCTGCACTGGGTGATGTCAGCGCTGCCAGCATTTCCATCCTGTTGTGTGCCACCAGGGCTTGACTCGCCGGCGTTGTGAGTGCGCTCTCGAGACTCACCGAGCCAGATCGAGTGTTGTCATTGGCTTGCGGGTGCTTCTTTATGCAGATGAGAATTAAGAGAAGCTGATGGGAAGCTGGGCGTAGGATGGAATCGGGTACTCCGTGCCTATGAGACGCTCCATTGGAAGGAACCAGTAACAGTACCTGATAGTCTGGGGGAGTGTGTACCAGATCTGGTGGTATTCGGGTACCGTACTTTGCGACACACGTCAAAATGCGGCTTCTAATAGCCTCATTTCCAGTTACACGCCGAGGGCGGAGTACTTGCCCTATAAACGCGTACTAAATTACTCATCCGGCGTCGCTTGGACTCCATTGCATCTCGGCTAGCCTGCATTGATGCCACCCGATGAATGCTGAATTCCATATTTTTTTTCCATCGACGTCCTGCTGGGCTTATAAACCACTCGAACTGCATTCCGCACCAGCCGCATCCCAATCCCAAAAGAGCTGCATTACATGCAAGTAGTGCCACTACTAAGTAGTGGCACTACTTGCATGTACTTTGTATCCACCCGTACTTTCTCGAAGGAATATTTCAGGTGCTGCTGAAACGGGTTGTGAGCCAAAAGGCTGCTGTCAGCCGAGCCTGAGTTCGCACTCTGCTATAGTGGGAGCAGCAAAAATGAAAACACGCGAACAAGTAGGAATACGGACACTTAACATTATGAAAGAGTCCAGGTGGAATTTATAAAAGCAGAAAATGTTATACTTGTACAGTAGAAGCAGCAGAAGCAGCAGAACAACAGTGTGTGTAATATTAGAGCTGTATGCTTAATATGTACCACCTATGTATGGTGATAAAATTTCATGTTTCCTATTGCTTTGCTCTCCACTTGCTACTCTCTGCTGTTGCCCGAACCGGCGATCGTTGGCTCTAATTGGGTACACTCGCCGGCACAGAAATTGTCAAATACGACGGCGTAGCTGCCAGGGAAATTCCAAGCGAAGCCTGCTGGAGGCGGACGAGGCAGCGTGGTGGTCATTTTGTTTCACATGACACTTATAGATCCGTCCGACGCACAGGCCGTGCTATTTGCTGCACAGGCGTGATACTACCAGTACTAGGCACTGCGCTGCGAGGGATTTCGCAATTAGTATATGGAGTAGGAGGAAGTGAGAGAATTGATACGATTAGATCCAGCAAAGAAAGAGAGAGCTGTGCCTATTTACGGCACCCATAGCCCGGGAAAGATCGTCATAACACGAGCTGCTGCTGTCGTTGATGCTTAACCATCTGGGTGGTTTAGCTCCCTGTTCGTACCAAGGTACCCGTGTGGCGTTCCCCGTACCAAGCTGAGACATCAGCACAGGGCATCTACTAAGGCACTAAGGTACCGCTGATGTACCGCCAGTAGCGACCGCGTGCCCTGTTAGCAACGCTGCTGCTCGTCATGTGGAAGGGAGACAGTGGCACACGGTGGCCAGCGAGGTACTCTGGAGGTACGGTCGTGCACGTAATTTGCATAGCCGACTCCCTTCTCTGCTTCCATCTCGTCATTTTGTTTTCGCTGCTGGGATTTTGCTAGTGTTGTGCGACCTTGGCTGCATGCACGAGGTATCGACAGCAGCAATCCTCGCTTCACCTTAGCCATGGCCGCCCGCTGCCAGGAAAATGGGAGGGGGCGTGGGCAGAGTTGACGATTGGCAGTGCTGCCAGCATCCAGACGGCCAGGGCCACGTTCGGGTCCCATATCCGTCGCCAGAGAGCATCTCCCCCGACGGGCCACAAGAGCAGCGGCAGCCACCTTCTGGAGCTACTGCTACTCACTGGCAGGGCCTGTGCGCCGTTGTGCCTGATGGGAGAATAGTCACGACGACGACCTAGCCCCGCCGCCCGCAGCATGAATAACATGCTTCTCGACTACGTCCACAGCTTCGCTGGTGGGTTCTAGGTCAATTGGCGAAAAGGGGGAAAGAGACTAGGCAAAGGAGGTGAAGAAAGAGAGCAAGACAGAGAGGATAGCCTGATATGGGGCATCTGCAGCTGCTCCGTAGATGGATACCCAAGTCTTGGTCCTTTTCAAGAGACGAGGAGAGCAGGGCTCGGAGGGAAACGGGAAAGAAGATGCGAGAGATGGCATCTGTACAGTATCAGGCTGAGGCGCCTAGACGACGATTTCACGATGGGGCGCTGGTCGGTTTGTCTGCCTGAGCACTGGACGCTGTCCGACCGAAACGTCTGCCGACCTACTCCTACTTGAATGTGTACGAGCACCGGCTTCTTCACGTCCAGGCACTGGCCATGCCTATGTCCCATGTGTAGCACAGCAATAGTGAATTGCGCTTCCGTCTTATTTCGGAATCTAGGGTCCTGGTCCTTGACTAGAGAAGCCTCTGATAGCTCCAAAGGCTGGGTGGAATGTAAAACTAACTGCACCAAGTTATCCGGCCTCCAGTGGCTGCTGGGCAGATGCTTCCAAACTTTGGCCCTTGCACCGCGAGGCTAAACCTTGAGCCGTTAGGCTGCGAGCTCCTGGGCCCAGCGGAGCCACCTCAGCGTTGCCCTGGCCCGCCTTTTGGTCGTCCTAGGTACCGGATGAAGTCCCGTAATCTCGACCAAGTCCATGCCCGTGCATGCAGTACTCGTACATTGTCGCCAGTAAGCCTGGAGCCGCTCTCACGCAACGCCGCCGTGCTGCTGTCTGGGAACCCTCCGGGGACTGCCACATGCTGCTGGGCGACGCAGCGGTGCGTGATTGAGTGCTGCTGCGAGCGGCGTCTCCTCGCTGCGATCCGCGCTCATGCTCATGCTTGTGCCCTGTACCTCTAGCTCCGGGTACCTCCTCGTGCTGGGCTCCCGCTAGGCAGGCCGGGGCCCTGGCGGTGCCCTGTCGATGCCCTGTCTTGGCCCTGCTCTGGGCGCTGCACCGCCGTTCAGTTCTGTAGCGCAGTGCTATAAGCACCGCTGCTACAGTAGCTGCTGAGCGGCATGGGAAGTTAGCACCTCGCCGCGCATGTACATGCACGTAGCTGCGTGATGTACCGGCGTGTACTGGGGCACTCGCAGCAGATGATGACTGCGTCCACCCCCTTCGCATCTGCCCAGCAATTCTGGCACGCCCTCTCTCAACCTTGTTCCCACCCTCCCGCTTGCCGTCGTCCGCCATTGTCTCCGCTCCCCCAACTGGCTGGTGCCTCGACTTCCCTCTGCCTCTTTTGCTGCTTCTTCTCCTTCATTACGCCTCTCCGCCGCGAGAGCTGCATCACCGCACTCAAACCTCTCTCCCACGCAGCCTCATTGCCAGCCGCCGGCACGCCATCCTCTCGGTGCGATTGCGCGGCAGACGCCCTGGTGCCGTCTCCTATTGTGGCGTACAGGCCGGGCCAAGTTATTTATCCCATTGTGTCATATACGGAACCCTTATTCATTGACCAGCCCACCGCGCGGCTTGAATGTGCCTCGCCCTTTGTCTGCTTCTCATTTGGCTTTCACTTTTGCTTCAACGGGACTGTTCACATCTGGGGCGCCACCAAAGCATCAATCGATCATGCGGCGTCCTCACTGCCGCTTATAGAGTTTGTTTTGGCCAGTCGAGTCCGATTTGACCCAAGCAATCTCCTCCGCTGCCAACAATCTGCCCCCAAACTCACAACATCTTCTCTCCATACGTTTCGACAGCCGTGCCTGCCCTGCTCTACACTCTCTCGACATCCTGTGGCTCATCTGCTGCAGGAAACCTGCACCTTGTCAACGTTCGCAAATACTACCTCGACCGCCGAGATGAACTCACTCAAAATCCCGGATAACGGCCTCCTGCTGGCGGGCTCGAGCTCCGACTTGGCTCTGCCGCCGCAGGCTTTCCACATCCAGCTGGATAAGTCTACCATAGATGCGATAATCAAGGCTTCCCGAAATGGCGAAGACCTCAGCCTTTCGCTGGGCCAATCTCCCGTGCGTTTTCTTGAACCCGTTCTCCCTGTCTCTTTTATGCACCTCCAGTGGTATGTGGACCTTCATATGCTGACTACTGCGTGACTGTCCTGCAGACGCTACAATACGGCTCGAAATCACACCGCATCTCTCCTCCCACCGATGACGCCGATTACGACCTGTACCTTACCCGACCGTTCGAATCTACACGCAGAGCGGAGCGGATACCCGCAACCACATCCGTCTTTGACAAGCCCAGATCGGCATCCGACAGGGCCTCCCGCAAAGGATCTACCTCTGGATTGGATTCCGACATTGAAGCTCTGCAGAATGGGCTGGCGGCTCATGATGCTGCGCGCGAGAGGTTTGTGCTATTCACGTGCCGCTTTGGTGTTGTGTATTAACACCTTTATCAGGGCTCGCGTAGTCGGAAACTTGCCTGAGAAGGCATCGGCGAAGTCCAAAGCAAAACTCATTTCCAACTACGGTTCGAGAGCCGGCTCTTTGCCCACTTCACCTAGCCTCCATGGCGCGACCTCCCCTTCACTGAACCCGACACTCTCCGCATCCCAGCAGGCTATGGAACGTGCTAAGGAGCAGAGAGTGACTCTAGTTCACGAGTTGGCCGTGAAAGACCGGTCGACCGAATACTTGAAGAAGAAGTGGGAAGGCAAGGACCACGAGTTCCGGCCGACCCTGGAAAAGATTGCCGAGCACAACGCCGATTCAGATACGTGGACCATGGGCAAGACGTACTGGAAAGAGCTTGATGTGTGGAATTACGACTATTCCTCTCAGGATGAGAGACAAATTGTCATTGACAATGCGATCCGACAGTACGACAAGCAGAGGCTTTCAGCTTCCGAAGCTGTGTGGCAGAAGCTGCTACCGAAGGAGGAGCGCGGAAAAGGAATATGCTTGAGCCGGCTGCAGGCAAACTTGGCAAAGGGTCCTCCCCCCCCCGCACCCAAGATCAAAGTTCAAAAGGCAGAAGACGGTTCTACGTCTGGTGATGGTCTGGAAAGCGATAAGAAGGCCGGAGGAGAAAAGATGTCGCGGTCCGCATCCAACCCTCTCCCTACTAAACCAAAGAAGCTGAGCAGCCAAGACGCACAAGCTAAACGGTTGCTTGGCCCTTCTAAGGCTGGCGTTTCCAAGCCAAAGGCGAAGCCTGCTGCCCCGAAGGCGTCTCCAACCAAGAGCAGAGGGGCTGGTTCTAAAGGCAACGACAAACGTATCCTGTCACAGGAAATTATTGTTAACTCAGATACCTCTGGCGATGAAGCACCAGCACCACCTCCTACTTTCAAGCCGAAACCGAAACCTGCCGCTTCTAAAGTCAAGGATACCGTCATCGTTGCTGGCCGTCCACCAGTCAAAGCTCCAACCCGACCAGCACCTGTTAAGAGGCCTCGCGAAGATGATGACTCTAGCTCTAGCTCGGGCACACCGCTATCGAAACGCATCAAGCAGAGGCAATCCTTGCCCGCGGCCCGGCTGAAACACCGCCCTTCCGATGCCAGCGTGAACTCGCGTGGCACTGCTGCCTCGTCATCATTTAAGAGTAAGAATACGTCGCCGACCAAGTCATCTCCCCTGGCTTCCTCGCCGCCTACGAATGCTTCCGATCTCGAAAACGATGCACCGCCACCGCCCAAGATGAGGCGAAAGGCAGAAATGGAATCGAAGCCACTGACAGCGAAGCGACGAGCGGCTGAGAGCGTCTCAATCGAAATCCTTCGTAAGGCCAACACATTCAAGGCCTATTATCAGCAATATGAAGCATTACATTACGAGATTTCGGCATTGGATAATCCTCCTCACGAGAAGCTGGCCGATTTATTGGATATGAGGGGTCGGCTCGAGAGTATGAAGAAAGAAATATACAGAGAGTGTTCGCCAGCATGAGACTAGGCAACGAAAGCACACTCGGAACAAAATAGTGCTACCACAATCCAATACAGAAAGGGGCGGCGGTTAATGATTTACAAGTTGACATGATGGTTCGATTATAGCAACAAAAAGGGACTGGCTATTTTTGCTTTTTTTTTTTTACCATGTTTTTTTTTTCTTCCTGGCGTTCCGGTATTTTTCACCTCTTTCGCATTTACACCGAGGAATTTTGGGCAACGGATTTTGCATCTGATAGCGAGGCCCATAGGATAGGCACGCTCTGGCGCAGGATATGGCTGATACCATTCGATTTTAGAATCTCGAGCAGAAGAGACCAGCAGAAGAAAAATCTGTCTGAAGTGCTTTAGTTGATTTTGATTTTTGGTTTTGGAACGAACACAGGGGCTGTGCTACAGTGAAAAATCAAATACTGAATTAGGCAGCTTATACTGTAGTAGGCTCATAGTAAGAAGTAGATAAATAAAAAGTTATTGAACAAATAAAGTGATAAAGTAACCCATCATCGAGTGTAAGGGTAGTCCATATCTGTCTGGTAGTGCAGCGACGAAGCTGCGCCTGATGTCACCTTGCTGCACTGAGCTGCGCAGAAGGATCAGCGGCAGCGTGAAGATCTTGTTGATCACCTATGCTTGCCTACAGTAGATGCCGTATTCTAGCAAATGCTACTGCAGTGGTACCGGTTCTACGGAGCCGTGGGCCCGAAATGCTACGGGTCAAAGCTAGCATCTCGCAGCTGAAGTTGAAACACCTCCGGGATCTAGCCTAGTGTTGACTGTTGGCCTATGAATTTTCTTTTATTCTGTTTCATGCTCAGGGGTTGTTTTATTTTGGTGTTTACGGGAATGACTCCCGTGTTACTTTAATGTCCTTTATTTCTGGCCGACCCTCTTTCGCAAATAAGCCGCGGTAAATGAGCTGAGGGCAAGCTATTTCGGGCTTAGCCGCTTATGTACGTAATCTGCGCTCTCTCCCGCGGTTTTCCTTTGCTTCTATTCTTTCGCTGACTTTCTAGCCATTTTTTTTTCTCTTTTCGCTCTGGGGAGGGGTCCCCACGTGGGGTGTGGCAGAGACCCATTTTTAGAAACTTTTTTCCCCCTTCTGCCGCATCGGCGTCACCTATCATAAATTCTATACCGCCTTTTTTTTCTGCCCGCCGTCTTAGTCAGGGGTCCCAACTTTTTTTTTTGTGTGAGCGGTGACATGCTGGGATTATTTATACTTCCTCAAGAAAGAACCTTGTGAAGGTATCGCTGTTCTGTATATACCACGGATTTTTAAGAGACTTTCTTCATCATGATAGCCAACTAAATCCTCACTCTCTGTTGAGAGACCACTTTCTTTTCTTTCTTTTCTTCTCCTTAATTTATTGACTCGGCGATTTCGCGGCGTTTGGTACCTTGGCTTTTGCTGATTCATTTTTACGACTTTTTGGAGTTTGACGGATATTCGGATACAAGGACTTGCCAACATGGCTCTCGCACCGGAGGACTTCCCGCAGATGTGGCAGCGGCCAACTTATGAAGAGCTCATTGGCATTCTCGAGAGCCTAGAATTGAGCCCTCCTGTATGGAACCACAGACAGCAACGGTCAGACATTATTGCGCAGCAAGAATCGCTCGCCACTCAGCGCAAGGCGGAGGTGACTCGCTACCTTTCATCCATCATAAAGAGCCCTCTGGCATGGATCAACGACTACGACAAGCAAGAAGCTTTGTGGGAGTTGGCGAGCAAACGCATGTCTGAGAGATGTGGCCGGACTGCCATGGGCGAGGTGACGAGACGGTGGCCATTTGAAGGCGATGGTGCTGCATGTGAGCCTTTTGAGCTGATCATTAAAGAGCCTGCTCTGACGGGTGACTCGCTTGGGTTTAAGACATGGGGCTCGTCGTATGTGCTGTCAAGCTATTTGCCTCGACTTGCTGCAACTTCGCTGTTCAAGATCTTTGACGAGACTCTTGGTCAGCCTCCTCCTACAGTTCTGGAGCTTGGTTCAGGAACTGGTTTGCTGGGCGTGGCGGCAGCAGCATTTTGGCAGACACATGTGATCCTAAGTGATTTGCCGAATATTGTGCCCAACCTCAAGGACAATATGGAGAAGAATAAGGATCTGGTGGAGTCTCGAGGAGGCTCGATGTCTGTTGGCCCACTTACATGGGGCGGAGAAGAAGACGAGATCGATCAAGAACTTTTTGGCGAACCTTTTCAGTTCAAGGCAAGTCCTTCAATCGCCTACCACACATCAGCAGATAATAAATGCTGTTTATTGACACTAACCGGTGAAACAAATAGGTCGTCCTCGTTGCTGATCCCCTGTATGACGATGACCATCCTGCGCTTCTGGCTTCAGCAATCTGCCAGAATCTTGCTCTCGGCTCGGAATCCAGGGCGGTTGTCATGGTTCCTATGAGAGACGAGACGACGCGTGGGCTCTTGGAGTCTTTCAAGCAGGCCATGTTGGATCTTGAGACACCGCTGTTCCTTGAGGAAGAGAAGAAATTGGATGGTGAGGATGACTGGGGCGAGGACGAGGACGAGGGCCAAGTGGAATGCTGGCTGGGAGTCTTTTCTCGCGGCGGATCTCCTTTGACGGCATAATTAGATATGACGAAGTCTATAGAAATGAGGATATGCATGATAGATGGTAGATGAGTGGGGAGAAAAACTGGACTATGATGGACTGGACTAAAATAGAGAGATGGGGTATAGAAGCAAATAAGCTAGATTTTTATAGAGACCATAGAGGACATTTTTGCTAAACTTCCACCACTTATACGCTAATTTTCAGCATTAAGACGAACTTAGGCTCAGAGAAAGGGAAATGAGATAGTGATTAATCTGCACAAGCTTTGTATTGAGGCACAGACATCGAAACTGTTCATCCAACGTCCTCTTCATCTAGCACTTCCGCATACAATCAAAATCGTGATTGGTAAAAATGGCGCGATGATTCACCACGCCTAGTAGAGAAAAACTTGCTCTTTTCTCCAAAATCTCTCTTACAAACGGGCCTATCATTGGTGGCCTATTGTTCCCCCAATTGTGCTCCAGCACAATAGATAAGCTACACCAAGTGCATGTATGAGCGGTCTGTATCTGATTCAGAAACACAGCAGCTTCTCCTCCTTCTGGTGTAGAAAGGAGCACACCTTTAGCTTTCTCTTTGCCTTCCTCTCTGCCTTTGCCTTTGCCTTTCTCCCCCCTTTCCCAGCTTTCTGCTTCTTCTGCTGCAGCAGTTTTCCTATCGAGTTTGTTCTGCATTCTTCTCCGCTGCTATTTCCTCACAAACAACCTTTGATATTATTTTCTCCTATATGCAAAACGACAAATTTACTTGTGGTAGAAAAACCAAGACGACGTTTTCTCTACTTGCAGGTACTTGAAGCTACGCGTGCGTCGGAAAGCCCCGTGATCGGGAGCCGGAAGATTTGCTGAGTCCCTACCCGTCCGCACTGGCACAAGCTCCTTTCCCCCCTAAAGTTTGCCCTCTTTTTATTTTCTTCTTTTCCCCCTTTTTTTGATTTTCCTTATGACGCGAGATTGATTTTACTTTCTCTTCTTGACTTTTGATTTTTGCTCGCGTTTGGTTTTTCTTGGCCATCTGCATATCTGATATTCCTCCTCTTTGCCGTTTATATTTTTTTTCTGTGCGACAAGAAAAAACCATTTCAGGCATTGGTTGGGACCGCTATCGCTCCCTCTTCTGCGTGTATCCGAAAGGGAGTATTTGGTTCAAGCAAACGAACACCGAACGAGAAAATCTATCTTCTATTTACCCCCTTTTTCTGTTTGAGGAGCACACAGGCTCTGCTCTGTATACGACGTTGGGCGGACGAGACGCAGCTATTCATTGCAATTCATAACATAGCGTCATCATTAGGCAGAAAGGTAACTTGCACTGGACCTTCTGGAAAGGAAGCCTGATCCTTGAATTCACTGTGATAGTCTTATTTGAGTATAACAAATACCAAACAGGAGGCCAAGAGAACACGTCACAGAAATCAAAGATAGTCATGGTTGGCGCAGCGCAGTACCAGGACAAGGAGATCGACTGGGTTCTCTCCGCTGTTGTTAGCAAGAAGAAACAATCATATATCCAGGCTCACTTCAAAGAGAAGTTTGGCCGTGCATTGAACCACAACCAGATCCGCTATATCAAGAACAAATACGGCAAAGATCCTAGGTTCAAGTATGATCCCCCCCCTTTCTCGTTCCTCAGACTTCAACCGCGCCTGTACCCTCTGCTAGTCTCTATGCTGAAGATGAGGAGAGCAAGAAAATATGTATATCAAGTAACGATAGAACATGGGCAAAGAATACTAATATGTTATCGACGTTATAGTAGCCCGTTGGTGAATATTCGTGCTCCTGTGAGAGCCACAACTCCCGAGCCAGACGGCTCGAGCGATCATGAAGATGGTGAAACACAGGGGAATGCAATTGCCTTCGAAAACCAAAAGGAAGCTGGGCCTTCGATGGCCACAGAAGTGGAGCAGAATGAGCCAGAGGATGATGATATGACAGCAACGCATCCGAAACGCAAGAGAGGTAGCCATGAGCAAGGAGATGCGCTCGAAAGGTAAGTTGTTTACTAACAGTCTTTAATATACGTTTAAAAGCCTAGTTTATAACATTGATTTGTCTTGAGTTCAAGATTGATAAAGCAAACCACCAAATCCCAGCGTTTGAATTTCAGCCCACAGCCTGCTACTACTCAGGAGCGAATCCTTAGAAGCCATCTAGGCGAGACCTTTTTGCAACAGCAGAATATCTCGGATATTCACTTACCCGTATCACATACCCATACACATCCGCAGCCAATGGCACTGGCCTCCCTGGAGGATAACTGCTACGATCCCCTATATTCAGGAATATTTCATGGCATCCAGCATCCGCAAACTTTGCCGCTGCACAGTACAAGCACTAGTATTGGTTGGATGCCGTCCATATCAATGAGTGGTCATAGTTGGGATGCGGCTAGGAATACACCGGTATTCGAGAGCATCAGCAGTGGCGTTGATCCTTCAGCCATGATACAGGCATCCCCATCTCCGATGATAGATCAGCATCAAAAGATGGAACATATTATGTTTCAGTCACCAGCTACAGCCCAGTACCAACTTCGGCTGCCATCTTCTCAACTGGTCTCCCAACAGGTCTCGCAGATTTCCCCTGCTACACCTAGCCTCAGTCTGGCCCCCTATACGGACCACCAAGAACAACAACATCACCAACTGCTACAACAAGAGCAGCAGCTCCACTCTCATATTGGCACAGGAATTACTTCAACTTTTCCTAGTTCTGGAATATCCAGTTTAGAGAGCCAAACATGTGCAGAAAATCTATCAGGGGTAGTTCCTCAATTAATCCCAAGCTTTCAGGAGGTTCCTATTGAGTCAACATGTCCTCAACACAGCACCAAACATTTGAATTTGGCCGAGATGGGGAGCTGCGTGAGTTGGGCTCACACTACCGCTTCTCTCAATTCATCCCCCCAAGATCTCTCTCTATTCAACTTTACCTCATCGCCAATGAGTTTTCCTATTGAAAATGTAAGACACGCGGGTCTTACAGCTGCTTCTTCGCAAGTAATGCATCAATCAGTCCTCAACAATCCTAATATATATAGTTCAAGCTTTCATACTCAAGGGCATGGTCAACAACATGTCAACTTTGATGCTAGCGCATTCGAACTCCTAAGCATGGCCCAGACCCCTATTCTGAACACGACAACCGCCATGCCGTATACGCAACTCTCATACCCAGTGAGCAATTCGACGATGGCCTTTTCGCCTTTGATGGTGCAAACTGGATACCGGCCTCATTTGTTCCACAGTCAATCGACTCCTGGATCGTATGTTCACGATTTACACGGCGCGGCTAACGATGTGTCTAGCACGATTGACCCAAGACTGCTAGCTACGAACTCGACTTCCCCTCATCCTTGCACATCTATGCCACCCTTGGATGAAGCTAAACATGAAAAGGAACCGCCCACAACGATTTCATCGCCTTGAGACTGTTTGATATACGCCATTTCGTGGGAGGCTATTATCGTTTCTTCTTTTCTTTTTCTTGTAACGGTGTAAATCGGCTGTATAGACCATGTTGGAGTACAAATATTGGGATTTAAATTAAGATATAAGAAAAGAAAAAAAAAAAAAAGGAGAGGGGTAGAGAGAGAGAATAGAAGCTCTATTTGAACGGAAGCTGCAGAACGGGCATATCGGAGTGAAAGATACTGTGGAGGTTGTTCCAGCATACAAGCACGTTAGGCGAATGGGGTTATTTGCTTTTATATCGGCTTTTCTTTCTTTAGTAGTATTGTAAAAAATCTGAAATGCTAACTGACAATAACCTCCACAAGTAAAATAAACAAAAAGTCCTCCCAAACAAGTTTTCTAAAATCTTTTTTGCCTTGCGGCGACGTATCGAAATCAAAATCATTACCCAAGAAACGAATGATTGAATATACAGCTCTTGTCTCCCTTTCCTAGTTGTATCGCATCTCTTTCGCTAAATAACTGCTCTCCGCTAGATACATAACTAACTCTAACAGACTGACTATCCTCCTTTGCATCACCTCCCCCCCAGCGCCGTGATCAACTTAAAAAAGTATAGTGTAAAGGGGTATCTAGAGCGTATGGAAACAGGAAAAGATGGTCGCTAAATCTCGTGTCACATTTGTCCCAATTCCTTCTCTTTCTTTTTCTTCTTTTTCTTCTTCGATTTATTCATTTTTTTCGTCCCTGATATTCTTTTCCTATTACGCCAGGCGCATGTGATAAACGTATAGAAAGACCATATAAGAAAAGGCCACTGATTTAAATCGCAATGCTGGTGTGTCGTCGAGATTCAACTTCCTCAACAGGGAAGTTGAAGACAAATCTAAAAAGCTCCCTCAGGTATGCATAGCGAGGCGAGTTATTGGCCAACGTTTGGACGCTCTTAGCCATATCCACGGCTGAGACGCGCTTGCCACGCGAGGGCATTGAATGGTTGCGAGGAATAAATGCGTCCATGAGGACGGAATTCTTGTACTGCTGAAGGAGAGCAGTATCTCTTGGAAGAGGACCAAACGAGTCTCCTGGTAGGGTTTGTACAAAGTTTTGCAGTAGAGCAGGTGCTGTCTTTGGGTCGGAAATGGTTTCACGGTCGAATCCAACATTCATCGCGGCTCGGAGAACTAGAATTTTAGCCCGTGTAACGTTGGGATCTTCAGCTGCATTGGTTGTGGTCGCGGTGCTCGAAGTCCTATTGCTGCTGTGAGAGAAGCTTGACAGGTTCGAAGCACTACTGGACCACCTTCCACCTCGGCCGTTGTCACTGGAAGGACCAAGTACTAGAAGATTGGGCATTTGGGGGGAGCGGCTTTCTGGAGAGATTGGGGTATCCTCGAATTCTGTGACTGGGGTCTCGGGGACTGGTGGGGGTTTCCGCGGCCGCTCTTCTTGATGGACGCTCTTAATGCTTACTTGCTTTGAGTGACGTGACGAGCGGTTTGACTGCCGGCTTTCACGTCCAGTTTGGTCTGAGGGCTGAGAGAAGAAGCTCGCATGTGAGGGCCGAGGGGTGTTTCTATCTGTAGTCACCTTTGTCCAGCTGTCTTTGAATAGGTCGCCCAGGCCCCAGCATGCTTGAACCGTAGAGAGGAGCAATTCGCTGTCTGGAGGCTTACACTCCAATCTATTCTGACGCAGACTGAACAGCATTTCTGCAAGCGTCCAGCAAGCCCCGAGGAGTTGATCAGTTTTACCAACGAGCTCAATACGCTGTTTCATTAGGCGATGACACAGCGTGATGTAGAAGTCGAGAGTGCGTTCCCTGAACTCCTCTGGGAGGGTTCGATTGTCTTGTGCGCTGTATAAGCTGCGGAGGAGCATTAGACTAAGTAGGAAAAGGAAGTGAGGACTCAGTGGCAGACACTTACTGATTATTCAACTCAAAACTAACTCTTAGCACAGAGTCCGCCAGCTCGTCTTTTTTCTCGCGAACATCGAACAAAGCCTGGCAGAAATCACGGCACAGGTCTAGGTTGAACTTGACGCTTAGATACGCTGGGTCTTCATCCTGGTTGTCATAGAGCCGATGGCAGAGCTTCCAACACGCTCTCCACGCTCTTTCGACGGCATCAGGAGTTCCTGAATCTCTAAAAGCTCTCGGTCTGTGCATTGAGCTTAGGTTGGCTAGAGTATTACACAGAGTCCAAGATTCGTGAAGGAGAGTTCGCAAATCGCCAATCTCATCAGCCACTTGGGGTACATGAGGGAAGGGTTCTTCATCGTCATCATCGCCCTCGGCCTCGGTCTGCTCATCGATTTCTGAAACAAGTTAGTATGGCCTGGTGGCATCGGAGGCTATGTAAGGGACTAACTTTCAAGGCTGCTGGTACTGCTAGAGCGCAACCGGCTACCATCAACAAGCATATCTTGCAGGTCCTGTGCCCTTGGAGTGGCGCTATCTAGACTATATCGCACAGGTTTGACATCAGTGGAGATGGGAGGGCGAGTAGGGTGGCTGGGTGGCTTTATGACGATTATCCCGTTAGCTTTTGCAATAAATTGTTTAGGTATGCTGGTAGAGGTTGGACTGACGCTATTAAAAGTCCCGGTAGAAGAAGGTTGGCTGGCGCCATCTCCCTTAGGTGATGATCTTTCAGTGGATGTAATTGATTTGGCGGAAGGCTCGCTGGACGCCTATGTATATGTTTAGCCATGCTGCATATAAGAGAATAAGTTTTCTGCGCGCAATGCTTACCCAACTAGCAAAGCTCTCCGGAGCATGGATAACCGAGACAGCTTCTTCAGGATTACCTTGGCGAACAATATCCGGGAGATTGGTGGTAAGCATGAACACCTATACTAAGATCAGCGCTGGGACGTACGTACTTGACGCCCAACATGGTGTCCAGGTTACTTACATCTGAATGCTGACGATAATGGTTCTCGTTCGCTACCTGATCTAGCTCGACATCGTCGGCAACGTCATCTTCTATCTCAGTAGTCTCGGTGCCGTTGGATGTTACAGGAGATGGCCCGACAATATCACTGGGGCTCAATACGTGCATCGATTGGGACGATAAGCGATGGTGAATAGAGTCAGGCCGAAGAGAAGAAGAGTCAGTGGCAGGCGGGGGAGAAGACCTAGAAGGAAGAAGTCAGCGAGGGTAGCAGAAAAATAGGCAGAGAGAGTCTCTAGCATACATGATTCTGTACGGAGACCTGACTCCATCGGATTCGGACGTCGCAGACATGTCTTCGGGGTGGCTAAATTTGAACTGGAGGCTGCCGGCGGATGATCGTAGCGGCGCTTCGAGGGCCATGATGGTCGATCAATGCAGTGCGCAAGAGAAGAATAGCGCGAAAAGACTGCAACGTCGAGCTGTCTTATACGGAAACTTTGTCGTCGTCTCCGTCTGCAAAAAATGATCTGCGCAGCAGCTAAGAAGCTCAGAAAGCCCTGCTTCACAGCTGACAGTGCAGATGGCCTCTGATTACCCCACGGAAAGCCTTGGATCGCAGCCGCAGTCGTGGCGATGTGCAGCGCTCGAGATGCGGCCGGAATGATGTTTCGAAGAGCTAGCAAAGGCGGTCGCAATCGCGGGCCTCGATTGACGGTCGTGCTTCCAGAATAGAAGCAAAGCTGCAATTCGAAACGTCCCAGTCGTAGATCGGGCAAGGCAGTCCAGGCACGCTGGATGGCGGGCTGGCTGATTTAAGAGACGCCGCGGCCAGGCAGATGGGCCGGGGGTCAGCACACCCCTGCTCAGAACATGCAGCGACGACGGGCTGCACAGACACCAGCTAGTGCTGTCCTCGTTACGGGCCTTTTTGATGGAGGAATCGTGTTTGTTGTGAGTATGGAGTCGCAGCACAAGTCGATTCCGCGCCTTGGAGCTCGCGCTTAATGGACGCCGCCTACCGGAGACCGCTACTGCAGGTAGGTTGGGCGAAGCGGAGAAGAGAACAGCAAAGGGCTCGGCAAATCGACGTCTTTGATATAGAGCTGAAGCTTTGTGTGTGAGTGGAAATGTGAAATGGGAAGGGCTTCGTCAGCAGACAGCTTGAGGGAGGGAGGCCTGAGAACAAGAGAGGCCCAAAACGAGACCGGTCACAACAGAGGGATCAAAGTGTCCACAAGGCGGCGAATGGCTAATCGCACTGAGAGCCTCGGGTGGAAGGGCGATGGATCAGTAAGACGGCCTTCAAGCTTGGCTTTGGTGTGAGAGGAAAGATGAGCTGGAGGATGGCGAACTTGGCCAGCGGGCGGACGAGGCACAGAGCAGCGCCTGTATTGCCGGTGCTGCTAAGGCGCCTATAGGCCTATGGGCCACTGAGGCCTGGACGACATGCAGCATGCATGCAGGATCCATCCACCAGCTAATGTACGTGTAGCTCGAGCCCGCGGTTAAAAAAGCACGATTATCCAGGCTTCATGGTGGGTAAAAACAGACGCAAGCCGCCAGTCCGTCGCTTAATCTGCCGTGCACTCGTTCCTCCTAGTAGTACGTTGTTACTTGTCAACTGATAATTGACTGCTAGGCATCGTGAATCCCTGAAGAATGTGCCTTCGTGGGGGAATCAGCTCACGGCGCGCGCTCGCCCAGCCGAGAGTGGTGGGTTGGCAACGATGCCCGTCGCTCAAAGAAGAAATGACATGCCAGCAGTCGTCTCGCGAATAGCCGCGTCTTGCGCAAAGAGTGCAGATGGGTCAGCTACGCGAAGGAATGCTCTCGAGTCTGGATGAATCACGACAATTATACGAGCATTGAGGATACTGGCGCAAAGGCCTGATCGATATCTCGTACCTCTTGCAAGATAATCTATACAGAATACGTACGGAATAGTGGTTTCTATTTTCTCTCTCTCTCTCTCTTCTTTCTTTAACCCATTTATGCTACTACCACCAGCTCTCGAACACGAAGAGGACCAATGTCCACAAAGAGAATAATTACTCTTCTCTCGCTTCCTCTTTCTCTGTTAGACGACGTTGCAGCCTTCAAAGCCTTGCCTGACAATGCGACGCGACGGCTGGCCGTTGGAGGGGCGGGGGAACTGCTGCGCTGCATCTAGTTCTCGGGGAGGAGTTTCTGAAATAGCAACTGGCCACTCACAGACACGATCGGCCACAGAGTGGATAGAGCATGCATAGAGTCGACAGGCGTCGGCGCTTAATTCAGGTGGATGACATGCTAGTCACGATTTGTCGACGAACCAAGACCCCTGGCAGAGTGTGCATGGAGAACATGCGAGGTCGAGCGAAAAAAAAAAAGCATCCCAAAGTTGAGAGCTGATGGTCCTCGAGTTCTCTCTTCGAAGCCACCAATATGTGTAAGCCAAAACAAAAACTTACTTGAGCAATCCACCGTTGTCAACACGGATTCGCGTTGCTGACTCTTGGGGGGCTGTTGAGTCACAATTAATGGTCAGCCCAAGACTGCCTGCTCCATGCTCTTTATGGGAACTGCTCTCCGTAGCATATGCTGTTGGTCGCAGAGCATGAATCCCCATGGCCCAACTGCCTCCAACTAACCCATGGAGCTCCGTTTCAGCACAACCTCGGCGAAGCTGCTCGACTCAGAGGTGAAAGCTGCAGCCCTCCCACCACCATCGTTCTCGTCACAGCGCCAATCTGCTCGGTTCGTGGTCCGCGATGCCCCTCGACCCCTGTGCTCAGTCCGCAGACGAGTTTCCTGACCTCGCTGATTGGCAGCGTTCGACCCGACGATCTGGTCCCGGCGCTACTGCTGCTACAAAGCTGGTTAGGCTCGGCCACGGCCCACCAGCATTCAACCACCCGCCTGTGGGTCGCCGATGGTCTTCTTCCCCGAGCCTGAGCGGAGTCGCTAGAGCCTTGTTGTGCTGTATGTGTGTGCGAACATGCAGATAAGGGCATGGATGGAAGCTTCTGGCCGGGCGTAAAGCGGCGTTCGAGGCCGAGCAGAAGGGGAAATAAGTCGGGGATAGAACTTGTCGCAAGCGCTGTGAAGCTTTAAGGCTCTTCGCGTCGCGTCTAAAGCTTGCTGGCCTTGCGGACTCGGCTTGGCGTGGGATTCTGCTTGACTGGCACTGCATGTGGCATTTCCCTGCTCTACTGTGAAGCACATCACTACAGCCTGTTGCAGCAAGTGGTACGAGGCTAACTCATATATCATATACATAGTATATGCATGGGAATGGTCCACTCTCGGGCCGTGGTTGCTGTCCTGAATCTGAAACCTCACAGCTTCGAGTAGGTTTACTGCTGCCACTGAGTTACTTTGTACAACAGAATGTTAGGGTAGCACATGGCGGAATTGTGGTCATCTCTCATCTCAAACTGCATAGCCGTGGATGTCTATATAAAAGGGCTCTTCCCACGGTAGCCGCAGCATAAATCAGCCTCATTTTGTTAGCTACTAGTATGAAGTGGTATGCCGCACTTACACGAATCAACATCGAGCAAGCTGCATGGAAGCATGACCACTTCGACCCAACACGCCAATAGCGATGGAGTGAGCTAGTGTTAGTGAATGCCAGCTGTCGTACTAATGGAGGTTTGCACCCAACAGCTGAAGAAGAGGCGTTTATGCAATGCGCTCGATGGGTGCATACATAGCGGCCCCCCCAAGGATCTAGTGTTAAACTTACTGGGAAATAGTTGAGGCTGACTAGGAAAACAACACAACTAACTGATGGGCCTCTTCCCTCATGACGACGACGACCGCAAAGCTGTCCGCCCATGTGCTCGCGTTTACATGCTTGTAATTAGTAAACATCCTCTTACGCGCTGCATTGATGAACTGCAGTTGATGCGTAATTCTGACGTCTTCCTCTATCACGCTGGAATCAATACGCGCAATCTAGTTCGCATTACAACAGAAATTGGGCTAAAACTGCAACTCTGACTCAGTTATGTTGCACTATGAATATGCTGGATTGACAAGACCACAAGACCTGAAGTTAACCACCAACACGCATTCTAGGAACAACGGCTCTGTGGCGTATGCACATGACGATAGGAAGCGGTGAGTATCTAGCTTTGCAACTATCCACTTGTATCTTGCGATACTGGGTGTCATACATGTAGTATGACGCAGGGTCTCATTGCTTTGAGGGATAACAGCTCTACTCCACCTAATCCAAAGCCGGATCTTGGCCGTGGTGGAATATCAAGATTCCTCCATGCAGCATCTTACGATTCATCTTTATCCCCGCCCAGAAGAAAGATTTCGATAGTGTGTTAGGTGGTTGCTATGAGGTGCTGAAAGATTGCGTAGTAATAAAAAAAAATTCTTCGTTCGACCATCACGGCGTTTCTACGGCCTCGCCGTCATCGTTGCAATCTGATTTTTATTCTCATCCTTGCGCCAAGCCACAAAATGTAATAACAAGACCCAAAAACGCCAAACTGTGCATCATATCCATCTATTTGATCAAAATTTTATGCCGACTCGTTCAATCTCTGCTTCTTTTCGTTGCGTCCGTCGGGAGTGTACCTAGGAGAGTGATTAGCAATCAGGGGCTTCTTCAAATTTCGTCGCTGTGCCGTACTTTAGAAGCTTCTCGATGAGGTCGACGTGTGTCATGATCATGCGTCGGCAGCAGTAGCGCTTCAGACCTAGCTCATCCATGGCATCGCTTTCTTAAAGTTAGTCCCGAGATCTGTCTTGATAGTTGAAAGGGTTTCGTACCCATCGGTCTTGCGCGGGTCTGCAATCAGCTGGAGATAGCGCTCCCAAAGGTCGCCAGTGACCTATTGTAGTTAGTCATCGTCGTTTCTGGTAATATAAGAAGCGCCTGAGTGCCTACCTTTCCACAAGAGAAGCAGCGGATGGGAATAATCATTTTGGCGATGTGATGGTGAATGTAGTTTGGAGTAGAGAACCTGGCAGCGGGAAGAGTTCCTTGGATCGACGCGGGTAGCTGAAAATATTATTGCCGCCGAGGTTCTGCCGCACGGTGCTTATCTTATCGCTGATAGCTGGAAAAAGTTCACGGCGGCACCAAAATTTCTGCGGCGCATTGCTTCTAGCACTTTGAACCAGTAACTTGGTGCATTAGCCTGCCAATTGCCTCCCAAATTTCTCAACTTTGGCAATATTTGAACTCTTGTCAAAATGGCGGGCCACAAGATCTCCAAGCCCAAGGACGACCCGACCAAAAAGAGAAAGAGAGACCTAAACGAAACCGACGCGCGATCAAAGAGATCAAGACAGCCGCAAGCAGATTCTACGGCCAACGGAGACGTTGAATCCGAAAAACTTCAAAATGGGGAGGATATCATTAGTCGTTCTCATGACGGAGAGACTGGCTGGAGACTATCTAAGCCCATGGGTGGTAGAATGCTTGACATTGATCCAATCCTAGCTCAGGACGACCAGTAAGAGGCCAATTCATTTCTTGTTCCCTACAAGGACTATTCTGACGTCTTTCAGATACTTAATCTTGACGTACAACACCTCCGTTCAAGTATACACAGCTAGCGACTCGCTTCTCCTGAGACGAATCTCGATAGGCGTCATCGATTCCTCCGCGCAAAAGGGCAACTCTCCTGCAACCATTGTTGCGACTAAGCTGTCTCTCCAGAACCCTGAATACCTCTGGGTAGCTTGCTCAGATGGTCACATTTATTATGTGAAATGGACAGAGACAAACGAGACGCACCAGTCCTTCCAGACTGTAACGGGAACTGCCAAAGCTATCACGGTGACAACAACGAATGCTTCGGGTGCAGAGGCTGATATTGTCGTCGTGGCCGAATCGAATGGCGCAAATCGGATGGAACTGACCGCATATGGAGGCGATATTCTATCTTCCCCTCTGTCAAAGAATATATTAGCCGTCAAGAAGCCAGGCAATGGCCTGCATCTGATTGAGTCTAGCCAAGACGGCCTTGTTTTGGTTGGCGCTTTCAACGACACTCTATTCCTTGGTGTGGCATCGCAGGAGCAGCCAACCAGCTTCGAACAAATTCAGTACGATTTCTTTTCTTTCGAGGTCCCAGATCTTATCACCACTCTTGACTTCAGAGTGTACTCAGCCTCAGCCCTCTCTGGCAACAAGAGCAAAGGGCAACGAGATTCCGACAAAGTAGTGGATGTTATCGTTGGTGGAGCAAGAGGAGCTATTTATCTGTACCACGATGCCTTATCTAGGAGTCAAGCACTTGGTAAAGCCAGCTCAGCTAAAGATGGAATCCAAGCGCAAAAGTTTCATTGGCACCGGAAGGCAGTTCATGCAGTCAAATGGTCTCGCGACGGTATGTTTTACGTATAAAGTATTTCTCCGAACGCGATTATCTAACATTCTGTGTAGGCAATTATATGATCTCGGGAGGCTCCGAAAACGTTCTTGTTATGTGGCAGATGGATACCAGTAGAAGAAATTACCTTCCGCATCTGTCTGGTAGCGTAGAGAACATTGTTGTTTCTCCTAGCGGATCATCCTATGTTGTACACCTAGACGACAACTCCACAATGGTCCTATCAACTGCTGAAATGAAGCCGACGACATATGTATCTGGAATTCAGTCCGCCGCCGTTGAGGCTACGACGCCCAAGGATTTGCTCGTACAGCGTGTCTGGTCGGTAGCGAACCAAGTACGACGGCCTATACCTGCTGCGATCAAGGCAACGGAGCCTTCCAAATTTCATGTTTGCGTTGGCAACGGCCGTCAGGCTACAATGACGGGAGAATTCTCAGCGCCGCTGTTGCAGACTTTTGATCTTGAAACCTTTATGAGCGTTTCTAAGCAAGCATTGGCCCGCACGCAGCCTACCGATGTGAACCTGACAAACAAGGGCTACGCCATTGAAGAGCCAGTCGTCACACATATCGCCTTTTCTGCGGATGGAAAGTGGTTGGCTAGTGTTGATGATTGGGTTCCTTCAAACAGGGATGCTGGAACTGTCAGTGGCGACGCGGGGGAGCAATTCCTCAAGGAAAGACATGAGTCATATCTTAAATTCTGGCAAGTCAATGATGAGGACAGCTCGATTGCTCTTGTATCGAGGGTTAATGCTCCACACGCAACGAGCCACCCAGAGACGGTTCTCGATCTTGCATCGAACAATGCCTCAACGTGCTTTGCCACTATTGCCGGAGATGGTATTGTTCGCCTATGGCGACCCAAGGCCCGCCAGCAACAAGGATCACGAAGATCAGAGGGCACAACAGAATTCACCTGGGTTTGCTCCCAGGTGGTCCCCATTGGAGACGGACTGGCTCGAAATGCCATTGCAGATATCCCTAATGACGCCTCAGTCCCCGCCAAGGCTCAAGGTCGCCTTGCATTTTCAGAAGACGGCTCTACGCTGTTTGCAGCATTTGGAGCACTTGATACAGGAGCCGTGTATGTGATCAACGCAGCTTCTGGTGAAGTCGTCAAGGTTTTGGAAGGGCTTTGGAAGAAGCAGCTGCATTCCCTGCGAGTTCTATCGCAATATCTTATTGTGCTCTCTGCAGAGCTACATGTCTACGACGTTGTGGGCGATGACTTACGGTATGGAATCGTCATGCCCAAGGGCTCTAGATCCGATGAGTTGTTACAGCTAGCTGTTGACTCTGTGTCTGGCAACTTTGCCCTCACTCTCCCTGTTGGAGATACTTCTAGCATAGGAGTCTTCCACCCTAGCGATCCAGAGCCGCTAATTGTTCGAAACACTCCTCACCGGGTTGTGAGCCTTGTTTCAGTGCCCGGCACTAGTGGATTTGTCGCTCTGGATGACGTGGCTCAAGTTTGGACCATTACAGAGGGATCAAACGCCTCAACTATTCTCGCTGCTCAGCCACTCCAAGATTTGCGACTCGACAGTGTTTCTGAAGAAGCCGAAAATGGCAAACTCGACATCGTTCTTGGCGGAGATGCTGATAGCGACGATGAGATGGAAGAGGCCCAGAACGCAGACGAGGACGTGGAGATGGACGATGACGATGTGCAAGCCAACATTATACCACAGCAATATCTGGCGGACATTTTCGATGCTGCCCCAGCCTTTGCGGGCGCTTCTATTGAAGACATGTTTTACAAGGTGACTAGCCTCCTCGCTACCAAACCGCTGTCAGCCGGTACTGTATAAAGATGAACAAAAGTCGTGTTTTTTTTGGGGGGGAGAATTAATGCTGTAGGTGGAACAAAGTTTATAAAAGAGAAAGATGTGCGTCTTTGGTATAGCCAAAAAGAGGGCTACCAGGTTATTTAGGATGATGAAGCCGAGATATTGTTGAGTGCAAGATATCAGACGCAGGAACAAGCCCGCAATTTACATGTACATAAAACCCACTTTTGGGTATCGGCGAAAAGGATGTGGTACTATTCCGATTTAGTTAACTCTACAGATTATTGATACATACAGCATGGGGAGTACAGTATGTAATAGATTCGATTTATCGAAGCACCAAGGTTCACATCTTTTTGCCGTTTTGCGTTCGTTTACCGGGATCGGCCGGCACTACAGTGCGGGGGAGTGGAGAGATGGGCAGATGAATGGCTTCCAAGGGCGTATGGCGCCATTGGCACCACCATTGACGTTGCTATAAAAGATGCGCAGACAGAGGCTGGATATTTGAACCGATATGCTCGGATAAACCATAGCGGCTCCCTCAGGAAGCAAGCAGATTGGAGTAGCATATTTACGCTTGTGTGTGTTTGGCACCACCGCCTTCAAGGCACTCTTTGGCTCTCTTATATACGTCTCTGGCCTCGTCATCTGCCATACAGCAAGCGTCATGTCGTTTACGTCCATCCCCATCCTCGACCTGGAGCTGTCCAGGGACCCGGCCACCAAGCCTGAGTTCCTTGACCAGCTTCGCAATGCACTCATGGAGGTTGGCTTCTTGTATCTCAAGAATGTGGGCATTTCAGATGAGCTATGGGACGAAGTCATCAAGGAGGGTAAAAGCTTCTTTGACATTCCCCAGGAAGAAAAGTATGATTTAAGCATCCTTGCATTGAATTCCCCTTTCAAGTACTCATACGCGTCATATGCACAAATACACACATATATATGTATATGCTGGCTGTGGCCTTTGACTCGATAAGAATCTTGCTTGCTAAAGCGATTATAGGCTCAAGATTGAAATGAAGAATGCGCCATCCTTCCTAGGCTACTCCCAGCTATCCGCAGAAATCACAGCCGGAGCCGTAGATCACAGAGAGCAGATTGATCTCTCAACCGAGCACGTCCTCCCAGGCCCGGGCGCGCCGGCGTACTACAACCTGCTCGGCCCCAACCAGTGGCCTTCGGAGGAGAGCGCGCCAAAGTTCCGCAGCACTTACACCGAGTACATGCGCCAGATGGGCGAAATCACCATGTACTTCACCTCGCTGATTGCCGAGGCCATCAAGCTGCCGAGGGACGCCTTTGAGAAGTACGTCGAGGCGGAACCGCAGCACAAGCTCAAGATCATCAAGTACCCGGACCTGGCAGAGCTGGGACTGCCGGCGGGCGTGCAGGGCCAGGGCGTCGGGCCTCACAAGGACAGCATGCTGACGAGCTACCTGCTCCAGGCCACAAACCACCGCGGGCTGCAGGTGCAGAACGTCCAGGGCGAATGGATTGACGCCGCGCCCATCGACAGGACGCTCGTGGTGGCCATTGGTCAGGGCATGGAAGCCCTGACGCAGGGCGTCTGCGTGTCAACGACGCATCGCGTGCTGTCGCCAGAATCCGGCACCGGCGCCCGCTTCAGCATCCCCTTCTTCCAGGGCGTCAAGCTGGACGCCACCTTTGAAGAGCTCGAGACGGTCGGCGTCGGCCGCGTGCCCGAGGACATCAGGCAGCAGAGGCAGAGGATTGTGGAAAAGAGCGGCGGGCGCATCGACGACGTCGAGTTCACGTTCCGCAGCGGCGCCGTGGCCAGCACCTTGGGCGAGGCGACGCTGCGGAACAGGGTCAAGAGCCATCCGGATGTGGGGGAGCGCTGGTACCCGGAGATTCTGAAGTCGATCCGCGAAGAGCAGGCGCTGGCGGCGCAGAAGCAGGCGCTTCGTGATGCGCCGAGGCCGGTGACTAATGCGGCCTCTACAGCTGTCGAGGCGCATTAGATGGTTGGTTGATGTTGGGTTGAGTCATCCATGGCAGAATGTGACTTTCCCATGGAAAGGAGAGCAGGCTGATGATGGAAGCAAGGTCCAGCCCAGATTGGCTTGTCCGTTAAACACAGTGAATAATAAAGAAATTGAGCAAATTGAACACTTGGTGACAAGGCTTTCCCCAGCGAAAACTAGATTGGCTGTTTGGCTCCCTACTACCTAGTACCTAGTAGGCCTTAAAGTATCACCGACTATCATAATATCAATGTCACCCCTTGGTGAACCGCGTGTGCCTTCAGGATCCACATCGACGGCATTGTGCCCTCCATGTACATGAATGACGCATGGCTTTGTTTGCTCTTGATCAAGTACACTCCGTACCGTTTGCTTGGTTTGCTAGTACTATTGGCAATGCCTTACCATGGCTGTGGCGATGTTTATCGGCAGGCCCACCACTTTGGCATGTCTCTCCTCCACACACCACGATCATCCACCGCGGGAGAGAGACGCAATGCGTGCAAGAGACCGTTTGGACAATTCCCACTACGATAATGCATGGCTTATCGGCTCAGCACTGTGCATGAAAATAGATTATCAGGAATCCCAGAGAAAAAAATAATAATAAGAGATGGCAGTGAGGCAGCCCGGCAGATCAACCCGGCGCAAGCGGGAATGATGCACAACCAAGGAGTTCCATTTCGTCTCGGTGAAACACGCTCGGAAACGCTTTGCTACACGATCTGCCGCAGAATGCCAAGGCACAGCCACGCCGTTACGTGCGTCGGCAGCAATGGCCGATTAATGCTATTTATGTACTTGTTCATTTAATTACTGTAGGTATTTGCTTAATAAAATAAAGATGGGCAGTTTAATAAATACAAGGGCCGCCTGCTAGTTCCAAGACATTTTTTTGTTCCTATTGCAGCAACAAATGCTGGGCATTTCTTGTTCACTGCTGTATTCCCTTCTTTCCCTCTCCCTTTTTTGAAGTTGCTCTTTCTGCTTGATAGCCTGGTGCTTGACCGCTCTGTTAATCTCTTTTTATCTTGTTTTTCTTTTTAATTTTTTTTTTCCACCTCTCTCTCTCTCTTGCTTCTTCCATCATTTTGGCGCCCAGAATATAATCTCCTCTGATTCAAGAAAAACAATCGTCAAGATGCCGAGTATTGGATTCATGGCGCTGAAAGCGCGAGACGACGATGTGCCTTTTGGCTTCGTGAGGGAGGATAATGAAATCATCCCATGGCGCTACAGCAAAGTAGGTGGTCCGGCTTCTGATAGATTGGACAAGCCATTGACAAACGCAACAGCAAGCATTCATCGTGAAATGGTCTATCATGGCAGGTGTCGTAGTGTTGATCTTGTTATTCCTCTTGACGAGCTGGCTCCATCTGAGATCGAGAGTCAAAAAGGGCCTGCCACCGCTGAGATATCACAGAGTGAGTGTTGGCATCGTCATGTGTTATCGCCTGCACACCTATACTAATGGATCTTGAATAGTTCTTGGTCAGAACGCCGAGGCAGCCAGCTGCTGCTCAACAGACAAACGGATGGGTTCCGCAGACAAACAATCCGATGGGTGGCTACTACATGGGCACCACGGCTCCTCCACCGGTATACGATCCAGCCAAATTTCCCATGTACTCGGGCCATACAGATCCAGAAAAGGTCGATTACGCGCGAGAGCCTACCAGACGAGAGGCCGAAGCAAACCCTGCACCAGATTATTATGACATACCTCTGGGACCGCCTCCTGCAGCTGCGACGAGATAAATATGATGACGAAAGCGAAGAATATTTGGCTTCAAAGAACAGGTCATCCAGCGGCATTCATATTGGAGATGGCAAATTACTCGTAAAACTTTCGTAATGGCAAAGGGTTACATATTTAGTTGAGATCATGCTCTATGTATACCTAGGTAGTGACAATGTGCAGGCGACGATATTCCATGTCGGTCTTGATGCTTGAGCACCTAGAAAGAGTAAGTTGGCAGTGACGGAATAGATAAGAAACGCAGAAAATCCTAAAAAAGAGAGAAGCCAGCTGGAAAAAATAAGGAAACAAATAAAAAGAAAACAAAAACTCCCAAATTTTATGCTCCGGGTATATTGCACGTATAGCGCTGCTCTGTACTTTTGGCTGTAAATCGGTCATCTTGAACACATCAATCAATATCCATGTCATCGCACGCATCGTTTATGGGGAAAGCATTGGCCGGCGCAGGGTCGACGTGCGACATCGTTTCAGTCGTTGTCTCTGACGCCATGGTATTGTTGTGCATCTCGCTAGTATCTGGATTCTTCTGTCTATCTCTTGCTCGCCGGCGGGCTTCAATGATGGCCCTTCGCACGCCGTCTTGCGATTCTGGTACGGATATGGACTTGGGGTCGCTATAGAGGACCAGCTGCATGCCAGCCAGCTCACCCTCGTCGTTTGCAAGAATTTGTCTGGGAATACGGTTCTCCTTGAGGTGCTTCTGGATATCCGGCAAGAAGATTAACTTGCCCTCGTCGTTGTCGCTGTCGGAGGAGAGCTCGGCATCCAGGTCGTAGATGTACACCTTGTGCTTGGAGTCGTCCAGTTGCATCGTCTCATCGCTGCTCTGTGATTTCGCCGCCTTTGCACGTCTAGTCGATGAAGTTGCGGCTGCATTAGCATTGGCCGATGGTGTCTCGACGGGGACGTAGAGTTTGGAGCCGTCTTGTTCTGCGAGGTCGGCACGTTAGCTAATCATGCCTCGGCGATGTGCATGTGGTGGGTGACATGCGCAGTTGGCCGCCACTATCGAGGCAGTCTTGCACTGCATTGAATGGCGGGACCGCGCATGAAGGGAAAAAAAAAAAAGAAGGGAAAAGAGCAGTAGAAACAATCAATAAAGTATACTGACCAATATTCAGCAGGCTGAGTCGCTTGGAGAGCCGCTCGTTGTCCTGCGACTCGGCCTTCCTCTTGCGTCGCGGGTGCTGCCTCGCTTGGTCGAAACCCTCCATAAGAATGCCTGGCGCGGGCGAAGACGGGCTCTGCGTCCCCAGCATGTCGCTGCCGGACTGTCGCTCTTCTCTCACTTTGCTTCTGCGTTGCCGCCTCTGCTGAGACTCACTCGCCGGCTTCGCCTCGGATCACCAGCCCCCTGCCGGATTGGGAATTGAGTCAGAGGACAAAGAGAATCGAGGAGAGACGGTGATGCCGCTTGCTGTGAGCCACTCGCTGTTCGCTGTTGCTTGCCGCTGATGTGGTCGCTGGCCAGGCCGCAGTCACAGTGCACCAGCTGCTGTGCGGCGGCCAGAAGCGGGCGACGGCCCTCGCTCTTTGTAGGCTTGAGTCACTCTTGTAGAAGTTTCTACAAAACCCACCCGCCACGGCTGCACCCCCTCCGCCGATTGCCTGCCGACGCATCGCCGCACTCGACCCTGCACGCTCGTCCTCGCATTTCCCCATCGCCACTGAGCCCGAACCAGGTTTTTCTGCTGCAGCGCAGGCTTCTCCAGACATTCGCAAGCATGACGACGGGCAACTGGCCCGAGGCGCAGGTGCGCAAGACCTTCTTTGATTTCTTCGAGCAGAGGGGTCACACGCTGGGTAAGTCGAGGCGAAAAAAAAAAGCAGCATTTTTTGTCTGGGCATCACCAACTTCCCCTCCAAGTGGCGGGGTCGTGTAGATGATTGCCGAGTCTTCTGCGGAGCATCGCAGCACCAAACACAAGAGATTCTGCGGTAATCTGCAATGCCCAATGTATTGCGCAGCTACAATGCTGTGTTGTGATTCTATTTTTTTTTCTCTAGTCATCATGTCATCCCATCATCGAGAGCTACAATCAAATTGACCATCGTTGCGTGCTGACTCTTTTTTTTCCCCCCTTCTCCAGTGCCTTCTGGTTCCGTCGTCCCTCACAATGACCCGACCCTGCTCTTCACCAATGCAGGCATGAACCAGTTCAAGCCCATTTTCTTGGGCACCGTCAACAAGTCCGATCCCATGTCAAGCCTGAAGCGCGCTGTCGACACCCAAAAGGTCATCCGCGCGGGTGGCAAGCACAACGATCTCGACGATGTCGGCAAGGACAGCTACCACCACACCTTTTTCGAGATGTTGGGCAACTGGTCATTCGGCGACTACTTCAAGAAGGATGCTATCGAGATGGCGTGGGAGCTTCTGACCAAGGTGTATGGCCTTGATCCTACACGGCTCTATGTTACATACTTTGAGGGTAACCCAGCCCTTGGCCTCGAACCCGATCTGGAAGCCAAGGAACTGTGGAAGAAGACTGGCGTGCCCGAAGATCACATTATTCCCGGAAACATGAAGGATAACTTTTGGGAGATGGGTGACCAGGGTCCTTGCGGTCCTTGCAGCGAGGTACACTACGACAAGATCGGAGGACGCAACGCCGCCAGCCTGGTCAACATGGACGATCCCATGGTTGTCGAGATCTGGAACCTCGTTTTCATGCAATTCGACCGACAAAAGGATGGAAGCCTGAAGCCCCTTCCCGCGAAGCACATTGATACCGGTATGGGTTTTGAGCGTCTGGTGTCTGCACTCCAGGACACCGCCTCCAACTACGCCACTGATGTCTTCACCCCTCTATTCAAGAAGATCGAAGAAGTCACCGGCGCGAGACCATATACCGACAAGTACGGCGCAGACGATGTTGATGGCATTGATACTGCTTACCGAGTCGTTGCAGACCACATCAGAACCATGTCATTCGCCATTACTGACGGTGCCGTGCCTAACAATGATGGCCGTGGCTATGTCATTCGACGTATTCTCCGCCGTGGTGTCCGATATGCTCGCAAGTACCTCAATGCAGAGATCGGCTCATTCTTCTCCAAGATCCTACCTGCCTTGGTTGCGCAGATGGGCGAGCAGTTCCCCGATCTTGCCAAGAAGCAGCTAGATATCCAGGAGATCCTCGACGAAGAAGAGGAGGCCTTTTCCCGAACCCTGGATCGTGGCGAGGCTCAGTTTGAGAGATATGCTGCCAAGGCCGCCAAAGATAACGTCAAGAAGCTGGATGGAGATGTTGTGTGGAGACTCTACGACACATTTGGTTTCCCTGTCGACTTGACCAAATTGATGGCTGAAGAGCGAAGCTTGGATATTGACGAGGCCGAGGTTGCGGTTGCCCGTGAGAAGGCTAGGGAAGCTAGCAAGGCCGTCAAGGACTCAGTACAGACATTTGCAAAGCTTGATGTCCACCAGATTGCCGAGCTCGACACACAGCTCAAGGTCCCACGAACGAACGACGACGCAAAATACCTCAAGGGCGACAGCAAGGGCAAAGTTCAGTACATCTTCAATGGCAAGACTTTTACCAAGTCGACCAAGGATATCCCCCCAAATACCGCCATTGGTGTTTTGCTGGACAAGACCAACTTCTACGCCGAGTCTGGTGGTCAGGTTGCTGATACTGGTCGCATTGTCATTGACGATGTTGTCGAGTTCAAGGTCATGGACGTGCAGGACTTTGGTGGCTATGTCCTCCACAGTGGTTACATCGAGTACGGAGAGCTCAACTCTGACGATGAGGTCATTTGCGAATATGATGAGCTTCGTCGTTCTCCCATCCGTAACAACCACTCTGGTACACACATTCTCAACCACTCTCTGCGGGAAGTGCTTGGCGAGGATGTCAACCAAAAGGGCTCTCTGGTCGACAACGACAAGCTGCGTTTCGATTTCTCACACAAGACCCAGGTTAAGCTTGACGAGCTAAAGAAGATTGAAGAGCTCTCAAATAAGGACATCCGTGCCAACTTCAAGATCTACGCCAAGGATGTGGAGCTAGACCTTGCACTCCAGATTGAGGGTCTTCGTGCCGTCTTTGGCGAGACCTATCCCAACCCTGTGCGAGTTGTGTCAATCGGCATGGACGTTGAGACCATGCTTGCCGATCCCAAGAAGCCTGATTGGCGACAGTACAGTGTTGAGCTTTGCGGTGGTACTCACGTGGAGCAGACCGGTTTGCTCAAAGATCTTGTCATTGTTGAGGAAAGTGGTATCGCCAAGGGCATCCGTCGTATTATCGCTTACACGGGTGAGGCTGCTCACAAGGTCCAGCGCGAAGCCAAGCTGTTCGAGCAGAAGCTAGTAGACCTCGATAACCTTCCATTCGGCCCCGAGAAAGAGGCTGCAGTGAAGACCGTCTCACAGGAGCTCAGCCAGCTGGTAATCTCAACGCTGACCAAGGACGAGTTCAACCAGCGTTTCCAGAAGATTGCCAACGCTGTTGTTGCCGAGCAGAAGAAGAAGCAAAAGGCGGAATCCAAGACTGCTATTGACACGGTTACCAAGCACTTTGAGGCGAACAAGGAGAGCCAGTGGTTCGTTGGCCGACTGCCCATCAGCGCAAACGCCAAGGCCGTGGGTGAGGTCATCAAGCACTACCAGTCCAAGGACAAGGAAAAGTCTGTTTACCTGTTTGTTGGCAGCCAGGAGGAGGGCGCTGTTGCGCACGGTGTGTATGTTGGAACAGTAAGTCACTCTGCCAATTCATGACACTAAAAACCTAAAGATTCATATCACTAACATACCATTCTAGCACTTGGCTTCACAGGGAGTTACTGCTGAAAAGTGGGCTGCCTCCGTGTCCGATATCATCGGTGGCCGCTCTGGTGGCAAGGAGCCGTCTCGCCAGGGCCAGGGAACTCAGCCGGAGAAGATTGAGGACGCTGTTGAGACTGCACGGAAATGGCTTAGCGAGAAATTGAAGCTTTAAATAGGGAGAATTTTATGTATTATAGTAGCTATATCGTTTCTGGCCAAATTGAATGGTATATATGCATGGGTGAAATGGGAAACTACGGGGTGACAGGAATTAGGGTAAATAGGTAGCCAGATGGGACAAAATCTTATAAAAAAAAATACACACATATATATAGGAAATATAGATTTCATCCAAGTAGCGTATGAGGGTTTTCTATCAAGAAAGATGTAATCATACAATGCCTCATTCATTGCTCATAATTGTATTTATACAAGTCGTGTGAAAAGGGGGGCGGCTGAGATATCTATATACACATATATACATATAGAGTTACACAGTAACCATGACACTAGCATTTCTATAATGCGACAGGAGAGGATTCTCTCCGCTTCGTGTCTCCGTATCCTCGACATAGGCCCATCGGCGCATGAAGTCTCCGTGGGACATGACGCGGGTGAGCTTCCCGGTGATGGCGCGGTAAATGGCTTCAGTGATGTTGAAGTCTGTGGGGAAGAGAATGTCAAAGTAGCCCTGGTGAACCTGTATTATTGTGACTGTTAGTTATCGAGTCTTGCTTTGTTGGGGCGGGGGAGAAAGAGGGCTGTGCCAACTTACAAGAGGAGTCGTGACGGGCACCATTTTTCGCTGGAACCGCGTCTGCACGACGGGGGCGTTGAGACCCTTGATGGCCTGGGGGAGAGAGTCGAAGTCAGAGGTGAGGAGGCGGTGGGCGGGGAAGAACTTTTCCAGGACGTCGAAGAATTGCATCAGCCTGGTTGGGATGAACTCGGCCTGTGACAGATTGGCGGCGAAGGGCATCTTGGTGGACATGTACCGAAGAACAGGGTTTGAAGGATAGGGCTTGGGATAGTTGCCTCCCGTGGCGGCATGGCGCACACGGAAGAATCTGGCAGCCAGGGGGTCCAGCTCATGGACGTAGAATTCATAAAAGTCGCCGTCGCCGTCGATGAGCACGTGGCCCTGGAGTGGCTCCTCCGTCGTAACGTCATATCTGATGCCATCATGGGAGAAGTTGTCAAAGACCTCCATGGCGAGGAAGAAGCACGGCGAGGGGACATATTGGTCCCATTCGAAGATGGACTTGTTGATGATCTCGACCTTGTCTGCGTGACCGCGAGATTCGGCAGTGGAGAGGAGATGGCGGTTTTGGAGTGCCGCAAGGGAGGAGGAGATTTCGATGATGTTGAACTTGGTGCGGGCGTAGACCTGCGGGTCAGCCGCGCGGATGTAGTCGAGGATGTTGAGCATGAGTGTGCCGCGGCCGGCGCCCATTTCGAAGATGAGCAGGTCGTCGTACGGATACGTGGTGAGGCGGTAGTTGGAGACGAGATAGCGGGCAATGGCCTCGCCGTAGAACGGCCTGAAGAGCTCTGTGGGGGTGTGCCAGAGCTGTCTTGTCGCGCTTTCGCCCTCTTTCTCGTCGAGCAGGTCTTCGAATTCGGTGTACCGCCTGCCGAGGTCGGCTTGGAATTCTAGCTCGTCGCGCATGGAATTGAAGTCGAAAGGCTCCCCTGGGCTGAAGATGACGGCCTCCTTGGAGAAATATCCGTAGGAAGGGTTGTAGAGACTATCTGTGATGTTCCGTCGTCAGCCCATAAACCCCCATATAGAGGTGGATAGATTGCACCACATCACGTACCGTCTATAAAGTCGCGAAGAAGCATCTTCACCTTCCGAGGCCGCTCAGTCCTCGTCTTCAATTCCTGCAGCGAGATGTAGGGGTACTCTGCAAACTCTTCTCTTCGATCCTCTGGCAAGATGTGCGTTCGTTGCTGCCAGCGACTCTCGTTCGTCTTCATGCCCCGATCTATCGAGGCTCTTGTCACGAGCCCGCGAGTTGGCTGTCTATGTCTGCTGGCGAGGCCATTGCGCAAACCCTGACATCCGCGCGGACGATGTCGAAACAACTGGCGAAAGAGGTGAGCCACAATGGGAGAATCCATGACTGTCCCCTCGGTTTGCGGCTGTTTTTGACGGGTCACGATAGCCTCGTAAAGGATCGAATGTTTCCTCTTAGCTATTGGGTAGATCCCGCAGCTCTGGCTCGGAAAGTGGTTTGTTCCGGGAAGTACATACTAGACTAAGGGCTGCCCCGCGAACGGTTCCTGGGTACGTACTCTTTTTTTTTTCTTTGGCGCTGATTTTCCGCAGGGATCTGGATGACATCAGAAAAGTCTTGAATTGGCAGTTTCCATCTCGCGTGATTCATGCTTTGCTTCTGAGACGTCCAATAGTCCTTCAATCAGCAATGGGGGCTTTATTGTTATGATTATGGTGAGACATATTCGGCGAAGGCAAGCAGCATGTCATTGAGCGACCATCCCAAGGCATATGGCACCGCAGCCATTGCCGTTGCCTTTGCGGCCGGCATCGTCGCTACCCTGGGTTTTAAAGAGCTGTATCCCGAGCTTGAATCCCGATATCAGCACAACCGATTCCAACGCAAACGCAGCAATGCGCGGTCAACAGATCCTCGGCGAAGCAGTTTCTTCTGGATGGCGCCAGTGCAGCTTGAAGACCATGAGCCGACGCCGTCATCATCTCGTGCCCCAGCGATTGCATCAAACGGCATCGAAGGATGTATCGGCAACACCCCCCTCATAGAGATACCATCTCTCTCCCAAGCCACCGGCCGGACCATCCTCGCAAAGGCCGAGTTTCTCAACGGTGCGGGAAATAGCCCCAAGGACCGAGTAGCTCTCAACATCATTTTGGAGGCTGAGAAACGGGGACTCTTAACGCCTCACCAGGGCGACACCATCTATGAGGGAACAGTGGGCAGCACGGGCATTTCTCTCGCTACTCTGGCGCGCGCAAAGGGATACAAGGCCCATATCTGCATGCCTGATGATCAGGCCTTTGAAAAGTCGGATCTTTTGATTCACCTCGGCGCAACGGTTGAGAGAGTTGCCGTTGCTCCCATCACCAGCCCCGATCACTTTGTCAACTTGGCCCGGAGGCGCGCCACGGAGCACACGCAGTCATCTACAGACGGCAGCAAGGGCTTCTTTGCGAATCAGTTCGAAACCGAATCCAACTGGCAAGCCCATGCTGTCAGCACAGGCCCGGAAATCTATCAACAGACAGATGGCAACCTTGACGCATTCGTTGCTGGCGCTGGAACTGGTGGCACGATATCTGGGGTGGCGAGGTACCTGAAACTGGATGCAAAGATGAGCAATCTCAAGGTTGTCCTGGCGGATCCCCAGGGAAGCGGGTTGTACAACAAGATTAAGCACGGAGTCATGTATTCGTCTACTGAAAAGGAGGGCACCCGGCGAAGACAGCAAGTCGACACAATGGTGGAAGGAATTGGTATTAATCGTGTGACGAACAACTTTGAAATCGGCAGAGATTTGCTCGACGATGCGGTCAAGGTGACGGATGATCAAGCTTGCCGCATGGCTAGGTGGCTTGTGGAAAATGACGGCATCTTTGTGGGGAGCAGCAGCTCTGTTAACTGTGTTGCCGCTGTTGTCACTGCGATGAGACTGCCCCCTGGGAGTAGAGTCGTCACTTTGTTGTGTGATTCTGGCACTCGGCATTTGAGCAAGTTTTGGAAGAATATCAAAGAAATGGGCCTAGAGGAAGAAGAGGCCACGGATCTCTTTACTGAGCTGGGGATATCAGAATGATGATGAGGTTATTTGAACCCACAGCTTATGACCTAGTACATAAGAATAGCTTTCTAAGCAGCAGCACATATGCATGATATGGGGAGTGATGTAACATAACAACATCAAAGATCAAAGATCTATTAGCGATCTAAGTTGAGAATAGAGAAAATAGAGTACATGGCTTCACAGCACCACCATGTTTGTGATGTGCACGCATCGCCAAAAAAGGACATACCGATGAGGGATTGAGATGTAGAAGAAAGAAAGAGGAGAAAAAAAAAAAACACAGTTTGGCGCCTGAAGTTCTTGAGACCTTCATATCAATTCCCGAAAAAGCAAGATAAAAATTTTCCATAACTCCCATCATAAAGAAAGTTCCATCCCAAGCACCCCGTAGGAAACAACGAAAAAAGCACATTGAGATAGTATCTTCGTACCCCTCGGAGCAGACGCGGCGCTATCAATCATTATTTTACTTTCTCGTTGCTTCCTTATGAGAACTGTGGAATCGCTTTTGTTAATGCTGATCTATAATGCAAAGGGAGTGTATCGAACATGATACACAGGAAGAGAGAGAGAGAGAGANAGAGAGAGAGAGAGAGAGAGAGAGAGAGAGAGAGAGAGAGAGAGAGAGAGAGAGAGAGAGACAAAACATACCTTCCAACGATTACCGCAATTCATACATTCGCAAAATGTCGTCATCGGTTCATCGGCACTTCGTGTCTGCGCCTGGGTATAGCTGACTCGCTTCTTCTTGCACTTGCCGCACTCCAGACTGTCACTGATGCTCTTCTCAGCCATTGGCACCTGGGCCTTCTTCATGTTCTCCTTCTCCAGCTCGAGTTCTATCTTGCGTTGATCCTCGCTCTTGAGTTCCTCGTCCGTCATGTTGACAAACTTCTCGGGCGAAATGTCTCCTGCCATTACTCGCTTGCCCAACTCCCGGTTCGACTTGTTCTTGAGGTTTGTGAATAGCGATCGGATCTTCTTCTTGTATTCAGGGGTCTCGCCTTTGAGGAGCGTGAATGCGGCGCTCTCGACGGCAACAGCCCTGGCGATGACGTCGGTCTCAGACTCGATTGATCGGTAGGCCAGGCCGTTGTAGATGAGGCCGATACACTGGTTTCGGACGTTGGATTCGGTTCGCTTGATGCTAACGCCGTCGGTATCGAACTTGCGCTTCTCGGGGTCGCCCTTGAACGCCTTCTTGGCGCCGCCGGCGGAGGATGCGTTGCTGGATGGGTTGGGCGGGGATGCGGCCGCGGGAGCCGACGGGGAGCCCATTTTTGCCTTTTGCAGCTTGGAGTTCTTCTCCTGTTCGACGAGCTTCTTCCACTTGATCACCAGTTCGGAGGCGGCCCGAGCAATCTCTTTGTTGGGATTTGACCGCAACTTGCCGACGAAAACACCTGCGCGCGTGGCCTAATAGTTTTGCGACAATTGATGTCAGACAGTAGCATTTCGAAAACAGCTGCAGACAGGCAGGAAGAAAGAAAAAGAGAAAGGAAGGGATTATATAGCAATACAAGAAAGCTGCGATTGGAGGCAATGATGGACAGTGACGGGGGGTCAGTCGGCGGAACGCCTCCAAAACTTGACAGCTAATCAGTCCAAATGGAGCCCATCCCATCCCATTCACTGCCCATATAAGACAGAAAGCGTGTAGAGAATGGAAGCTAACGCCTCCCTTCTCTCTCGGAATCACTCCTCAAAGATAAGTGATGCGACTTAAAAAAAAAAAAAAGACACTTACCCGCAGCATCTCTTCTGTCGGCGATGCATCCTTCTTTAGCGTCTCCAGCAGCTTCAGCGCATTCTCCGGAGGCTCGTTGGCGGCCACCACCTTGGTCAGCGCCTTTACGCGCGACTCGAGCTCACGCTGATCCATGCCCGGCATCTTTTTTTTATGTGCCCTTGCAAATAATCTTCAAAGGCCAAGAGAGAGAGCTGAGGAACGACGAAAGCCCCAGGGCGAAGCAGGAGAAGGAAGTACAGCCGAAGACTAGAAGACGAGGCTTTCAGAAGCAAATACCGTAGCAGAGGCAAAAAAAAAAAAAGATGCAAGTTCTCTCTGTCTCTTTTCTGCCCACGCGGCGCGCGGCGAATCAATTCGTCGCATACGGAGCTGCTGGCGCTGGAAATGGCGTGGGCGGGACGCAAGGATTCCGGCATTTAGCCGTCGTGGCGTGAAGACGTCTGGAAGGATGGATGCGTGCAGCGGGTCACGTGCTGAGGCTGCTGTGCTGTTAAGATGTTTCGTATCAAGACGATGAGATGTTCTTATTGCGGTATATGCTGTCGTTTATTTTGCTTATTTATGAGACAATATGTAAGCAACCTACCAAGTGCGTCAATAAATGGAGTGACTGTGCCTTGTGCTTTGGCTATGAAGCCGAAACGTGCTCATCACATGGGATGAACTCGACAAACTCCATAAGACATTGCTCTCTATCAGCTTGAACACCAGATTGCACTTCCACTATTCCAAAACCCCAAAAAGGTTTTCCACTTATATCAGATTTAAATAATTCGCAAATACCGTTGCCCCCTCTCCCCTATTACTTCCGTCTGCTTGTTTTCCTCCGCTTATTGGCCCCAGAGCCGTCCTCCATCTCCGGAGCCTCCCCCTCGCAAGCAATATTCGCCCTCAGTCTATCTACTGCAGCAGCCATCCGCTTGCTTCCTTGAACTCTCTGTCTGGGAGCAAACGTCTCTCTGGCGCCAGCACCAACACTCCCCCCAAAGAATCTTGTAATGTTGCTTTGCGTTCCTTCAATCTCTCGCTTATTCATATCCCGAATGACCGGCACTAGCACTTCATCTGTGCGCTCTTTGCTCCAGCCAATCGTCGCCATGAGATATTCTCTCAGCCCTGCCACATCTGGCACGCCCCATTGAAACGGCTCCGTGCTGCTATCGACCACAGGATGAAGGTAGGCTTCGTAGACGGCTGGGCTGGGAAAGGCAACCGGCAAGAAGAGTTTGGTTGCTTGTGCCTTGCGAAACTTGCGCCGGAAAGAAGAGGAAGCATCAGCCTCCTTGGGTCGCACTTGGGATTGAACTTCATGCCACCACTCGCGGAATTTTTCAAGCCCATCCTTGCCGGGAAATTCAGAGAGGATTTCCACGGCCGTGACTGGACCGACTCCGGGTAGTCCTTCTGTATAATCCGATCCCAAAAGCTGAGCGAGAGAGATGAGCTGTTCTCGAGATAAAGACATTTCCTGATCAAGATCTGAGCCAACGTAGCATTCGACAAACTTGTTGCTATTAAACATGTTTTTGTAAACTCGCGTTCCTCCAAAGAGGAAAGTATCCGAATCATCTGTAACGATGCCGTCTACCATGTTGAGTCGGACTAGCTCTGCACACTGCGCTTCTGCTTCCATTGGCGCGGTGATGTATGGGATGCCGAAGAGGCGAAGCAAAGCTTGACACTCTGTAATCATCGTCTGCGTCACTTCGTCTGCGTCGCGACGGTCTTTCTTCTGCTGGCTTCGAAGAGCTCTCAGTTCTCTTTCATAATCCTCCCTGTTCTGTTCAGTAGATTTGTTGTTCAGTTCGCTGGCGAATCGAGCGTGTTCCTCGGCTTCTTCAGCCATTTGTGCCAATAGCTCCTCGTCTTCAGGGTCGCTGAATTCATCGTACTCTTCACTGCCAAAGAGCTCTTCGTCTGTAATTGTGGTGTTCCCAGGAATAGCCACAGCTGGAGTTTGATGAAGAGGAATATCCTCAAATAAAACGGAATTGACAGGCAGATCTTCTTGAATTATGAGGTTTTCTGCTGGCTGAACATCTTCAAATTCAGGTTCTGGAGAGTCGTAGCTGTCCTGTGCTTCCGCTTCTATAACAGGTACAACTGGAGCACTGGGAGCCTCAATCATAGGAATCTCTTCAAACTCTGGCTCAAGCGATTCGCCATTTTCTTCTTCCCTCTCTTTATTTTTAGGCTGACTTGATTCGGCACCAGGCGCTTCTATGCCTTCATCTTCTTCTTTGTTTTGGTCGACCTTTGCGGGACTGAAAACTGGTTCCGGTCCAGGTGACGGAGGTATTTCGATGATCTTAACATCATCACTACCATCTTCGTCATCTGAAGATCCAATCTCAATCAATTGGTCTCTTAGCTCTCGTTTCCGAAGCCTTTCCTCTTCTTCAACTTCTGCTCTATCTTGAGCATTTATCTCTCTTTCAACATCCTGCTGTTTCTTAATAGCTTCTCGGATATCTGTATCGTTGTCTAGTAACCAAGGAGGGAGCGGTTTAGGACCATCTTCTTTCTGCGGTTCAATCTCAAAGCCACCGCCTGATTCGACTTCCTTTTCTTCAGTGTCTGGTCTGGCATTCTCCACCCCACCAGCCGTCACTACAATTGGCTTCTCCTCTGATACTTTTTTCTTCGCAAAAAGAGAAGATCCCCAATCCAACTTGGGAAATGGGAGAGGCCCATCGAATGGATTCTTTTTGTTCTCGAATACTGGCTTCGGTTGAGCTTTCTTCATCTTTCGTGACTTGGCCAAGATTGCTTGCATATCGTCCTCGCTATCACTGTCTTTCTCCTTTTCCGTTGTTATTGGGACATCTTGTCGTTTTGGAACGGCAGCATTGGCTCTATTGTTTACGATATGCGCGATCATAGAACCCCCGCCGCGGCCGATAGGCCTGGGTGCTTCCACCGCGACTTGAGTCCACTCCGGCTTCTCTCGGGATTCATCCTCGACATCTGACTCCTCGTTCGGCTCTTGGCCAATACCGTGTTGATTCTGTAACGATAGAGCAATAGCAAGATTAAGATCATGCTCCTCTTCAGGATGCATCAGTTCTGTAGGCTGATCGGCAAGCAAGTTCAACGTCGGCTCTAGTTGTCCATCAACAAACAGAGATCCCTCGCCAGCATCTTCATCGACAGCTCCCTGTCTGTTGCTTGCGTAGAATTGTTGTCGTCGATTATTAATGTCCTGAGCAGCCTCAAGACCCGCAGAAGCAGACTGTGATAGTTTCGGTAATCGGTTAATTCCCACAATCGGCACATCTTCGAAATCTTCTTCCTCTTCGCTCTCCTCTTCTTTTGTCTGATATTGGAATTGGATGGCATCCACATCGATTGGCTTGTGAGCTTCTCCAACATCCTTCTCTTTGCTGACTACTCCGAGAGCCCAGCCTCCCTCCACGCCTTCATTCTTGACCAGGATATACTCTCGGTCCCTTTCTCCAGCGATTCGAGCATTGACATTGAGCGTCAAGTCAGTGCCCAGCATTCCGACTTCATACATAAGCCGCTGTGTGAGGTGATTTCTCTCCTTAACTCTTTCGATCTGAAATCTCGAGAATGCCATGCGATCGGGGAACATGTCGTCAAGCTGTTCCTTGCTCAAGCCCATTCTCAGACGACTCCTCAGTCTAGCAGCATTGAGAATATTGTATCTATCCGGTGGTGGAAGGCTTTTGAAGAAGTCGCCATCAAAATCAATTTTGCTAAAGTCGTACAGGTTGATATCCTCTCCGTTATTAAATTGTCGCGCATACTCTTCCAGTTCTTCGACGCTCATTATTCGAGGATCGTCTGGCTTCCCCATTGATGCGATACCGTTTTCAAGCTCAGGCAAGTGATAGGCATCCTGCTTATAGAACTTGCGGTTCCGCATTCTCTCCTGCTGGGACATACCAATCTCATCAACATAGACCAACTTGCTGACATCAGGAATGACTTCCTCCTCTTCTTCCGCCGCTCTTGATGCGTGTGGCCTTTCGCTTTCTCTCCTGCGTTTCTCTTCTTCCTCTTCGGCAAGCCGCTGCATCTGGATAGCCAGGAGCTTTCCTGCCGTCCTGATAGCATCCTCTCGTCTTCCTTCACGTCTTTGCTTGCGCTTCTGAATGGTTGCTCTCTTTAGTGCTGGGGCACCACCATCAAATACAAAGACTGGTAGGATGCCAAACCAGAGGAGCTTGCAGATGCGCCGAAAGAATCCCACGATATGAGAGTTGCGAAGCGCATTGCCTTCTTTATCACGGACAGCTTTAAGAAATTGATATATCCATATCGAAGCATCCACGGCAAGACGCTTCCGATTGAGCGTTGCCAGATTGGTAGGCCGTGCACATGGCTGGATCACTGTCCAAAGACCGTTAACGCCCATGGCGACGACACGGGCTTAGCGAAGGCCCGCGACTGACTGTGTTGGCTAGTCGAAGGAAAAAATCATTGCGATGATGATCGCGCGAGATCAACTCGCTTTAAAAGCAGTCCGTAGAGGCGGACAGATAAACAATTGTCTCTCACGTTAAAATGCGACGAAGAGAGGTTCAAGGTTCACGATGCGTTGATCGCAGTGACGCTATTACTAGCAGAAGCCGGTGGAGCCTGCAGGGTCTCTGGAGTCTTATCCATTGGCCCATTGAGCTTATCGCTTTAGAGATCCGTTGACAAGCCACTTGAATGGAGATTCGCTGCACCTTTTCCTCCAAGGTTTAATTCCCCTTGCACCTCCATCCTTGAGCTGCTCCAGGCCAAGGCTAGTCCTCGCAATGGACAAAGATGAGGCTCACGACTATCTTTCGTCTCTCTTGAACCAGAACCTGCGCATCCACACCACCGATGGCCGCATGTTTCGGGGAACCTTTAAATGCACAGACCCGGTTTGTTCCCCCCGCAGCCATAACTATGAGCATCGGCATTTACATCATGACGTGGAATGCTAACCTCGCCACCGATGCTATAGGACATGAACCTCGTGTTGGGCAATACACATGAATACCGACAACCTTCGAAAGAGGAACTCGGCGCTGCTGCGGCAAATGCTTCTGGCGACTCGGTCTCCCTAGACATGACGTCTCGATACCTCGGCCTCATCGTCGTTCCCGGACAGTACATTGTGAAGATGGAAGTCGAGCAATTTTTGAGCCAAATGAAATCCTAATTGGCATTATTTTACGAAAGGAATACTGTATCGATACATTTTACGTTATGGACCGGGGACTTTGATTTTCACTGCAATTGCGGGACGGCGTTTAAACGGTTGACATATACTTTGATGGGAATATCAGGACCACACAGCGATGGATACATAGACGAGTATATTTAAGGAGTTATTCTCATCCAGATAAAAGATTTTACAACTCTCACAGAGGTATTAGTGAATAGCCGCGCGCCAAAGAGCTATCCGATAAGAGTATTAAAGCAAATTTACCCAGCCAAGCGATAAACCCAGCCTTGTCCAAAACTCCTCCGCCAAGTTAGCGGCATTCAAATCGACGACATTACTGGTATTAGCCCCTGCTTTCCAAGCCCGAGGATCTCATTTACCTGCCCCTAGCTTTTATTTTTCTTTAGTTTTTCTTTTCTTTGTTGTGTAATATGTTGCCGGGCGTCTTAAGCCGCGAGAACTTCTTGGGATCGGCCTCGTGTCTCACCATTCATACCACCGTCACTGCCTATAACAGAGTGGTGACGCTCCTCCTCTTCCTCCTCCTCCTCTTCTGCTTCGCTTTCAGGTTCTACACCTCGCGCTTCCCATGACTGGTTGTCGTTCAGCGGTACATCCTGGTGAGATAAGTCGTGGCCCTCTTCTCTGGCTTGGATAGTATTACGGCGTCGCTGAGACAAAGTTCGCGATCGGGTAGAGAGCTTGGAGCTCACGGCGGCATTGGCGGTGACCCAGTTGGTAAGGGCATCTTCGCAGTCTTGGATGATGGCCTTGCTGGCTTCATAGCCGTCATACGCCGCTCGGGTTTCGCCAGGAGTCACGGGAGTGTCGTCGATCAGCTCTAGGAGGTGTTTTCCGTAGCCGGCAATAATGGCAACCTTCTCGCAGTGTTCGCGGAGGGCATCGAACTGGTAAGAATAAGCAGCTTTGACCTTTTCGCGTGTGATATTGGAGAGCTGGGCCTCTGCCACGAGCGATTCGGCCTCGGCGCGGACTAGCTCCTGTTCCAGCACCACGATCTTGGGAGAGTTGGGTTCCTTGTACTTTAGCTGGGCGATCTGGTCGGTGATTTTTTGTTTACCTGGCAGAGGTCAGTATATGGAGTGTCAAGGATATATCAAAGGCCACAATTGTCTTACGGTCCCGGCTAGGCTGGACAGATGCCTCGATATTACGGATGCTCTTCATGGTAATGCGATATTGGTCGTATCGGTCGACGTATTGATCTTCAAGTTCGCCGATTTCGTAGAGGAGAACACCGATCTTGTCAGTGACGTCAGAGACATCTTCGTCGGTGGCTTCGCCCCAAAGGGACAATTGTTGCTAGAAAGAAGTGAGCAAATAGAATTCTCGACGAGAATGATCAAGACGGCAATAGGGAGAAGAAAACACATACGGCCACATCCATGCGCTCCCTGGCGACGAGCTCCAGGCTTCGCATAACATTCTTCTCCATCTTCACGAGCTGGGATAACTTCTTGGCCAGATCTGGCCCGAAGGCGCCACCGGCTCGGCCGCGGAGAGCATGGCCTGCCTCATCAGTTAGCTGACACCAGTAACGCTTTGCCCTTGAGGCGGATACGACGATAGGAGCCAGGATCGACGTGAGAGCCATCTCAGTCAATCCTACCGCGGATAGTTGGTGCATAAATCGCTGTCGCAACACTCACCCAAGCTTCCCTTCCCAAAGAAACGACCAGACTTGGTGGACGATGGGGGCGGCGGCGGACTCTATCCATTGACTGCGTCAGTCTCTATATGCGGCAGTGGGACACGATGAAAGTCAGTCCGGAGTCTCCATACCTGAAGCTGCGAGGCCGTGGGCGCGCGGGTCTGGCGCATAGAATACGTTCGGTGCATTATGGCGGTGTGGCTGAGCGCTAACAGAGGTTGCGATTGTGATCAACGAAGCCTATACAGCTAGAGAAAAGAGCGATGGTGCTGCGGTAGAGATTGAGCACACAGGAAAGGGACCGGCTGCGGTGTCTGCAGCAATAATACGAGGGGGAGAAAAAAGATGTTCTGACGCGGGAGGGGATGGATGGGGAGAGTCTAGGTGATTATAAGAATGCCCGGGATAATGGCTGGGCAGATTTTACGCGGAGCTGGCGGATCGTCATCGGCTTGCACAGCTGTTGCGCCGGAGCTACGTCATGTCAGTGACGCCCCAGTAGCCTGAGCCATTGCAGCTCGGGAGCCTGTTTGAGCCTTAATAGAGGGGAGCTCAAAACTTAACATTAGGCCTAACAGCCCATCTGTACTAGCGCTGGGCTCTGCTCAGTGGCCGCTTTGGGGAGCAACAGCGCCTACGTCAGATCAGGGCCCCGGGACTTGCGGACGATGGTGACTAAGGCTCACCTCTCGCCTGTACCTACATCAAACATTTTGCTGGATTGGAACGTCCTTGACACCGCCAAGCCCCGCGGACTGAGACACAGCGCCGAATGCTGGTCTGCTGGCGGTGGTGGGCCATGCCGCATTTGGCTTGAGATGTTGGAGAAGCTGGCGATGAGCGATGCTAGCGTCAACCTAGGAGCAGCGAATGACGGAGTTGACACAAAACAGCAAATTGTTTTTTTTTTCCAGTTTTTCTTGTTTTTTATTATTCTTGTTGTTGTTGTTCCAAGGCGGAACCATGCACTATCAATTTCAAAACGGGCATGATTAGCGGCACCAGCTGAGACACAGCAATTACCTACCATAGATGTCGGAGTAGCGATTCATGTCTTCAGTGATTCAGTGATGCCGTCATACCATCCTGAGCAACTGCTGTACCTCGGCTGCATAGCGCTTAATATTGAACAAACACTTTGTCTAGGCCGTGATTCTGCTTAGCCCCAATCAGGCAGAAAAGGCTTATGGCCATCCACCGCATATCTGATGGAAGCTGGAGCGGCTAGTGCAATAGTCATCTCAAAGGCAAAGCTCTAGACCAAAACTCAAAGATGCGCGCACCATATCACTTGATGTCGATTGGCCCAATGCTAATTAGGGGTTCGACTGCGGTAGAGGCTCCCGCAGTGGGGTATTCCTCACCAAGATGGGGGTGCGTGTACAGGCCAGCTCTGTACCTCCTTGTTCACTATTTTGCGGCTGGACCACGGAGTACAGGCATTACCATCTCCTGTTGGCATGGCGTAGGCAGATCAGATGCAAAAAACTAACGAACGTGGAAGTTAACCCCTGATACTCAGAGCCTCGCTGGGCCCTTTTTCTCATCCGGGGGGTCTGCGCTGGCTGTCAAATCCATATCTAGATGAGCTCCATTGAGAAGCTCATGCAGGTACACATTATGGTGCTCCACATCCGCGAAGCTGGGACAGGCCAGGTACGTTGAGCATCAGATTGATTGGAAGCGTATGCACTTGTGCCCCCCGTGGGCTGATGATCGTGAAGCTTCAGTCAAGATGCTAGATGTCGCGTTTTCGAAAAGAATAATTGTGCGAACGGTTTTCCACAATTAGCACTTCCCAAGTATCACGAGGACTCTACGCAGATAGAATGATTGTATAACGCTCAATAAGCTAGCTTCTGGAGGAGATTGTCAAGATTGTTAAATCGTAGGCTTTGCCGGTGCCCAAATATCACAGTGGGCGGTCCAAATATATATACGTATATATATACATGAGAAATTCCATAGTGACAATTTGTATGTATAATCGTTGCATACACCGGCTTCCTTTCTTTACGAACAATGCCTTCATCAATCTATGGCGTTGCTTGAAACTTTCTTTGAGCGGTTTCGTGCATGAATGTACGGCCAACGCGCTCTCCAAATTGGGGCTAGCTCTGCAGCTTTTCTTTGTCGACTCAGAGCAGAAACTCTGACTAATCAGAATTGCAGCCAACCAGGGCTCGCGTATCCAAGGTATTCAATCCAGGACGCGGTTCCAAAGCATTTCTATTTCGCGATGCCCATAATCTCGTGCGCCGATATTCACAAGTATTAGCGGGACAACAAACAACTGCCATGCACGGCATGGAGATGCTCTGCTGAAGTCCCCTTTCCGTTGTAGCGGTCATCGCGGATAGCTGCCGCCTGGCCCGGGTTTTTGTGGCTTGCACGACGCAGCAATACAGACATGTACTACAGCGACCAACTCTCGCCAAAATCTCCATCAAAGCCCTTCGTCAGCCTCGCATGAGTTACGCCAGACGCTTACCCGCCTTGATGAATGGCACTCTCATGGTCGATGCCGCTTTAATTTCGTGCTTTGATTTACTTTGTCGATTTGCGTCCCTATTCCGGCGTTCTCTGCTTCCAGGCGTCTGATGCGGGCTCTCTTGCGTATCTTGGCCGTTCATTGATAGTCCAGTCTGCCGCATCTCTCACAATCCCTGGTTTCCGTTACGCCACTGCAGAAAAGGGAACTCATATCTCCAGTGATACAAGACGGTATCAACGTTGTTTGCAGCGCAAAGGTCGTTTTAATATCGAGAGACAAGGATGATGCCCCACGGAGCCATAAACCGCGACTCAGCACTCACGAAATCGGGAGATGGCGAACCAAGCCACTTGTCCCGTCCAGACTTAATTAGCCGCAAGCTGCCGCCGCCATTTGGCGTCGCGGCTTCACCTAGAGGCCCCATCAGTCCTCCTCCTCTGAAGAGAAATTCTTTTTCTGCTCCCCCTGCGCCTCTGGGTCCCTGCACAAGTGAGGTCAATAGTGAGACTGCCAGCGATTGGGCTTCTCAAGCGCTCCCTGATCGCGCGTCCTTGCCCTTGGCAGACCGCGTTTCTGAATATGCGCCAGAGGCGCCAAAACAATCTCGTGACGCATCAAACACCAACCCGGCTGGCAATATGACGCCCCCTTCAGCAATAACCCCGTCGCGAGAAGTAGTACAGACCCCCAAGGGCCGAACTGTTCCTATAACAGAGTGGACTGTCCAGAAACTTGCCAATCAGCTTAGAGCGTTCAATCAAGAAGTTCGGAGAGACCACTCTCAGCTCGTCGCGCATGCAATTGAGTCAGCAAAATGTAGAGAATGGCGCACGCATCATGGCCTAGATCTCTTTCGGAACCTTCAACCTCACCCAAATCCAGAAATCAAAGGCAAGCAAGTCAAAATCAGATTCAAGGTCAGCTACTCGGCATTGTTCTACCCAATCTTTGAAATTGCGTTTATTGACTCTCGGCGCCCAACAGCACAACAAAAATAAGAAGGATTATCGGGATATACGGTACAATGTGGTTTGCATTAAAACTAACAAGGATGCTGTTCCGTCCTATCGGTTCCATCATGTGGAAATCAAGAAGAATGTCTTGATGCCCAACACCATGTTGACGTTTGTCCCCCATTTACGAGATCTTGAGGGTTCTGAAGAGGCCAAGTACAACCTTTGGCTTAAAGAGCTGGAGGATATTGATCTCAAATCGGGGTTCAAGCCCATGAATCGCGACGAGAAACATGTGGCAATCATCCAAGCCGAGCGCGCTGCAGCTCTTTCCCTCTACTTGGATAAGTGGCTCAAAGAACTCAACATATCCTTCTGCAACAAGTCCACTCTCATCAAATACATGAAAAACCAAGCATCTGACGACTCCATGACTCCTCGACAAAAAGCAGACCTTGCCAAATCCAACAGCGATGGAAATGGCTTAACACCAGAAGCACACTTAGCGGCACACATGTTTAAGGATGCATTCCAACTGGTCTTTAAAGAAAATCAAGTGGATTATAAACAGGTTGAACTACGAAAAGTTCTGTTCATTGATGGATCCGTCGACGGCGCCATGGACAGTAAAACTACAGCCAAAGAAGTCGCCGCTATTCAACAAGACAATGAAGACGAAATTGCCGAATCCAATCTGGCCACATACTGTATTCTGGGATGTCTCATTTGCTTTAGCCATTCTTGCGACCATGGCGAGTACGACATCAAGAACTGGAAACGCACGTTTTCCTTGTCATCTTATGCATCCTTGTCGGACATTTTGCAGAGGAAGCGAATAGCGGCGGCCGGAGCAAATACTATTGCAGATGAGCCTTGCGAGCGGAGGTGCTATCGCCTGAAGCTCCCTCCCGACCCAACTGCAATGATGAAGCCATGGTCTGAAGATGAACGTATTCTCTTGCGCTCTTTGTACGTCACGACGGATTTCAGCAAAACTAAAATGGACCCCATCTGCCTAGCCACCGAGTTCCTAAATCGAAACTGCGACGAAGTATATGCAGAATTCCAGTCTTTGAACATCAGCTTACCTGAACTGGAGCCCACGGAACCTCCTCGACCACGAAACATATCATGGTATGATCGTAAGCGGAAAATGCTCCTGGGAGACTGGCAAGATCATACAATTACTCATGAGCATCAACGGCGGGAGTTGCTGGAACCATGCTCTCATGATGGCCCATGTGCTCCAAAAATATGCCCATGTGTAGACGCGGGGGTTTTGTGCGAAAGGTTCTGCGGATGTACAGAGGCAAATTGTTCTTATAAATTCACAGGCTGCGCCTGTCATTCTCAAGGCAAATCATGCCTCACGAAGCCCTGCATATGCGTGCAACTCAACCGCGAATGTGATCCGCAATTGTGTGGCTCATGCGGCGCTTTTGAACGTGCTGATCCTGCAAACGCGGACGATTATTTGCTGCACTCTACAGGATGTCAAAACTGTGACCTACAACGTGGCCGGCACAAGACTGTTCTTCTCGGGCAAAGTCAGCTCGAAGGAGTTGGCTACGGGCTCTTTACTGCCGAAGATATTGCCCAAGACGAATTTATTGTCGAGTACGTAGGGGAGCTGATCACCCACGATGAAGGTGTCCGCAGAGAGGCAAGACGTGGCGATGTATTTGACGAGGATTCCAACATATCATACGTGTTTACTCTACTAGAAAACGAAGGTATCTGGGTTGATGCTGCCATTTACGGCAATCTGAGCCGATATATCAACCATGCTTCAGAACATGACAGACAAGGGTGCAACATTACCCCGCGAATTCTTTATGTCAACGGCGAATATCGAATCAAATTTACGGCTTTGAGAGATATCAAGGCTGGGGAGGAGCTCTTTTTCAATTATGGAGAAAATTTCCCAAATCTTACCAAAAAACTTCTTGATCACAAATCCGGAGAAAAACCAAAGGTGCCTAGAAAAGCTGGTCGGCCAAAACGTGCCGAGACAAGTGACCGAGTGGCGCGGAAAGTGCCAAAAATAGAGCACAAAGCAGCCGGAAGGCCACCAAAATCGAAAAAGAACAAGGAAACCACAGCGAGGCAGGTGGGAAGGCCAGCAGCGGGTAGGCCAGCAGCGGGAAGGCCAGCGGCAAAGGCAGTAGATATTTTGGCAGTCTCAGACGACGATTCCGCAGCTATCAGGGGGATGATTGAGGAATCTCATTCCCGTAAGCGACGACGCCATCATCTAACTGATTCTGAGGAGGAGGAATATCAGCCAACGGGTACAGAGGCGGCATCAATTGCTGAATCAGGTCTCGACTCTGAAGGGGGACCACTGAACCCGAAACGGCTTCGGAAAACAACAAGATCCCAAAGGGTCAAAGAGCATGATACGCCTATCAAGACGCCGGTAGTAGACGAACCAAAGCCGCGAAGCAAACGAGGAGGTGCTCGGCCTGGCAGTGGACGGCCTAGGAAGCACCCTCGAATCGTCCCTAAGCCAAATAAAGCGTCTTCCTTGACTTCTCAGCCTCCTCAATCTAGTCAAGCCGCTTCTCAGGAGTCTCGGTCTGAACCAGAATCACATATTAACGCCTCTGCTATCACACATTCGCCTATGTCTACTCCAGCAACAACACCGAAGTACACCAGAGCTAGCCGAGGGCATGAACCTGAAGATGCTATTGAAATTGAGGATAGCGAAGACCAAGATGTAGTATTAAGGAGCAGGACGTCCCGGAATAGACGTCTACCTGCTAAATTCAGAGACGAAGAATCATTGTAATGATGCTAAGAAGGGGGGGGGGGGGCGTTGGGCTGTAGAACACACCATGGAATTACTTGCTATAGACCAATCACGTAGGCCGGCAGGAGTCCCGAATCGAATTGAAGAGTGTAAATGTAAAAGGGATAGGATTGTTTTCTATGAATTGGGAAATAATGTTGAGCAGACTTGATATCCATCCTCATGATTAAATGAAATTGCATGGAGTACGTACTATTGCACCGAAGAAGACAAGCATGTGATGGTGATACGTGTGGGAAAACGTATGTTTGGGCAAAGGAATGTGGCGCAGTCGCAGAGCTTGTTCTGCCTTGGTCAGAGCCCTGCTGCACACTATGGTACAGGATCCGACAACGAGTGAATGACTGCTGGATGACAGTTTGTGTTCGCTTATGGCGTTGAATATAGCAATGGGCAGGCAATGTATATATATTTAGAGCCCGCCAAATCATATAGCCTCGCAGCTAAAAAAAAAAAAAAAAAAAAAAAAAAAAAAAAAAAAAACATAAGCAAGTTTTCTAGCATTGCTGCGATGCAAATCTGCTGAAAGCTGGATTGAAAAAGCCACATTTCTGTAGCGGGGCGGGGGCCGAGTAGCCACAAAACGATAAACGATGACGTGGGCGATTGACGCAGAGCTGTGTAGCTGAGAGGTACCTGAACCCACATGCTCAAAACGAATAACTGAGCACTGCGCCGAGAATTCAACTTCTCTCTCCTTCTTTGTTCCGTGTCTCCTCTCCCATTTTCATCAATCAACAAACAAGGCCTCAAAGCCTGGCAGATACATTTCATTTATCTCTGCCGAAGCTCATCACGACTAACTACGCTCTGTCGAATCGAGGCTGCTGCCGAGCTGTCTCTCGAGCCTCTCCCGCTGCCCCCGCCGAAAACCAAAAGCGAAACCATAGCTCACAGCTGGAGGCCATTGCCCCGACATCACCATGACGCTCTATTACAGTCTTGTACGTTTGATTTGGCAGTTGGGAAGCCGAGTGGATTGATCGGGCTAACTAGCTACAAGGTGTTTGCGCTCCTAATGGGCGAGATGGGCTTGTTTATGCTGCTGCTTGTGCCGCTGCCATTCAAGATCAAGCGGAAGATCTTTACGTGAGTTTTCCTACAAAGCAAATTTTGAATAATTTGATGCATTTGCTGACATGGTGTGTTGACAGCTTTGTCTCCGAGAGCCCGCTCGTGGCCAAATTGCAGTACTGGATGAAAATAACCTTTGTCTTCATCCTGATATTGTTCGTCGACAGCGTCAACCGAGTATACAAGGTCCAGGTCGAGCTTATGGCTGCGCATGAGCAGAGCGCCAAGGGAAAGTATGTTCTTTGATTGCTTACCCTTACCTATGCTCTGACGGTGGAAAAGAGAACCTATAAAGTCAATTTGCTAACGTCTGCCTTAATAGTGCCGCCGCTATCATGGGATCCGAGCGTCTCGAGGTCCAGGCCCGCAAGTTTTACTCCCAGCGCAACATGTACCTCTGCGGATTCACGCTATTCCTGTCATTGATTCTTAACCGCACCTACGTCATGATTCTTGAGGTGATGCGCCTAGAGGATAAGGTGAAGATGTATGAGGGCACCAACAAGAACACCAAGGAGAGCGAGAAATTGGCCATTGCTGGAAAGCCTGGCGAGCTGGCTGCTCTCCGGGAGAAGCTCGAGAAGAAGGAGCAGGACCTCCAGAACCTGAAGAAGCAGGCTGAGCAGCTAAACAAGGCCTACAATGAGCTCAGTGATAAGTACGCCGCCACTCAGGTTGACGGCGAGAGCCGAAAGTCGAGATAAGCAACAAAATACTGCTCCCGCAAACTTTTGTGGGTTATGGCAATGGCCGGGTACTGCAGTGAGAAAGAAGAGACTCGTGGTCTTCGGGGCTCTTTGGAGATATTCAATCCCTCTCGGCCGATTCGTTGGCTCTTCCTTGTCTAGAATACTAGATGTATCACTGTGATGGATAGCTAAAGAATGACAAAAGTTGTCTGGATGAGTGGTGTAGGGGCTTCTGTGGGACGTGCATCGTTATCTGGTTTTAGTCGCATGACTGTTTCTGCAAATTAGTCCAGCCAAATTCACAGCTTTTATTTTGACTCATCCCAATCGATTTTGTCGATTATATATCACGTATGCCTTCGGCGCTTCATCCTTGGTTTATAACATTAGTCTTCTCCAATTATGGATATACAATAAATTCCTCAATAAGCATCTTCCAACAGACAATATGACTTGGCCAGTATCACCGAGACTACTTTCTAAGCCTTTTCGACCGCCTCACAGATGAATTTTCCTCAGTCCGTGTCTTTTCATCAGTCTTTGTCTCAGTCTTTGTCTCTGTTTTCGCGCTTTCTTCATTAGAAATCGTCTTTCGCTTTTTAGACTTCGAGGCGCTTGGAATTGATGCTTTGGCCGGCACACTGGCCTTTGCTGTATCTGCCTGTGAATCCTTGTCCAAAGCTGGCCCTTTCATCAAAACATACGCCACCTTTTCAATGTCCGTCGCTGACACATCAAGCCTTTTGATCAAAGCCTCGGCCTCATCGCGCAGGGCCGCGTACTCGTCGATATTATACTTGATAGCGGCCTTCTTTCCGCCACAGCACAGCCAGTAGAAGGCCTCGTCGGAGAAGAAGATGACGTTTTGGGCGTCGTGCACGGAGAGGAGGAGAGAGGCCGTGGCGGGGCCGATGCCCTTAAGCTTGGCGAGAGCTCTGACTGTGGCCCTGGCGTCCTTTGAATTGGTGTAGAGGTGCCGGGCGGAGTCGAGCGTTTGGGAGACTGTGGCGGATGGGTTGGAGGAGACGAGAGAGAGGAGCTTTGGGCGAAATTTGCCGTGCCGCCTTGATTTTATGACAAGATTATTTTAGCTTTTTTTTTCCACTTATATAGTAATAGTTGGTGCGAGATGAGTTATGAGACGAGAGTTGTATCTTATATGAGCAGAGGGCGTTTATGCGGCTCTCGTAATCGCTATAGATGAAATAGTAGTGGAAAGTGAAAATCGGTATGGCAACTTACAGCTTCCATTCTACCAGCGTCTTGACATCTTCAAGGTTCATGTCTCGCTTTGGATTCTGGAGGTTGAATGTCTCTACGGCATCTACATAGCGGTAGCGATCCAGCTCAGAGAGCGTCCTTTGGCCACCTTTGGCTGTATTCACGCGCCGCGTTTTCCATTCATGTTAGCCAAAAGGATCTCTCTTTTTTACTTCTTTATTACTTTATTTAACATTGGTTGGTAATAAAAAAATTTTTTGCAAAGATATGCAGAAATTTTTTGACGTACCGCCTTTGGACACCGATATGGCTTCAAGGAGAGCTTGGTATTGGCTTAGATGAGACGCGAACTGCTCCTTTGTGATTTCATTGTGGGGTATTACGGCTGAAGGGGCCATCATTTTCTTAGCTGATGGCGAAGAAGCGGTAAAAATATTCTGAGAGAGGATGCGAACCGCTCTTATGAACATGAACAGTATAATTAGGTCTTTTTGTGGATGAGAGAACGCTTCGCTGATGGTTTTTATTGATGTTGAATAAAGTCTGGAGCTCTGAACGCGTTTACCCAAGATCAGGCAAGGGTACTAGGTAGCTACTAAGGTGAATAATCTAGCTGGTACGCTACTGCAGCTACCGCGCTCCATCTCTGGCGGGGCATTAATTCTCATGTATTGTGGCGGCTTCCCTTAGTCAAAGCCGTGATGGTGATTTGAAATTACTGCATACATGTGTTTACATTCACCATAAAAGTCTAAATCCATTGCTAAATGGGTTTGTAGTTTTTTGAATATTATGCATAACGGAGGTCTTTAATGAAAGTCATCCTTACCCATTTAATAACCTTTGCTCCCTTAGCAATGCATATACAAACACCGCCTTCAATTATTTTATGCCAAATTGGCAATGGTCTGAAGGGCTTTGTTGATTTCGTATGAAACATCCCAGGAAACATCCTTTTTAGTTTCGCGAAATAATATCCATGGTTTTATACAAAGATATCCATCCATAGCAGCTCCATGGCTTAGCATTAATTTAAAAATGGTTCGCATACCTTCCGCAGTGAGAAGGCGATCCCTGTCAGTTATTGTCTTGCCAACAGATCTCAATCTGGAGTACTCGATAACCAGACCAGCAATACCAGCCATAACCGCTGTTGCCATTGATGTTCCACTTTGTCTCTTTTCGCTATTGCCATGGTTTTGCTTCATGGGGAATGCAGCGTTAAGATGCTCTCCAATGACGCTGAAGTGGAGCTCTCCTTGCCTCGGAAAAGGGCTGAACTTCGACTTTTCTCCTTCTGGGGTAGATGAATTGACACATATAACTTGCTTATACCGTGCTGGGAAACCAACTGTGAATTGTTCGTTGTGACTGTAGTTCGAAGCCGCTGCGAGAAATAAGACCCTATGCTCTCCTTTTAATGCATTATAAATCGCAGTTTTTATTGGCAGTTGTTCTTCGTTAAAAGAGAATGACATTGAAATAATGTCAACTTTCCAATGTTCGACCGCGTAATTAATAGCCTTTATGGTAATAGTTAATACATGTATGTTTTCAGATGTTTGTGATGTGACTTTATGCTCAACAACTCGCCTTCGCTACGCAAGCCGCTGTCTCATAGTCGGCTGTTGCATTGTTAAACACTTTCGCAACATATATTTTGGCCGTCCTGCATGTTTTTAAAATTAAATGCGTACAAAATGTCCCGTGTCCGATCCTATCGCCGGTAACTGGTCCTGCATCCGGCTTAGTGAAATCAATACTATCTTCCTGGGCGATCTGTTCCCTATCTTTATAATCTCGTAGGAGCAAATGGTTCATATCTAGTCCGGTATCGAGGACGGCTATCTTCACTATTTCATTAGGTCTTCCGCTTCGATAGGAATCGAAGTATTTGTCGACCCTTTTTATGTGGCTGGAAAACCATTCGTCTGCTAAGGGAATCCTGTCACAGCTGGTCAGTATTATATGATTATAGAGGGCGGGAAACTAACGCTTTATCTTCGCTTAAGCACTTGGCAAGCCCTTCTACCTCGCTGTCAAACACATACTCTTCATTCGCCGCAACTGACCCACTAGTCACAGAGTCGGCAGCCGCTGCAGAAGTGAATTTGGCCAATTTACCGGTTCCGAGTATCTCCGGTACATCTGGTGCATGAAATGAACGTTCACCTTCCGGTTGAATCGCCTGGGTGTTATCTTGTTGGATAGATATTGTTGTTGCCATAGTTGGTAAGGAGGAGATTTTTATGGTTTGTTGATGTTCAGCGAGTTCTGGTTCGAATTGTTCCGTGAACTTTTTGCAACCTTGACATTTTGGGTTATCACGAACAAGAAAATTAACCTCTGAATCTGAGACTGAGTGGCGAAGATAGCTCTCGTTATTACTCAATGCTAGGGTAGGCGGCAAATCGTAGTTCGGAACACTTTGCGAGAAGGGCGTAGATTTTGCATTGCCTGCATTGGCGTCGTCATGGTCGGTACCGTTTCTCATAACCTGTGCCCTATCCCACGAATTCCTTCGAGTGAAAGATGATCGAGGTTGCGGGGATAGAAATCTTCCAGTATTATGAATATCTCTGCCAGGCACCGACGTATTGGATGCCTCCACAGTTGTAATTGTCGGATCATCAATCACACGAGACCACGAAAGAGATTCGGGGCGCGTGGGCATCTCATGAGAGTCCTTGACAACTCTGAAATTCGAGCTTTTCCCAACTCCCCTATCGAGTTGAAAAGGTATATATGTTATCCAGCCGAATAGAAGTCCCAAAAGAATCTCAATCCAGTTTTGTTTCTTAGCGTTAGAGAGAGCTTCACTCGGGTAGTAGCGCTTGGACGAGATTGAATCAGTCTTTTCCGGATGGGATAATCTTTCTAGTTTGTACTTCCAAATAAATGGTTTGCCATTTTTAGGACCTTTGAAATCAGCAGGTAAAGTATATTGCTTATCCCCAAGCTGCCCCGTTAAGGCATTGCTATATGTCGAAAAAGGGGTACCAGCCTCTTGGCTGAAGGCTTGATCAATAGGAATTGCAGAAGTCCGCGAAGAAGTAGGAAAGTAAGAAGATATGTGAGGGCCACAAAATGATTCCGAATTGTATCCCACACCTTTAGGAATGATTTCCTGTACTTTAATGACTTCAGTTACCAAAAGCAAATCCCTATAAGGATTTTCACTGCTGAGATACTTCTTAACTTCATCTTCCTGTATAACAGCCTTCAGAAATGCATCATTCCTAATAATGCATTCTGTCTGCAACCACTGCCACCGGACGAAATTTCCTTTGCCGTCAACTCGAGCGCCATCAATAGCTGAGCTGTAATTTGTGATAAGTTCAACATTTCCAATTTCTCCATATTTAACAGACAGAGATGAACGTGACCGGATTATCAGACTAAGGGTATCTGGCTTCAATCCTCTGAATGGGCCGGCTCGAAATAGTGCAGATTCAGGGTTAAGAGCATCAGTAAGGATCTGGCCCACTTGAAATATCCCGTTAGCATCTAATGATCTTCGAGGAATCTCGAACCAAACAGTTTTGTCGTCGGTCATGATGGCGTGTCGCTGGGTATCAGGTAGCTACTCAAGCCTACTTATGATGACTTTTATCATAATTACCGATGTGAAAGACAGGTAGCTTTAAAATAAGAGCCTGTCCATCAAAAGAGGGGGGGAAGGGGAAAGCATAGTGGTGGTAGCAAGATAATTTTAATAAGGCATCGCATCGCCTAGCCGTAAGTAAAAGAGGGCTGGAAGATATTTCTGTGATTTTGGGGTTGTATGCATATAACTACCTAGGAGCCCGAGGGTGGTTTTTTGTGAGAGATATGGCAAGACGGAGGTGATGGTAAGAGAGAAAAAAGAGATCCTGTCATAGATTCAAGCTGCTGGTGACTCTTTTTGCTTGGAAAAATCCTCAGCAGAGCTCTTGCCAGAGCATACTTCTTGCCTGATCTCTTACCAGAAAACGCCCCCGCCTCGTAGGTATGTGATACGGAACCATTTTTCTGCCCAATGTCTTTTCGTAAACACCCGACAATCATGCACCAAGTTCCCAACTCAGAAAACAAGGTAGCACTACTTGCACAATACTGAAAAAAGTGAATGCGATTTACGTCACTGTCTGCGCACATTCTTTGAAATAAAATGCCGCAATTTGAAAAGTGACGAATCAAGAATGTACAGGTATTGAATACTTCTCGTTTGTGCGAGGACCAGTGTTACAGCCTGAAGGGTAACCGCAGCCCGAAGGATGCTTGGGCCAACAACTTCAATGCCAACGGCCCTTTCCAACGCATATGTATATATACATATATATACCAGAGTTATGCTTGAGATTTGGCGTAACACACATGGGCCTCACAACTTTTATGGTCATTCAATCCTTTCTTATAAAACTAAACTGAATCAACAACATTATCACTCTCTAAACCACAAAGCTGCCAGGGCTTAATTACGCACGATGTCTCAAATCAAGCATAAGAAAGCCTGGATTCTGACTCCAAACATGGACTACACGCCTACTGGCGTTCTCCAACTTGGCCAGATTTTAACTGATTTTACCAATCCAAACAGTGCTATTCTGACCGAAGGGACCGCTCCCATTCCAGAAGAGACGTTGAAAGACGAGTCCATCCATCGAAAGGTTAATTTCGAGTCGATCGAATCTCAACAAACTGCCTTTCGAACTTGGCTGAAAGTTGCTTTTGACATGGATAAGATTGCTAAGGTTAGCAAAACTTTGCAGAAGGCCTACCAAGAAAAGTTTGAGGGTCATAATATAAGTGCGGTCATGTTCCAACCTTCTGAACGTTACGTCCAAACTGCACTGTCCCTTAGAGATGCATCTCCTCTCACTTCCATGCCTTGGTACATGAGACACAGGCGAATTTGGCTGGTAACTGGACTACGTATCCTTGGGAAGGGTACGAAAGTGAGCGAGGCTTTCATACAGAGAGCTACCGGCGCCGCTGGAGCAAAAGTGGATTGCACTACTGTTGAAGTGCCCATAGCCGCGGGGTTGGATGTTGGTCATCAGCAAACCACATTTAAAGACCATGAAGTTCATGATTCTGACCCGTTTATTTACTGTTACCGCCTTCACGAGATCATTATTAAACGAACATATAAGAAAACCAAGTTGAAAGCTTTCAGCGGGGGGCACATCCAAGATACGGGACAAGATTACAATAGCAGCGATGATGAAGATGCAGATTCAGATGAAGAAGAGGTTATAAATGGATATGAAGTGGTTGCTGTGGACGATGAAGCATTTGATGGTGCTGGTGAAAAGGCCAGTTGTGTATTTGTCATTTTGGTTCTCGAGCAGTTTCTTAATCTTGTCTATTGTGGATAAAAAAGTCCTCGCGCCTCGCACCTCGCACCTCGCGTTTATTCGCCTGTTACATCCGACTCCTCTCTTCTTTGTCATGCATTCCAGATGACAAATACTGCGCTATTGTAGATCATTGCATATATGGCGGAAGCTACATACCGTGTACCGACCTTTCTTCCGCTTAATGAATATAGTACTCTCTTTGTATCTGATTAGTGCCGTGCGGTGTTATAAAGTCCGCCTCGACTCGGTAATTCTCATCTCTCCTCTCCGCTTCAGTGTCATGATGGGATAAGGGCATACGAGTCTATGTCCGAAGCTAGCCTGTTTCTTATAATGTAATTATGACTAATCGATAAAACTGACATCTCATTGCTGTGTGCCCAGTTGTTGGATTTTGCAAGCCGTGATTACGGCTTAACTCCGAGGACAAAATATCGCTGGCGCTAGGCAGGCTTGAGTTTCAGTTTACAGGGGGGTTTCTTGTATCTGCGCGAGTTGTGAGCTTGTTTAAGGATAAAAAGATAAAGAGTATAAAAACAGAAAGGAGAGTCCTCCTCTGGCAATTATTACTAGATAGAGAGTAGAGACGAATCATATTTTGACATCATCATATCCAGATCTAAACAAAAGTTAAACACCATGGCCCCAAGCGTTGTTCTTGTCACCGGTGCGTAAGCACTCAATCTGGACGATCCCGCCGAACTAAGAAAGTCTAACTCGTGTAATTAAAGGCGCCAACCGTGGCATTGGCTACGAGATTGTCAAGGCTCTCGTTGAGTCTCAGATTCCCTATCACGTCTTCCTCGCTGCTCGTGATATTGAGAAGGGCAAGGCTGCTGCAGCCACGATTAAGCCCCGTGAGGGCAGCTCCATCTCAGTTCTCGAACTAGAAGTCTCCTCAACCGAGTCTATCGCTAGGGCTGCGGAGACCGTCAAGGCAGAGGCCGGTCGAGTGGATTTCCTCGTCAACAATGCCGGCATCGTTGACGAGAGTGCTGATGCGATGACGCGACTTCGCAATACGCTCGAGATCAACACCATTGCCCCCTTTGCTGTTACCCAAGCGTTCAAGCCTTTGCTAATAGTTCAACCTAAAAATGAAACCAAAGAGAAGCGAGTCATTTATGTTTCAAGTGGGCTGGGCTCCATTGCTGAGAAACTGGACCCCAAATCCAAGTACTATGCCGTCCAGGCTACTGAATACCGCATGAGCAAGTCTGCGCTCAACATGCTTGCCGCATGCGATGCTTTCGATCTGAAGGACCACGGCGTCAAAGTCTTTGCATACGATCCCGAGTTTGTGGCTACATCTCTTTCATTGTCGCCTGAAGAGCGCCGAAAAATGGGTGCGCTTGAGCCGAGTGTAAGTGGAGAGAGTTGCCGAGATATCATTGAGGGCAAGCGAGATGCCGATACAGCGAAGCTTGTTAGCATCAACGGGGCGGACTGGCCATGGTAAACAAAATAAACAAGATATGACCGAGTATGATGATCAAATAGCAGCAATAGTAAGCGTAAATGAATAAATTGGCTTCTTGATTAGAGATTAGCCGTCTATCGTGGATGTTATTTCTGTTGTCCAATGAAAGAAGAGACATACATTTTCTAGGCCAATAAATCAACCACCAGTCTTCCTCCGCTAATTTCTCCGGATCTCATTCTATCCAAGCCTTTGTTAACGCCGTCAAAGCCACTCTCTACGCCTATGATAGGTGGCGGCTTGATCAGGCCCTGCTCTAATAATCGCTCCAGCCACAGCACAAGCGCTTCGCCCACGGCGGGGACTGAGTGAAAGAGTTTGATAGGAACGGTGTGATATGCGATACCCTCTGGAGCTGTTTCTTTGGGCAATCCTGTCAATCCCACGAGGTGGGACGTCTGTGTCTTCAATTCCCGTGGTGTTTGTGGGGGTGACGGCGGCGCCTCGTTGAGTCTCTTTTGGCGAGTAAGAGCTTCGAGTAAAACCGTAGCCGAGTCTCGTCCACGAGTATCAAGCGCAAAGCGAAGTTGGCTACCAACACTTTTGTTAATGATATCGACGGCACGGTCCGTATCATGGCTGTCGATGAGAAGGTCTGGCCTTTGGGCGGAGCAGCCAGATATGCGAAGACCATGCTTGGCTGTGTCAACTATCGTGATCACTTTGAGGCCTGCCAGCCGCGCGAGCTGAACAGTTATGTTGGCTGACGTTGATGATCCTAGAGAAACGAAGGTTTTGTATTAGCATATCATGAATATTCCGCATGCAAGTCAGGTTATCTCATACCTCCCCAAACAGCCACCCAGTCTCCTGGAACAGCTCGCTCATCATCTGTTATACCCTGAAGACATTCTGCCCTGACATCCTCCGGTATTATCTCTGACTTAACAGAACGAACGAGCTGCAGCAAATCCGGCCCATCAAGGACGGATGAAAAGTCGATTCCCATGCATATCCCCAATGTGATAGCCGCTGCAGAGAATGCAACTCCTAGACCGGCAGCTTGCTGAAATGAGATGGAAGGAGGTATTCTTGCAACATTGAAGTCCGATGAAACGACGTATTCTTGGTAGGCGGCCTTTCTAAGATCGCGATAGTCTGTCGAAATCACTAATACCTATGTCGGTTCCTTGTCAGAACATGCTCGTATAATTCTAAGGCTAGTGTTTTTTTTTTTTTTTTTTTTTTTTTGGGGGGGGGGGATCGTACTCGATCTCCTTCTTTTAAGCGAGAGTTCTTCTGAGGAGTGATAGCTACTCGTCCTGCTAGCTCTCGACCGGCAATATATGGTAGAGCTGCGATACCAAAGTTATAGTCTCTGTATAATAGTCGGATTCGTTAGTTCTGTAGTTTCCTAACTAAACGCTTGCAGGAAAATGAAGATAGAACCCTTACGGCGCTTTCCAGTCTATCGGATTCAGACCTATCGTGTATGTCTGTATGAGTGTCTCATCGTCTTCCACCAACAGCGGCACATTATAACCGTTGGTAATCTGATATGCCTGTCGTGGTCCGTGGAGAAGTAGGACAGTCTGTGCTTTCACCGAGCTTCCCGCCATGATAGCTTCAAAAAGGTGGCGATACGAAAAGATGGAGTTGAAGCTATGGGCTAACAAGATAAAGAGATCTAGAAGAAGAAAAAATTAAGTGTCTAAAGCACGAAGGCCATGTAAATGTAGCATCGTGCCGCCTTGTGCCTCCATCTCTTTCAGCCGGCCCCAATCTGTCAAAACTTCACCAAAGATGGCTAAGCAGCCGATGTTATTACAATTAGATGCGTTAGTGACCATCATAATCCCGTTAATGCCGTTTTCGGAGGCATCTAATCTGGCTGCATCGCGCTGACGTCGTCGCTAATGCTGCGAGCTATCGCTGGCGAGGGGTCGGTTTTGGGGAGGATTGCGTGATTGCTCACAAACATGGCTCATCTCCGCGGCGGCGTTTTAGAGTCCACTCAACCGCAGGTCGCAGCATCAACCTTTGAGATTAGCAGAATTGCAAATAAGTGAAGTTGTAGTCGAAATAGGTAGTTTTATGAGAAAAAGCGGCCACAATGCGTAGTTTATTAGCTGCTGGATCTCTTGTTCTACTTTTTCTCTTATGATGCATATTTAGCCTCGACTTACACGTACGCCTAAAGCCAAGACGGGCCTTGAACCAATAATTCAGCGGCGCCCGCAGATATTTTCTTTCCGCCTTGATCGGCTTTTCCCCCCCTTCTTAAACGCTTAATTTCAAAAGCTTAAACGAGAGGAGACGAGACAGGGCTCGTGATGGCTACCGTTGCTGATCTACCTACTCCCCCGGCCACTGTGCAAGGCTCCCCAAAGCCTGGCCCGACAGTGACCGAGAGTGCTGTCCCATCTGCTATTCCGAAGCCATATGAAGTACCCAAGATTAATCTTGTGAATCGCTTCATAGACCAACCCAGAGAACTGAATGTCGCCGTCATTGGAGCCGGCATTGCAGGTGTATTAGCGGGTATCTTGCTGCCAGCAAAGGTCCCAGGCATCAAGCTTACAATATATGAAAAGAATGCGGAAGTTGTGAGTCTTGCGATGAAAGTTTGAATCAACAGAGCCTAATATTACAGGGTGGTACTTGGTTTGAAAACATATATCCTGGAGTACGATGTGATGTGCCCGCTCATGCATACCAATCAACGTTTGATCCAAACACGCAGTGGACGGAAGAGTTTGCCCAAGGTCCTGAGATTCTCGAGTACTGGAAAGGGCTATCCAAAAAACATGATGTGTACAAGTATCTGAAGCTATCTCAGAGAGTCGACGGCTTGGACTGGGATCCAACTACTTCTCAGTGGCTTATCAACGTACATGATCTAAAATCAGAGGCTTCACGAGTTGAGAAGGCAGATTTTGTTCTCACGGCAATTGGAAGATTTAATGCTTGGAAGCTTCCCAACTATCCTGGTATCAAAGATTACAAGGGCCTCTTGCGGCATACTTCAAACTGGGACCCGACATTTGATGTCACCGGCAAGAAGGTTGCTGTCATTGGCAACGGAGCCAGTGGCCTTCAGCTCGTTGCTAACATTCAAAAGCGTGTCGACCGTCTAGATCACTACGCTAGAAATAACACTTGGGTGGCAGCATCGTTTGCTGGACATGAGACATCCATTGAGCCAAAGACTATTCCTCAAGAACTCCGTGACTCGTTCAAAGACCCAGAGACTTATTTGAAGTACCGCAAGGAGATTGAGAAGCAATATTTCAGAGGGTTCCAGGGCTGGCTGAAAGGCTCAGAGGTCAACGACCAGGCAAGGGAAACTTTCACGCAGCTGGCCAAGACGCGGCTAGCTGATAAACCAGAGCTGTTTGAAAGAATCATTCCCGATTTTTCTCCTCACTGCCGTCGACTTACTCCTGGGCCGGGATATTTTGAGGCTCTCACACAGCCTCACGTCGAGTACATCCAGACACATATTCAGAGATTTACCGAGACGGGCATTGAGACGGTCGATGGCAAGACTCGAGATGTCGATGCCATATTTTGCGCCACAGGAGCCAATTCCGATATGGCCCCCCCTTTTCCCATTCGTGCAGGAGGTGCCAATTTAAGCTATGACTGGAGCCATTCGGGCACCTATGGGTTCCCTTATACATATCTGGGAGTCGCCTCGCCAGGTTTCAAGAATCTTCTTTTCATCCACGGTCCGAGTGCCTCGGGGAGATCAGGCACCGTGCCACACAATTTGGAGAACCAAATCACCTTCTTCGCCAAGATCCTTCGCAAGGTTGGCCGTGAAGGCATCAAGACCATTTCGCCGTCGAGGAAGGCTGCCGATGACTTTACGGCCTACAACGACGCATTCTTCGAGACCACTGTATTATCTGAGAACTGCAGTTCATGGTACAACGGCGGTGTACCGGGTGGTCGAATCCACGGCCTCTGGCCCGGCAGCGCTTCACACTTGACAGTCGTCCAGAGGGACCCACGGTGGGAAGACTGGGAGTACGAATATCTCTCGGAATCTGGAAACCGTTTTGCGTGGTATTTTGGCAATGGGAGCACATACGTCGAGACTGATCCAAAGCTAGATGTAACTCCGTATCTCAGCGCCGAAGAGGCTGACTTGCGAAGCGTTCACGAGAACTGGTGGGTCATACCGTAGGCTACGAACCTCAGATTAGGAAAAGGAAGCCTCCACAAACGAGAAATTATAGCATTAGTCAAAGTTCGTTTATTGAAGCCTAGATCTTTGTGGCTTTAGCCGATGCTTACTTTTTTTGGGGAACGGTATCCTCTCTTGGCCACCCTTGCGGCAGCGCCTATCTCGGTAAAGGGCGTCGAGATGATGTGCACCTAGATATAGATCCCCTTCTCAGCTTAGCATTATTGTATCTGTAAAGATCTACTACACATGAAATCAAAGTTATGTGAGCCATCATCCTCACAAATATTCTTAGGTAATCCATAGTAAACTAAATAAACGAGACTGCAGAGCGCAAGATAATTCGGCCGTGATATTAGTATTGCTAGAATAGCTTCATCTCTATTTCTTTTACGCGCACCTCTATCTGTTTCTAATTATACATAAACTGGAATTATCTTATTAGCACTCTTTATCTGGTGTTTTTAGTTTACAATAATAGTTTTGCCCTCAAAACCCTTCCGCGATGACGTGCTGGCAAGCATGCGTTTCGCAAGAAGCGCTTTAGACCCAATCTATCGGTAGTCATAGACCCGATGTCGCAATCAGTCCGCGGATTGAACAAGAGAGATGCGGGAGTTCAAGTACCGGCGGATTAAACCCTTTTGGAATAGTAAGAAACTGGCGTTGAAGATATGTGCTGGTAGAGGAATTGATTGATATTAAGGAAGATGCCCGAGATTGAAAACCTCCTTTCACTGTGCCATGTCTCAGTTTTTGGTACCACTAGGTATCTCTCTTTAAAAGGTTTTGAAGAAAAGAAATTCACAATGTCGGATAAAGAAGACCATTTTGCCTCCTCTGATGTGGCACCGCTGCCTAAGGAGCAGCGCCATCCAGGTAAATCCATTGTGAGAGCCTCAATAACAAGCTTGAAAACTAATCACTTTTTTAATAATATAGCAAAATGGTATCGATCAACATTTTACAACATGACCATCCTCGGTTTGTGCAATTTGGCGGCACCAGGCATTTGGGGAGCCATGAATTCTCTAGGAGCTGGTGGAAGTCAGTCACCACAGCTCGTAAACGCGGCTAATGCATTGACATTCTGCCTCATGGTCGTGTCGTGCTACTTCTCAAGCGTAATCATTCGCTATATTGGAGTTAAAGGCGCTCTAATTTTCGGAACGTAAGTCTATCCTCCACCTTTAGTTGCTGTCCTGTGCTGAGAGACGGTATAGAATGGGATACGCCCCATATGCGGCTGGTCTTTACACGAATAACAGATTTGGTACCACTTGGCTCGTTATTCTAGGCGCTGCTTTGTGCGGCATATCTGCAGGAACGTTTTGGGCTGTAGAGGCTGCCATTGCCATTGCCTACCCAGAGCCTTGGAACCGTGGAAAGTCGCTGGGCTGGTGGTTGACTTTCCGTGTCATGGGGCAAATCATAGGCGGTGCCATTAATCTCAGCTTGGACATAGATAGGGACAAGGCAGGCAAGGTGTCTTATACCGTCTATATCATTTTCATTACGATACAAGCCGCTGGAGCCCTGGTTGCTCTGCTACTCAACAGACCTCAGCATGTACAGCGTCAAGATGGCAAGAAGGTCCAGCTGGCCATTGTAGAAAACCCCTGGTACGAGATTAAGGCAACAGCCAAGGCATTCTTAAGGCCTCATTTTCTCTTGATCGTGCTCTGGATTGGGCAGGCCGTGTTTTCGGAAGCCGTTTATTTCACTTATCTCTCTCGTAAGCCTCTCATGCTGACCCTGCTATCTGCTCACTTACTGACTTTATCAATCTAGTATGGTTCTCCGTCCGAGCTCGAGCACTCGGCTCATTTCTGGGTGGCATTGTTGCTGTCATAATTGGAAATCTTACTGGCGTATGTCGAACTGATGTCACATAAAAAGCCCAGCTAACATATCTCAATATAGTGGTTCCTCGATCGTACCAAGGTGCCATTGAAGGTTCGCGCAAGATATACCTTCTGGTTCATCGTTATAACCCAGGGCGCATGGTGGCTTTGGGCTACAGTGGTTTCCACACGATACAAACGTACTCTGCCTACGTATGACTGGGAAGATTCTGGCTTTGGGTCAGGTTTCGGTGTTTACATTTTCCTGACCTTTGGGTTTCAGATCAATTACCTCTTCCTGTGAGACACATTCTACGATAAATCGTTTGCTGATTCATAACTAATGCCCTTTAAGCTACTTCATTGTCACCCACTTGGCCAAAGACCAGGGTGAAGTCATCCGATATGCAGCCCTGCTACGAGGTACCGAATCTGCGTGGCAGGCCGTCAGTTATGGCCTGACCTCCTTAACAATATTTGCGCAGGTCGGTGGAATATACATGAATTTTATCCTGTGGGCCATTGCCATTCTGCCAGCATGGCTGGTGGTACGACACATTGGCAGCAAGGATGGCCATTGGGATCGAGAGTCGAGAGGATCAGATGAGTCACCAGAGGGCTTGACTACCGAGGAGACTGTTACTCCCTCAAAGGCTCATGAGGCATGAATAAGATAGATGCGTATCTAACCCTAATATATAATACTATTTAGCTATATTTATACTACGCTATCCTATACTCTTTTACAACTGTACTACAGCTATCTATATAATTAAAATAGACAAATCCAAGTTATAAATACAGCATATACGAGAACTAATAATAGCTTCAATAATTATCAAGAAAGTAAAAAGAAAGAACTTTTTTTTTTTAATAAAGTAGGAGAGATATATTTTATTGTGTAATATTAAAATACACAATGATTTAAATAACGTTCATAAGGTTATTTAGCCATAATCTTTCGTGTTTATAGCAATGTAGTATCAGTTATGTATATGTGCATCTCGAAATATTGCCTAATACGGAAATATTTCTGCTCTCTTCAATGGGCGATCAACTAAGTCCCGTCTGCACCTCAGCCAACTGCATCAGCCCATCTCAACAAATCCAAGGCGAGATTTGGCCGAGATAGGGGTATAAAAGCCTCTGCAGCTCTTGGATATTGATTGGACTAATACTTTCTCCGGGATTGGCCATATATCGCATGAGCTACGAGATAGATAATGCCCGCATGTGGACTCCCCGCGGCTATCTGGCCTGCGTCTCCGTATTATTCCCATTTCAGCAAAACATACGCACTTTTAACGAAGCAGGTCTTGAAATAATTATGGGTTTTGCTACGTTTAATCAAGCTTACTCTACATTAGCATCGCTAGATATCTTTAGCGCGTCTCGTTCCGAAGATGTGGCCGTTTTTAAAGGTCGTTGCCCAATGGCGGTATCCCCACCCATACTGACGTGATTTCCAAGAAGCTCGAAGCTGGTCTCCACGACCACACATCGCCAAAAAGAGTAATCTGGGGGAAGCTGCTGGGAGACCTACAGTCTGATAGGCGCATCTGGCCAACTCTGCCGTAATAACCCAGAACCGCAAGCATTCAAGATCAACGCTTGGAGTGAGAGGGGCCGTCTTGCGTGATTGTATCACTCGAATTGCATCATCCCATCTACCACTTAATTCTTACACAGTCGTAGCCGCCACATACGGAAGAGACCGAAGATCGGACATGGGATTTAGAGGGTCGTTTAGTATGCGTGTGATATCGCGGCAATATAACTAAGCAGTATGAGATAGCATGCGTGTGAGCTGCTTCAATAAGTGTCTCTCCTCGAATAGCAGCCAGGAACAATCAAGCACATCATCTTGTTGAGGGTATACACCATTTTGCAGCCATGAGTTCACAAACCGGAAAAAAGAAGAGCTTGGTGCTCAATGCCTTTGTAGAAATGTGTGCGTTCAATAATACCATACCCCTTGCTAATATTGCAGAGCACTGACTGCCGCAATTGGTGGGCTGCAGGCAGTGGTCACCAGTCTCCCGGGCTCTGGCGCCATCCTGACGACCAGTCCTCGCGCTTCAATCAGATAGACCATTGGACAGAGTTGGCCAAACTTCTAGAAGAGGCCAAGTTCCACGGAATCTTCATTGCCGATGTGTTGGGTAAGGTTTACCAGATGAATCGAGGCCAATCTCATGCAGGGTGATCGGAAGTATATTATAGATATTCTAACCTAGTGCCGTTATGTAGGTGGTTATGATGTCTACTCAGGTTCGCTAGATCCGGCTATCATCTCGGGTGCCCAATGGCCTGTACATGAGCCCCTTGCTATAATCTCTGCCATGGCCGCAGTGACGAAGAGCATTGGTTTTGGCGTTACTGTCTCGACGACTTATGAACAGCCCTACCACTTGGCTCGAAGACTTTCCACCCTTGATCACCTCAGCAATGGACGGTAAGCATCTCTTCCAAAGTGATGTCAGTCATTAGATATGCAACTGACAGCCCTGACAGAATTGGATGGAACGTAAGTTCGAGAGATCTGACTTGACGCAATGCGGCCGACAAGGGGCATGCTAACGTTAATCGTAGATCGTTACCAGCTACCTGGACTCTGCAGCTAAGAACATGGGCCTAGCCCAGCAACCCCAGGTCAGTGATGTCGCAATAGCTAATGCAAGGCTGCAGTATCGATATATGCTGACTCAGTCATAGCACGATGACCGATACGCTCAAGCTGAGGAATACATCAAAGTGATGTATAAGCTCTTTGAGTCGTCATGGAGAGATGATGCTATTGAGCTTAATAAAGAAACAGGTGTTTATACTCACCCTGACCGCGTTCGTAAGATCAATCACAACGGCAAGTTTTTCACAGTCCCCGGCCCTCACATCTGTTCGCCTAGCCCCCAGAGAACACCCCTGTTGATCCAGGCTGGCACTTCTCGGGCTGGTAAGGTGTTCGCTGCTCAGCATGCCGAAGTCATCTTTGTTTCTGCCCACGCCCCGCAGGTGTGCGCCAAGAGCATCGCAGAGATTAGAGAGTTGGCCAAAACACAGTTTGGCCGTGATCCCAGTAACATCAAGGTCCTTGCACTTGTTTGCCCTATCCTTGGTAAGACTGAGGAAGAGGCCCAGGCCAAGCTGGCAGACTATAAGCAGTATGCCTCACACGAAGGAGCTCTTGCTCTCTTTGGTGGCTGGACCGGCATGGATCTCAGCAAATACGGCGATGACGAAGAGCTGCGAGAAGTTGAAAGCAATGCAGTGAAGTGAGTGACTCTTCTTCCATTTGCATCCACCCTCTTCTTGTTTGTGCAGTTCTAATACTAAGACTCCAACAGATCCACTGTTGAAGGTTACGCCAGATTCTCTCCTGGCACCTCCAAATGGACCAAGCATACCATCGCCGAGCACGTTAGCATAGGCGGCAATGGCCCTGCTCTCGTAGGCACGCCTTCACAGGTTGCCGATGGACTCGAGACTTGGATCAACGAGGCCGAT